AAAACAATCGAGACTGGTGCGCTGACTGCCTGTATGCGTACGAGAAAACGCGCAGCAGGTGAAGCATTGGTACTCAAAAATTAGTGAAAACGACTGGCTGTTTAATGAATAGGCTGTGCTAAAATAATATAACGCTGTTTTAGTGGAGACAGCAGTTGCTTATGATCAATGCGTACAATAATAATTCCTTATTCTTCTTTATAACTGTACAAATACATAGTAGTTCAAATGAACAACGAGTAGTGTTTCGATTTTAAAATTAGAAATTAATAATCTGATTACTATGTAATAAACTGCATAATATCAATTCAAACGATTTGAATTCTATTTTTAAAATTAAAACGCTGAACATTCTTATCTTATACCTTTCTATAGTTAATTATTTCTTTCGTATAGGCCTATAAGCAAGAATGGTGGGTCGAAAAATATTTGATTTCATGGTAATGTATGAAAAATACACTTTTTTTCGCTAAGCTCTACAAAACTTTACATCTAAACAGTACATTGTCATATTACATCAATAGAATTACTTTTCTAGAAATAATATTTCAAAATGAAAAAGCGTTAATTGATATAAGTAGAAATAAAAAAAATTACAATTATACCGGGTGTTTCACAAAAGTCGCTGACTCCTATAACTTTTATATTTTTTTTTAGATAAAAAAAACGAAATTTCATGTATTAGTATATGACATAAATTAGGATTGATTGACGCATTCAATTGTTTTCGGTCAGTCCTAGTCATATATACAGGGTTGTTCACCACATACGACGCGGAGTATTGTAGCTAAACGATTAGATTTTTGCAAATTGTAAGTTTTGGGTTCGTTGAAGGACTATTAGAGCTACAATTTAAAAATATTTTTACAAGATACAGAGTGGCCTAAATAAATAAAAAATATCAGTTGCATTTTTTTAAATGGAACACCCTGTATAGTATTACATTTTTTGTTTCTACGATTAAAATAAAGGTAAATTTGATTAAGGTTTACCGCATTTTAATCTTACCGTTTTTGAAATATTTACGTTTTTGTCAAAATACAGTAATAATTTTAAGGCTTTAGTTCTCCAGGCGTATTAAGTTTTTAAAACCAAATATTGTACTGAAGTATTTCTATTTACTAAATTTTGTGTTGCAATAATAAAAATTATACTACCTTATATAGAGTGTTTAAAATTCTATTTTAAATAATAACTAGCTATAAACGGCAATAACTTCTATAATTTAAATGGAACACCCTGTATATTTTATGGAAATCAGATGCACAATTTAATTGTCTATCAAATTGTGTTATATCATTTTTTACCTATGTCTTCAGGTTTTCGTAGAAAATGCATTTTCTTATAATTTAGACCACAATTATCAATATACCCATGGAATATTGACATTTTTGATTATTTTTAAAGATCTAACAAATTTTTAAAGGTTGCAGATATTAATATTGTCGATAGAGTTCGTTTATGTCATTAAAAAATAAAAAAATAATTGTCTAAATATTTGTAAAAAAGGACCAATTAATATGATTCCAGTATTCAAACTACATTAATTGACTGTTTGCGTTGATTAATAATAATTGCTTCAAATAGTAAAAAACTTAATTTTATATGTGTATTAGACAGTGTGGTAAAAAATAACACCTTAAAAATTTTATTTCATTTTTTGACGGATGCTTATTTATAACAACAGAGACGTTCATTTTCATAACTTATTATTATATTGATTTCTGATTCCAAATCCACATTTATTTAGAATAATTTATTAACTAACACAATTAAATATGTAATTAATTAGTATTTGGGCGGAAATAATGGTGGTATATTTAGTTATGGTACACCCTTTTATAAATATTTAAATAGTTTTATTTTTGTATACAAATAGGCTGGTAATATTATCGCTTTTAGCACCTGTACATTTGTTGCTTTAAAAACAATCTAAAATGTCAATATTCCATAGGTATATTGATAAATGAGGTCTAAATTATAAGAAAAAGCATTTTCTACGAAAACTTGAAGGGATAGGTAAAAATGGTATAATACAATTTGATGGACAATTAAATTGTGCATCTGATTCTCCTCAAATATACAGGGTGTTCCATTTAAATTAAACAAGTTATTGCCGTTTAAAGCTAGAAATTATTTAAAATAAATTTTTAGACACTCTGTATAAGGTAGTATTATTTTTATTATTGCAACATTATACCTGATCAATAAATAAACTTCAGTAAATATTTAATATTAAAAACTTTGATCCCTTGGAGAAATGAAGCCTTAAAATTTTTACTGCAATTTCACAAAATTGAAAATATTTCAAAAACGGTCAGGTTTAAGGGTGATAAACCTTAATCATTTTTACCTTTATTTTAATCATAGAAACTAAAAATGTAATAATATACAAGGTGTTCCATTTAAAAAAATACAACTTTGATATTTTTTATTTATGTGGGACACTCTGTAGCTTGTAAAAATATTTTTAAATTGTAGCTCTAATAGTCCTTCAACGAACCCAAAACTTACAATTTGTAAAAATCTAATCGTTCAGCTACAATACTCCGTGTCGTATGTGGTGAACAACCCTGTATAAGGGGTGAGCTACTTTTAAAAAACACCCCGTATATGTTATTTTCCACGCTCCTCAAATCAAGCAAATCAAGAGCAAAAATAAAATCAGCTAACTAAACTAAAATTAACAAAAACTATGTATAAAAAATAAATAGGATAATTCTTATGTGCGAGCATTATGTACTTGCTACCGTCATAATTTTTTCCGTCTAAAATAAGTATATTTGGTCAAGAAGTAAGTTTAAATATCTTAAAAACTAAACTAAAAATTATTGCACGAAGCAAACGAAAAAAAAATTAATGTAAACAATCTAAAGAAATAATTTAATATCTACGAGACCAAATTATTACACCCTGTGAAATATGTTTTTTTCGAAGTTCTACAAAAAAACTGTATAAATAGTAACCTCAGCGATAAAATGTTTGGTATACAGGGTGACCACTGTTCAGAAAACGTTTTATATGTGATTTCATGTTTGATATTTTCAGTCCGTTTTTTATATCATTTGCGCTTATCTATTTTTTATTAGTACACAGGGCGATTCAAACTATATATCACGCTTAAATTGTATTTTTTTCTAGTTCTGTACATTTAAAACACCTTTAAAATTCTAAAACTCCGAATTATTGTTGCTTTTTTAGTTGAAATATTTTATAATACTGTCCTCTTCCAAACTATCATCTATAGACTGGAATTTCTCACATTTTTTATTTTTGACCACCCTGTATATACCAATCAAATGTATGTAATATACCAAACCTAACCAAACAATATATTGTATTTAGTATCATACTAAACACTTATAAATTACTGTATTTTAAGAATTCTTGGTATTAATTACGATAATTTTAGAATACAAATATTATGCCAATCACCCCGTATATTAAGAAAATTATTTTAAAAGCTGCGCTACCCTTGCAAGCATATTTTGTAAAAATTATAGGTTAAAATGTGAAACTTCGGAAAATTCGATATTTCTTTTCGGAATAGTGAGTCACCCCGTATACTGTTTATATGTGCTTATTTCAATAAATAAGTTACGATTATGTATAAACAGTGTGCATTAAAAAAATATATAATATTTATATATCGAGAAATATTGGAAATCTTTTCTTTAGATCAATCTTAATTTTAATAACAACAGTAAGAACTGAACTCTCTTGTTTATTTAAAATAAAACATTATTATTTATTTGGTATTTCCTTTGTTAGTGTTAATATCAATCATTTTTAACCTAATATTTACAATTAAAAAACACCGTCACGCAAGAATCTGTGTTAAATTAAAACAACCTCAATAAAAAATAATTTTAAAAAGTTCGATTAAAATTAAACTAGATATAGAAAAATATGTTTTAAAAAATTAGTATATGTTAGTAAAAAATATTTGCTAGTTTAACAACTACCCTGTATATAATAAGTATAATCTGTCCAGTCAGAGAATGACAGACGACTGTTACCTGTCATGTATCACTGTTATGTATTGTTTCGCTGGGCAAACTACATTATATGAAATTTTTGCACTGTAATTCTGATTGAATAAAAAAAGAGATCAATTCTTAGCCTTGTTTTGATTTTGCTAAAGTGTCGTATAGTTATTTTTTTTGGAAATTCTTAAATGTAGTTCTGTAATAATAATTGTTTATTGTCATAGATTTTTTTATTTACCTCATTTAGCCCAAAGTTCTTTCTTATAGAAAATGAAGCCCATTTTACCTGAAAATGATTACCTGACAGTAGTGAAGATTCATTTTGGCAAACATTGCGGATTGATACATGGTTGCCAAATCAGCTAGTAAATTATCCAATCCATTATCCCTTTTTTGTGGAGGGACTCAAAAAAGTAGTGATTTGGCTGTCTATAATGATAGCTTTAGCAATTTTGTGTCAAATTTGTGTCAAATAGTACCAAAAATAAAATTACTACTAGAAATGGTCACTTTTTGATAAAAAAAAAAGAATGCAAAAACAATATCTAAAGATCGTGTGTCATGGTATGCTTGCGACAGTGTTTCTAGTGGTTTACTTATCCACGTAAGTATAATATATCTAGGGTTGTAAAATATGTCAATACTGGCTTCATTCAGAACGTCGCAATTAGTAGAATAAATTAGTGGTTTCAATTAACGTAGAAGTTTGTTCCTTTAATATCAATGTAAGCATTCCGAACGTCAAAATTAGTGGTAGACATCTTCAATTAGTAGAAAAAGTTATCAAATTTTTAACTTTTCCACTAATTATACTTCAAAATCTGCGAGAAATGTAATTTTGGCCTGTGACTATCTTCAGTCAAGAGAAATTGTGGTTAGGAATCAAAAGTTTATTGTTTTAAAAGCTAAATATTTGATTTTCTCTATGGATACAACTGACTAACGCAAGCTGTTGCTAGGAGATTCTATTAATTTTAATTGTTTTTTTTTAATATTATGAATGATTGTAAACTAAAAAGTATAAAGTGTAATTGGAACCACTAATTTATTCCACTAATTGCAAAATTCTGAATGAAGCTTTAGTTATTGGAAATATAAAAGTAATTGCGCATAAGCTTTATTTGGTAGCGCATAAGCCCATTTGTCGCAAAATTCTTGACAAATCCTGTATAACTACCCAAACAGAGGTACAAATATACCTCTCCTGTCATCAATTCCAAACATCTACTTAACTAACGACACTCTAGCAAAATACCTTCCTCCCTGCATTCCAATCCAAAACAAACGATTGAATCCTAACAAAAAAAGAATAAAACTAAAAAAGGCCCAGGTCCTCCCTACATAACCCCACTATTTATCGCTGCTCCTTCGCAGTCAGCTTATCGATGAGCTCCTGCAACGGTGCCAGTTCTCTTCGTTCGATCAGGCTGAACTCCTGCACAAAGAAGATAAAGTGCTTGAATGAGGTGTTGAGGTGGGCTTCCTCGCCGAGTTGTACCACCTCGCTGAAGTGCTGGTGGTAGATGTGGGCGTAAACGCGGAACAGGCGCTTCAGGATGGTCTTGGCGATGGACTGGAAGTTTTTGGGGAAGGGTACGCCTGGAAGAGACAAGATGGAATTAGTAGGGGCAAAGATTATTATTTCAGATTTTTCAGTAAGACGGAGAAACTAAATTAAACAAGGATGCATTCGGTCCCTTTAAATCACCGATTTAAAAAGCCACACAAGCCCCAACACAACAGCTGTGCGATCGTGCGACCGGATAAATAAAATTATGCGACGAATATCCTTTTTTTTGTAGTTCAAATCGAAAAAAACAAGAAATGCGAAAAAGAAATTTACTAGAAAATATTTTTTACTTTTTGACGGCATAGCTTTGCTTTTGTTGGGCCTGTGTCGGTATTAGTCATTATTTTCTCCTTGTCTATAGTAGTGATGGGAAAAACTGATTAATTACTCGAGTTTCAAGCGATTGCAATAACCGAGTGATCGCTCGAGCGAAATATTACTCGTATTTAAAAATACGGTTTTTCACCCGTCACGCGTCGCTTGTTGTAAGTACTCGTCAACGCCAAGCGCCAAGCAGTAAGTTGCGCGCGCAGTAATGAATGGCAAGTAGCAAGCGGCGAGCGATTCGCTTGATGGCTTGATTTAGTCTATTTCAAAGCATTGTCGATGTAGGTCGTAAAATTTTGTCCCTCAAATACGCAACGAATAAATATATATACGGCGTCGTATAAATTTGCTATCTGCAATGTATGTAGAAAATTCGCTCGGCTTTTTATCGAGTATGTCACATTAAAATCGGATTTCAATTTATTTCATTCCAGGATCGCTTGCGTTCGTCCTTGGTATTCGCCACTTGCATCGCTCATAATCGAGCGATGTCGATTATTTCAATAATCGAGTACTCGAGCGAATTTTCGCTCGAGTTATCCCATCAATAATCAATAGCTAGCCTACTTTATTCGTCAACCAATCTTACTTTTATACTTTTTAAACTAATACCTGTTTTGTCGCTTGATGTTTACGCTTTTTTAAGAACTTAAAATATGACAAAAATCTAAAAAAATGCATTCCCAATTTTAATTAGGAATACATTTTTTACAAACGGCAACAATGCATTCGAGAAAAAAAAGGAAGTCTGACAACGCCTTTACTCCTGTTAAAGGTCCGAGGCAGTCCGAGGTCACGGCGGCATTTACCAGCAAGGTGAAATAAGTCAAATAAGAGCCACATCTGAAATAATAATCTGTGGTAGGGCACTATTTAGTAATCTCTTATTTTACAAATTGTTATTTATAAATATCAGTTAGTGCATGTCATCTGTGTCTGATTATGTCTGATTATAATCAAGCATTACAGAGATGATTTGCTTTAGGAATAAATGGAATAACAGCCACTACCCATACCAAACAGTACATATTTTACGTAAAAAGTCACGAAAATATATACAGGTACAGACGAAAAGTTATTACTCTTCAAAACAGTTAAAACACGTGTAGGTGGCGTCCCCTAGAAATAAGAGTCATATTGACATCAAAATCAGATTTCTCATTATTTCAAAAAACTCCTAGACACGAATTTTCATCCAAATATTGAAGTTACTTCAGAAATTATTTGGAAAAGAACGAAATAAAAAAGAAACTTCTACACCCTGTATCTCCGAAACTAAGCATTTTAGGCCATACATTTATACGAACTTTTTTACTTATTTTTATCTGCAGAATAAGCTGCCGAAGTTTCCGGAATACAGTTCTGACCACCCTGTATAAAGAAAAATACAAATTGATCTTAAGCAAAAAGTATATTTTCAATTTTCACACATAATCATGAAATCAAATATTTTTAGACCTAATATTACTGCTTATAGGACTATATTAAAAAAATAAAGTGTAGAACTTTTTACCGAAAGAAGGTAAATATGAAAATTAATTAACACTATTCTGTGTTGAAACAACCCAATTTAAGTCAGCTTATTAAACAATGTATAGGTATTTTTGTAGACGTAAAATTCTGATTAGTAAGGCATTAAAGCGTATCGACCATAGACTTAAAATAAAATATAGACTACACTATTTACATCTCAACGCGGACAAACAACCTTTTTTGTACACATGTTTACTTCTGGGTACAGTCGACCTAACCTTCCTCATCCAGCCTATGTTGTCACGTCTTTAATATTATCAATATTTTTTTTCTTGTTATACACATATATTGAGATATTAATACTACAGTTTAATAAAGTAGGTTTTAATATTCCATAGATGTATTAAATAGTCCTTATACTACTAAATTATAAGTCGGATACTGTTTAATAAGGATAAGTTCTTTACAATATGACAACACCGATTAGAGGCGAGGGAGCCTATTCATTCATTTATTACCTTGTAGTACGTGTCGCACGTGTGCGGTAAAGCTTTGTTGCCGCTATCTCCCCGGCTGTATTAACGCATTTTCTTAGCTTGTAGTCCTTAAGTGTTTATTTTATTGACTTTTCTGTTCAAAAACTATAAAATATGGTTCGCCAGTGCCAAATTTGCAAGAAATTTGACTTAAATAATCCATTTAAGTCTTGAAACGACTTTTTGACCGGTAGGCAACTCTCAATTTACCCATTGGCAGTCAGTGGCGTTGTTGTAGAAAGGCGCTTATTTAGATAATATTTTAGTAAAATGTAAAATCTGAATTTTTTTCTTTTACGTTACATTATTTACTTACTTACATTGTAACAAAATCATAATTATAACCCTGTTAATAATTAATAATGTTTTTATTAAAATATATTCCGGTTTATTCTAAAATTATCTTCAGAATCTAAAATAACATACAAGAATTTTTAAAATGATATTACATTATGAAACAATATTTTTAATATACCGGGTCGTCTCAAAAGTGGCTCAACCCTATAACTTTTTTATTTTTCAGATAAAAAACAGATTTGTATGTTAGTAGGTATATGACATAAATTAGGATTTATTGACGTATTCAATTGTTTTTGGTCTCTTCCTGTTTTACCGAAATGATTACATCTTTTTATTTTTTAAAGGCACCCTCGGTATATTGCTACTTTATTCGATAAAAAATGACACTCTGAATAGAGTGACATATCATATGTCAACTTTTGACATTGTCGCTTAAAAACATATCCTATTTTAAATTTCAATCCAGTTTTTTCAATCCACTAAGTTTTAATCAAGGAGCCTTGGAAAAATAGTTTTGATCGTCTAATAGGTTTCGTGTCTTGTCTAGGCCGGTTAAAAGATGTACAAATCGTATTTTTAATCATACATACGTCAATTTTTCAAATGGAACAAGGGTGACTCATTAGCATATTTGGAAAAAGCATTTTTATGAATATATTGATACCACACACTTGGTATTTCGAGTCAAATTGTCGTTATGAACCGCGTGTTACAATTACAATTAAACCATATGCGAAAATGTCAAAAGTTGACATATGATATGTCATTCTATTCAGAGTGTCATTTTCTATCGAATAAAAAATTAAAAGTTATAGTCATTTCCGGTTAAAAAGGAAGTGACCAAAAACAATTGAATGCGTCAATCAATCCTAATTTATTTCATATACTAACATACTAAATCTTGTTTTTTATTTGAAAATATATAAAAATTATGGGGGATGAGCCACTTTTGAGACGCTACACCGGTATAATAAAGACAATACCGAGTTAAATAAATGTAGTTTTTATTTTATCCACTTCCTATCACCTTCCTTGCTTTAATGGAACAGATATTATGTTTTCTCTAATTTACATAATAAGACATCCTTAGCCAGAAAAAAATTACAACAATCATATTTTTTTTTCTCCCTGTCGCCGATTCTATTATATCTGTGGAATAGATCCTGTTTTGATTAATATTAGGGGTTGTAAATGTTTGACTAAAATTAATAATTTATTATTAATTTCAAAAATTACCTAATTTCGATTATAAAATTTCTTCTATAACATGTATTTTATTATTTTTATCCTTTTTTGACTCTAAATTGTTTTTTCTAAACTTTTATTTAAAAAACCTGTCCTAAATCTTAATAAAATATAAAAAAGTTTAAATACGATATATTTTTAATTTAATTATAGCTTCATTAAAATAAAAAAAATACGCGGCTATGATACGGAGAGTTCAGGTGTACTTGAGGAAACGAAAGACAGTGTTGTGTTTCTCGGCAGAGTCGTCAGGGAACGACCGTTACGACAGAGACAACCTATCTATCGCTCGTGTCGCACTCGTTATAACCTAAAACAATAACACAACAATAACAAGACAGTGTCTGACCGCATGTTCCAGCTATTTATGAATGAGATGCTCAGTCTATATTTTATTTTAAGTCTATGGTATCGACCGACCGATGAAAATCACGAAAGTGGAAAGAGAATTATGTTTTAATTGGTAGCTTTTGTAGGATATTGTCTCTATTTCATAACAGCAGAACCAAGAATAGAAATAAAAATAATTCGATGAGTCAGAGACGAGAAAATTTATAAAGAAAAAACAACAAGTAATAAAAGAACCGGAAATAATGTACAATCCCTTTTACTAAATATAGATTAACAGTGTGCTAAGTCATGTTCGAAACATTAACCAATAAATACAGGGTGTTCCACAGAAACCTGTATAGGGTGTCCCAAATTCGAGCTTCTGCCTGAACAGGCTTTATAATAAATTATTCAGGTATTGATTACAACAAGAATATTTTGAGAAAAAAAACAGTTAAAATACAAGCCGATGATTTAGAAAATAATATCCAGCATCTATACTAATATATGAAATTCTTAAGTGACTGACTAAATGGTGGGTTCATACAGCCAAATAAAATAAAATAAGAATAAAATAAAATAAGAAATAAGGAATTCTTATTTGTGTGCGTTCATACAGTCAAATAAAATAAAATAAGAAATATATATTTGCTCATGCGCAGTATGATGAGGCTGGATAAAAGTTAACTTTTACGATTGTTTATAGTAATTTTACTATTTATAGTATATTTATTTATTCGTTGCCTACTATATTATACATTTTACTTATGTGAAATTATAAAATAAATTAAATCCAAACTGAAAATATTTGTAGGTTAGAATTAAGCGTGCGCAAAGCCGTTTTCACATAAAATAAAACAAGAAGTTAAAAGATAAAGACTTCTTATTTTATTTGTTATTTTATTTGGCTATCCCATATAACCAACTTTCTTATTTTATTTTATTTTATTCTTATTTTATTTTATTTGGCTGTATGAACCCACCAATACTGATTAACCACGATCCTGCTCAAACCACTCAACGTAAGAAGCTCAATTTTGGCATACAGGTTGATTCTAGGGTGTAGAGGTTCGATAAGAAGGGATTTTTTGAAATTCCAGTTCCAAGGGGGTGAAACCACCCCCCAAATATTACAATATGTTTTATTTAAAAAATGGTCAAGTTTCCAAAAAAACGCTTAAACCCGTATATTTTATTTTGTTGTTTTACATATTTTAAGATTTTTTTATAAATTTATACAGGGTGTTTCATAAAATATGACCATTGAGTAATCACGATTCTGCTTAAACTGCTTGACGTTTAAAGCTGATTTTTGGTAAACGGATTGATTGTGGGGTGTAGAGATTCGGTAAGGAGGGGTTTCTCGAATCTCAAATTCCAAGAAGGTAAAAACGACCCTCAAATATTACAATATTTGTTATTTAAAAAATGGTTAGTCTCTCGGGAAAACGCTTGGACAGGCAAAATTTATTTGCTTTTTTTACTTACTTTGAATTTTTTAAAAAAATCATACAGGGTGTTCCAAAAAGTTGGGTAATTTCTTAACCACGATTCTGCTTAAACTGCTTGACGTAAAAAGCTTATTTTTGCAAACGGATTTTTCGAAAGTCAGATTCCAACGACATCAAACTACCCCTCAAATATTACCATATTGTTTTTTCTCATGCTGACATAAATGTGAGAAAATTTTATCCAGTTTGTATGTTAATGGAAATTCTTGCTTTGCTTTATCATCACCATTACAAATGATTAATTCGACGCGAACGAAGTCGCTGGTACACACTAGTCAATAAATTTGGACAAAATATCTCACAGCACAACAATGTAAAGCTTTTTTAGGGGATATAGCAGTTGCTCAGGATCAGTGGCTACAATAATAACTCCTTATTTTTTGTTTAAGTTACATATACATAGTAGTTCAAATGAACAACAGACAGTGTTTTGATATTAAAATTCGAAATTAATTATCTGATTACTAAAATATGAAAAGAATAGATTGTGATACAGGGTGCTAAAAATTCGGGGTACGAGCATTGGTATGTCGGTAACCGTAATAGATACGAAGATGTTTAAATTAGGGCAAAATTGCGCTTTGGGATGTTCACCAAGACGCCATCAAAAAAGTTTTAAAAATTTCAATGATTGCTGAGTTTTTTGGAAAAAACAGATTTTTTTGAAAATCAGTTTTTTTTTCCTGTCGTTACTTTTTGATAAATCAAAAAACTAATTGCTCATTCTCATAGCCACTTTATTAGGGCTATCTGACAGTATTTTTAGATTTTCAAATTAGCTGACAATTTGTGAGATACAATTTATTTAAACTAATTTCAAGTCCGGGTCTGTTTTTTTTAAATGTTTAATCTATTCATCGCTACAATATTGATAAGCTTTCAGACTTAACAATGACGTGGAGTAAGACATTGAATACGGAAAATCAAATGCAATAAAATAATATCTTTAAATTGCTCACCTGGATATTACTTATTTGAATCTTCCAATTGGCTCGATTTTCCTTATTCGATGTTAATTAGCGCTGATCAATATTGTTGCGATGAATATAATCAGATTAAATAATTTAAAAAACCAGAGTCGGACTTGAAATTATTTTAATTAATAATTATACTAAGGGCTGGCAAATGTTAGTCTTGGGTCGAGATTTCCGTATGTAAGAAGAGTACAGTGCGTTTATAATGTACTGAACAAAGAGAGGACAGTAAACACGTTGCCAAACGTATGAAATAAACCGAGAAACTGTGCACATCGCTAAGAGACATGGAAGGGAATATAGCAGATTTGTCGCAGTTGACCGGTCGACCCAATCAATACCTCTGTCAGTACTTAAAGTTCTAGGGAAAGGTGTACGTCATGCGTTCAGCTTCACGATTTAATTACGTCTCGTGATACTGGATTTGTTTATTTATTAACGAGTCGTTGTAATTTTCCCTATAGCTTGAATTTTTTTAAGTGCAAACTAGAAACACTTGCATTTTTGGTAAAAATAAGTGGAATTGAGTGGGTGTTCGATAGTGGTCACGCTATTAGAACTCTGAATTCAAAAATCGATATCTCGAAATCTATTAGAAATAATAGTTTGTAGTTTTTTCAAGAACTTTGTTAATATTTCTGCTGTATTTTCTTTGTAGACAGTATGTGAAAAGCTTTATCAATAAAAAAATTACACGATTGCTGAAAATTGCTATGCTCTAAAAGTAAATGGATGGATTGTTTACAATTTTTGAATGGAAAAATCAACCTTATCGAATTTTTCTTATGTAAACATATTGTAAAATATCCGATCTTGAAAATAAAAAAAAAAGTTTCAATATCTAAAGTGGTTCTTGAGTTATGGCCTGTTATGTGTTAAAAGTTGAGTTTTTAAATTATCGCGATTACTGACGTTTTCTCGTTATAAAGAATGACACCCTAACGATATCCTTATAATTCTATTTCAGATGCTCAGAAACATTACAAACCTAATGATTTTATCTAGTTATCTCTTGAAAAAAAGTCTTTTAAAAATAAGCGGTTTGCGATCGTCATTTTACTTTACTTGATAGGGAAAGGCGTATCGGCAACGCCGCAACAGCACACCGCGGTCGGTCGCATTTCTCTCACTCCGACTTAATAAGATCCCAATGCGATTTACTTCTACACATGTAAATGCCGACCCAAAAGTAACAGTTGCCAGCACGGTATAGTTTTGTTGTTGTTAAGATACCCAAAACAAAAAAATGTATAAAGTGTAGGATATCATTGTACTCAGGAGACCGGTCTTTCAAAACCTGAAATAAAACATGCAAGTGCGTATTTAAAAAAATTAAGTTGGCATCTGTATCTCACAAATTATCAGCTAATTAAAATTTTATTTAAAAATTTTATTTAATTTAAAAATCTTAAAATACTCTCAAATAGCCCTAATAAAGTGGTCATGAAAATGTGCAATTAGTTTTTGGATTTTCTAGAAAGTAACGACAGGAAAAAATAAATTGATTTTCAAAGAAATCCGTTTTTTCCAAACCAAACTCAGAAACCCTTGAAATTTTTTAAGCTTTTTTGATGGCATCTTGGTGAACATCTCAAAGCGCAACTTTGCCCCAATATAACCATGTTCGTATCTATTACAGTTACCGAGATGCCAATGCTCGTACCCCGAATTTGTAGCACCCTGTATAATTATTATGTAATAAAACAACATATCAATTCAAATTACTGACACAACTGTCATTGTAATGGATCCTCTGATTGTAAAGACTGTATATGAATATTATTATACTGTATATGAAGATTTTGTCCATAACTACAATACAATCGAAAAAAAAAACGGCGTCAGGGATGGCTTCGAAATGAAGACCTGTCATGAAGATCACTGTCATTTTATATGTAAAATGATATGGGGAATGTCAATAATACTATATTTTTGAAGTGAACTTACCTATTTTAGAAGGGAACAACGTTTCGTCATCTAACTGATCCTGCACCCACGTCATCAAATAATCAATGTATTTTGGTGCGGAACACTTTATTGGTTTCTTAACTGTATGCCCATCGGCCCAGTGGTACTCGTATTTCGGACCAGCGGACATGATGGGACAGCTTTCTTCCGTGCAAAACTCCGTTATGGTACCGTACAACATGTTGATTTGGTTGAAAAAATCCACAGCTGAAAATTAAAAAAAATATGTTGAATGAATTCAAAAATAAATATTATTAAAAATGTTTAGTTGCTACAAATACAACATTGCTAAAGTTGTTTCAACTAAACTCTACAAAAATTTTAGACCTCCTCTAGATTTTATTATTTCCATGAGATTATTCCTATTTAATAGTCTATTACCATAGTTTAAGGAAAAGAGTAGTTGCACTCTCGCAAATATTTTCTGCCAGTTTTTGCAATCTGTCGATGGCCGCCAAAACTGAGTAGGTTCTTAGTTTAGAAGTATTTTTGATTTAAAATGTAAAATATGGATATTTTTTAGTTGTTGGGTGCGTTCTCTTAAAAATTCTTTTTATTTAATTCAAAAGTGAAAATCGAAAAACAGGCAGCGCCGTCTATCTGGGGCAACCCAAACTAATGCCATAACTGCGCTCTGTCACAACTTTTTGATTTAGAATGTAAAATATGAATATTTTTTAGTGGTTAGATGTGTTCTCTTAAGAAGATTGTAGCTTACGAAATAATAGCATAAATAATTAATTAATTAATTTTATAATAGCATAATCTCTTATAAATTTAGTGGACTGTATTTTTTATGTTTTTTTTTTATTTTATTTATTTTTTATTATAAGTGGTCGTAATATAATAATATTCAAGTTATTATAGACAAAATATTGCGTTTATATTTGAGGGAAGAAAAGTGCCACACCTAGCTTTAAATCACCGTAAATATACAGAGTGGCCCATTAGTGCGAGGAAGTCCAATATCGTCGTCGTTGTCGAAGATGTGAAAAAAGTTTTACTCATATGTTTCAAGATTTATAAAGAGGCGTATCCTAAAATATTTCGTTATATACAGGGTGTCACAAAAAAGTTACGGTAAAGTTAATTTTATTTTTTTTTTAATTATTTTACCTCATTCTATATACATTATTCTATATAGGGTATTTTTTATGGCGACACGAAAATCGGAATATTTAAAATGGTATATCTCAATTTTTTTTAAATGCAACATTCTGTATATTATTTTTCTGTCAGATGCAGAATTAAAAAGTGAACATTTTTTTATTTAAAGTGTTTCTATATTTTTAACGGTTTCGCAGATATTCGCAGTATTATATTACATATGGCTCTTTCAACAGTAAATTTTTATCAAAGCCACCTAATATGATCTTTGTCTAATATTCTATCGTTGAAAATCCCATATGTAATGAAATACAGAAAATATTTGCAAAACGGCTAAAAATTTAAGAACACTTTAAATACAAAAAATGTTCACCTTTTAATTCTACATCTGAAAGAAAAATAATATACAAGGTGTTGCATTTAAAAAAAACGAGATACAACATTTTAAATATTACGATTTTGGTGATGCCATAAAAAATACCCTGTATACGATAAATTTTTCTACAAGAATCCTGGTATCCTTCAAGTTTAAGAAAACATAGCTAAGTATTAATAAAGTTATATTCACTCTAGTTTTTTACCACTTTTCGTATATAATGTTTTTAACCAAAGTTTTAGTAAATAAGAAATAGAATGGCAACACCGCAGTGTGCTTTAAATAAAGATAGTGTACTGTATGCAGAATTTTATGCCGAATCCAGTTATCTACAGAAAATTAAACTTATTTTAAATTTAAAAAAAAGTTGTAGAAAATCTATGAAATAGACAATAATATAAAAATATATCATTATATATTTTTCCGCATTTCTTCCCATCATCAGAAGATTTTCAGATACAGAAGAATTGTTACCTACACGAAATGTGAAAATATTCTGTTTTCAAGCAAGTTTTTACTCGATGATCATTTTTTTTTATTTTATTTTATTGTGAACTCATATTTTCCTAAATACATATCTGTGAAACTATGGCGAGTGCCACGACTATACTTTGCCTAGTTAATAGACCACAACTATACAGCTACGTCAGTGGTCACGGGAGGCGAGAACAAGGGCATATAAAGTGGCAGAAAAAGAACAAAGGATTTGACAAGGAGTAAAGCTACTAGTTTCCTTATACTATGCTATTACGCTGTACATTCGGGTCGCTCTCGGGGGTGGGGTAAAGCGGGTGTGTGGCCGAAGGAAATCTATATTATAATTCAGAAATCTGCCTAAGGCTTAGCCCGATCCTGTCGTGTTAAGCCACACCCAAAATTCCAAACACGCGTGCTTTGATTAAGGCTTGATTAAGGTTTGCAGAGCTTCAGCATTTGCCATAAATTAGCAAGCAATTTGTTACAAAACCATAAAAATTATATCAGTGTAATCACAAAAATTAAATCTATTTCCGTATTATAACGGAATTTTAAATTATGTCTTTATTTTCGAGAAAATTTAGTCCAAACATAAGGAATATTTTGTTGATGTTTGACTATCAAAATCTTAAAAATAAAAAAGTTGTCTAAAAATGTGCTACAATACGGATATAGTATAATCCTTTATCTTTAATTTTCTTCTTCATTTGTGTAAAAATACCGAGCCAGTTTTACATAAAACGTTAAATGCCGAACGCTTATTTTGCTACTTTTTCGGACTAGTGAAATGGACTTAACAGCTATGGATACTTACTGTTAACAGCTACCCATTCATTCAAGTCTTCTCCTTCGGGTAGCATGACAGCTAACCGTAAATTTCCTGATCCTAAAGTGGCAGCTGCATGTTTCATTAATTCATACTGATGTGTGCCTTCAGGTATATTCTTCTTAGGTTTAAAAGTCTTCGAAGAACGACTTCCACTAGAAAAAAAATAATAAATTAATTTTTACTTGTCTGCTTTTCACTTTCATTTACTTTTTTGGTTTAGACAAAGTTGTTAAGGTACGTCTACACATAACTTTTTACCTGTCAGTTTTGCATGTCAGGTAAAACAGAAAACCATTTATAAGCGATACTAATTGAACTTTTATAGTTACGTAATCGAAGGCGCGATTTTTAAATTCATTGTTACCAACAATGGCCATATTTGGCGCCGGGCTGACTAAATGGAAATTGCCAAGTTTATTTATTTATTTTCTGACATTGCCATTCGTCTTGACACTTTATATATATAAAAAAAAAAGATAAAATACACCAAATTTGGTTATATTTCACAAGGTCGGGAATGTTTTGCTAAGTTGAAGGAATATGAAGGTTTTTTAAGGCTCCTTTGAAGGAATTCGCTCGAAAATCTCTGACAACACTGCTCTAAATGATCTTCCGTCTTAATTCAATTCACGAAAAACGGACTGGTTTTTCGTCCTACTGAACAGGTAAGACTGACAGGTAAAACCTTATGTGTGGACATAGCTTTAAACAAAGTTGGTACTTATTCCCATTAATTAATAGGTACATATTTACCTATTTATTTATTCATGTTTTTACAGTACCCATCATTTTATATAGCTATTAGGTACATTATTTACAATCTATGACATACATACACAATATGATCCTAAACTTTTATGATCAAGCTTGCTTACATTTTAAATAAACAATTTGATATTTTTAGATAAATTATTCACTTTTTTAACCGTCAAAGTCTGCTTGATAGTAAATATGTTTCATTGCATGATTTGAATGCACAATGTTTGATTCTGATATCCAATATGATTTTATTGCAAATATGCAGACCTTTAGGCAAAAGGGTAAGATCAATATCTATATTTGGATACTAAGAATGGCAAATGGCCAAAATAATATGAAAATAAATCAAAACTTTTGTAAAATATCTGGACAACAGTTCATTGCCAAAGATTCATTACATGACACTCTAGGTGTCCAAGAAGATATTACAGAAAGAAAATATCAAAAATTTGCTTTATAAATCAAATAGTAGGTATGTAGGTACTATTAGATATAACAAATTAGTTGCAAAAACCAAAATTTATAGAATTATTTAAGAATAAATGTAGTTGGTAATAGATATTGAGGATTCTGAGTGATCCAGAAAGTATTAACAGCATTAAAACAATGACGTTTCTTTATTATTGAAATAAAACTTAAAATATTGGTAAAATATCGGTGAAATCAATAGATTTGTATTTTATTTTAAGAACCATTACCATCGTCTAAAAATAGAACCCAATTTTTCCAGTTTTTTAAAGACCGTACCTACAAATGAGTCATACTTACAAAAAGAAACTCATTTTTCCAAACGATTCCGATGAAAACACAACAACACTACACTAAAGAAATAAAGCGAATGGTGAAGAAAATGTTACGGAAAAATTTCACAACAAAAACTCGGTTTTTCTTCACAAAATCAATGACCTTTCACTTGGCCACTCAGATGTTCAATTGTTTTGATGTCAGATGGCAAAAAATCGTACGTCAGTTTACTATTTTTATTTATTGCTTAAAAAAGTGTTACAGCTTACAGCTGACATCAAAATATCAAGTGCTTATTTGATTCATAAATTAATCTTCAAAAATTATTGTTTATTATTGAATTTTGAAGCAATTTTATAATAAATTTTACTGTTTTTAAAGAGCACTATACCATGGCCATCATAAATAAAAAGAAGAATTTGACATTGACAAGTTGACATAAATTACGCAGGTCCGTATTTATGCCAAAATCAATCAATGTAGATCTCACTAAAAATATTATGAAATATTAAATTTTTAGTTAATAATCAAATGGCAACAAAAACTGTAGCGACGGCAACGGTCCGGGCAGTTAAACGAAAATTACTACCTACAAGGCAGGCTTTAATATTGGTAAGTTTAAAATTTGTTCTTATGTAAAAGGTTTCTAACCTCAAAGACTGTTTTTCTTTTACCTATTTCTGACTACCTATTTTCAATAATTAAATTTTACAGACCCCCTCAGCAGTTAATCGAATAAAGGAATTATTAAAAGACAAGACTGAATATGTAAGTAAACATAAAAAACATTTTCTTGCTGTCAAAAAATCATCCAAATAAAAACAATTTATTTGTCAACAAACTTGTTTTTCTTTCTAGATTGGTCTCAAAATCGGTGTTAGGCAACGAGGTTGCAATGGATTATCATATACTCTGGATTATGCCACGAAGAAAGGTAAAAATCAACACATTTTTAATCATTTTAATACAACTTTTTATATTATTTTAGAAAATCTTGACGAAGAGGTAACTCAAGATGGTATAAAAGTATTTATCGACAAAAAGGCTCAATTGACGTTACTGGGAACTGAAATGGATTACGTACAAAGCAAGTTAAGTTCAGAATTTGTTTTTAATAATCCGAATATAAAGGGAACTTGTGGATGTGGGGAATCTTTTAGCGTGTGATATAAAGTGTTCAAATATTTAATGAAATTAAGTAGATAATTATACTTAGAAAGCAAGTAGTAAAATATAATACACCAAAGTGAAACTAGGGTACACTTATTATGCTACTGGCATTTAGATAGGAGTTTTAGGAAAAAATTCTCAAGAATAAAAGAATATAAAATGATAAACTCATATATTTAAAATAGATATTATTTAATTTAAAATATAAAAATAGAACTATACAATAAATTAATTTATTTTATAAAATAACTGATTTATATTTAACTTGTCCGCTCTTAAAAATCTAAACTTTTAAAATTTATAGTAGTTTTGGCTGCTGTTTCAGCTTTGTCAAGTCCAAAATTTTATTGGGCGTTTCTGGACCGAATCTGTGTTCTGTAAAATAAAACTTTGTTTATGTATATTTTATACAGGGTGATCCAGTGTTAAAAAAGTTCTATATCTGGTTTTGTATGTGAAATTTTAACTTTTATAGGGTGGCTCCCCTGTATATTATTGCATTTTTGCCTTCCTTTCAGAGCACCTTATATATTCCTAAGATATCAGTAAATATATTTCGGTAGTTTCAGAAATATTAATAAATAAATAAAAAAAAAATTCAGCCTTTTTTAAAAAAAAATATTAAAAATACAAGAAATGTCGTGAAATTAAAACTATATTAGGTACTTACTTCAGATGGTCTATACTTACTTTGCTATAAATATCGTAATCATAAATCATACAGGGTGTTCAAAATTCTACGCCAAAGTTTCTAAAATATAAAATAATTTTTCTGTGTTTTATATATATTCATATTAATTATTTAACTATATATTATGTTTTTATTAGATCGAATATTAAAAAATGAACAATTTTTGTATTATTTCATATGGCTTTTTCAACGGTAAAATACCAGAAAAAAATCATTAGGTGGCTTTGATAAAAATTTACTGTGGAAAATGCCATATGAAATACAAAACCGCGAATATCTGCGAAACCGTTTTTTGAAAATTTTTTTAAATACTCTAGATACAAAAATGTTCATTTTTTAATTCTCTATCTATTGAAAAAATAATATACAAGGTGGTACTACATACTACATTTAAAAAACGAAGAAAAATTATTTTATATTTTAGAAAGTTTGGCGTATTATTTTGAATATCCTGTATGATTTACGATTACCATATTTATAGCAAAGTAAATATAGACCTTCTAAAGTAAAGACCTAATATAGTTTTGATTTTAGGACAGTTCTTGTATTTTTAATAATTTTTTTAAGAAGGGCCAAGAAATATATATTTTTTATTAATTTATTAATATCTCTGAAACTATCGAAATATATTTACTCATATCTTAGGATTATGTAAAATAATCTGAAAGAAAGCCAAAAATGTAATAATATACAGGGTGTTCCTTTTAAAAAAATCATCCTGATCCACTTACACTTTTTTGTGTCACCCTATAGAACTTAAAATATTTTCCTGAAATACATCCAAGTACATATTTTAGGTTTGCACACAAACAAAATTCCCAAGTTTTTTATTCTAGGAGGTACAGATGCCCAACACACTATTGCCGGACCCTGTATATTGAGCTTCTTCAGAACACTGTGTCGCTCTGTATAATTGCATTCCTAATATATTTATTTACCTCTTTTCCCGTTGGAAATTAGATTGTACTTCTTCATGTACTGTACAGTGGCGAAAGAAAACTCCGGCCTATTTTTTATTGCACCTACTTTTTCCTTTGGCGTTAACATTGCGGGGTTTTGATGTGCATTAGCTCTTTTACTGATTTTTGCTAAGTACTCATCGGGCAAGTATTTCATTAAAAGTTGCTTCACCGTGTAACTTATATCTTCCTGGTTGTATGACTGGTCCCCTGTATCATCAGAAGAACTAAAACAATCACATTATATCATTATTAAAATTGTATTTTATTACTTTTTTAGAAAAATACCAGCTAGAACTTTGGTCCAAATTGGGTACTTCCACTCCAATGTTTCTCAAATGATTTAGCGTTGCTTCTTTTACTTTATGTATAGTTTCGTTCTTTAGTTTTTTACCAATATGCTGACCGTTTTGTTCTTGAAAGTTATACATTTCTTCTTTTGTCTGTATTTGAGCTTTCTGAAGTATTTTGTTTACTTGGGTCTAAAAAAATCATAGTACTTCATGTAGAAACAAAAAAATCAAAATTGTGTTAAAATAAAAATGAAATAAAAATAGTATATTATTTAAAACACATAAGTTTGGGTCATATTACAAAAATGACATCTCCCAGAGAAAAACTATTTACACCCTTGGATTCTACAAGAAAACCTCTACAGAACACAGTTTTCACCTTTTCAGTAAGTTAACTGAGCTACAAGGTCAGTTGAAAAATGTAACAATTTCAAAGTTACCCTGTATTCAATAATTAACCGGGGTCAACTTTCGTTTAGCTGAAATCAGTTATTAGAAAAAAAAAATTGTCTTCAAAAAGCTACTGTGAACCACGGAAAACACAAATTTTCCTGCGGAAATGCGTAATTTCCAAATTTCGCACTTTAGAATAACTGAAATCTGCTATAAAAAAATACATTTTGCGTTTTATTTTTAATGTTTTTCTGAACATATAAACACAGAAATTTATTAGACTTTAGAATAGCTGAAATCAGTTATATAAAAAATAAATATATTTTTGCCTTTTAGAAGCATTCACGAATTGAGGAAAATAAAAGTTTTCCTGCGGAAATAAACTGTATCCATTTTCTGAGGAAATTTAATAGACTTTAGAATAGCTGAAATCAGTTGCATAAAAAACAAATATATTTTTGCCTTTTAGAAGCGTTTACAAACTCAGGAAAATAAAAAATTTCCTGCGGAAATGCTTGATTTTCATTTTCCATTTGTTCCTTATTATATTATCAGGTCTTGTAAAGTATACAGTACGTCTGTCCGTTCTGTAGCTACGGGGTATCCATTAGAGGGGAAACGATTCTCTCGATGTTTTTCGTAAAAAATTAGACGACGCGTCCCATCAATAAAAATTCGACAAATTTGCAAGTAGCCAATAAAATGAGTGGGCGGAGCGATTTGCGGTGATGTACTCGTCAAGTCGACGTATAAAATATATTGCTGTTTATTTAAATGTTTTTTGTCCGCATTCTTTTCATAGACACAGATCCAGCAGACGTACTGTAAGTACCCACGAATTTAGTTTTTTTTTTGGCAGAAAGTCCTATGTTTATAGAACAGTTTAAAAGAAAAAAATCCTTGGATGAAGCACTTTTGAACCAAAAAAAATCATTTGTTATTAATCAAACCTATAAAATTTAATAATTTTTTTGCTAGTTGCAATAGAATAATCGACACAACCTCGATAGAAAAAATTTTTTTTTACAATAATAATAGGCACAAAAATATTACTTCAGAACTGAACTTTAAATTAATTAATGAGACATCATTACATAAAATTATACAGTCAATTAAAACAAATGCGGTTGGTGAAGACAATTTGTCAATAAAGAGATCTACAACTATGCATGCCGTTTTGTGGGGAAACCACTAATGAATATAATAAATACCTGTATTCTTGAGAATGTTTTCCGGATTTGTGGAAAAAATCTGTCATAATACCTATTCCAAAAAACGAATCCTACAAATCAGGAAGACTTTAGACCTATTAGTATTTTGCCGGTTGTTTCAAAAATAGTAGAGAGACATATCTGTAATCAAGTTATTACTTACACCGATTTAATGAAAATTATTCCTGATTGTCAATCAGGTTTTCGTAAAAATTTCAGTACAACTACATGTCTTGTTAAGCTTATTAATGATATAAGACTTTCCCAGGAAATGAAAGAAACAACGTGTTTAAGTCTGCTTGATTTTAGCAAAGCATTTGACGCGTTAAATCATAACTTATTACTAGCAAAGTTGCATTATTTTGGACTATCTGAACAATCCGTTAACTTTTACGTGCTTACCTTACTCAAAGATCGCATTGTGTTGGCATAAAAAAAGACTTTAGTCTGCTAAAATCTCCTTATACTCCTATGACCGCTGGTGTTCCTCAGGGATCAATATTGGGCCCGCTATTATTCTCTTTATATGTAGCAGACATGAATGACGAATTATCGCATTCTAAGTTACAACAATACGCTGATGATTCACAATTGTATCTATCTTTCACCAACGAGAATTATATCATATCAATTTACAATATAATATTGATATAAATAGGATTGATAAATTTGCTACAGATCATAATCTGAAATTAAATACTTCGAAATCTTGTGTACTTTTTTTGAATCCAGCAAGACTCGAGTGACGGGTATTACAAAAAATTTCAAAGTTGAGATCAATAATGTTTTGCTACCTGTAGTTGCTGAGGCCAAAAATCTGGGAATACATGTCGATTCAAAACTTACTTTCAATTCACACATTAAAAATAAACTTACTAATGCATATTGTCGCTTAAAAAAACTAAATATTTATAAAAAATTTCTACCACCTTTTGTTAAATATTACTTATGCAATACACTTATTTTATCATTGTTTGATTATGGTGATATAGTCTATGATGCCTCGTTATCTGCAGGGCTAGCGAAATCTATACAAAAATTCAAAATTCATGTATGCGATTCTCGTTTAATATACCCTATAGACATCACATTATACCATACCTAAATAGTAATTCTATATTATCAATGTGCAATAGACGTAAATGTCATATGTTATCATTTATTTATAAAGTTTTAAAAACCGGAAAACCACCCTATTTAAATTCACTTTTCAATTCTCATGAACATTCTTATTTTACCAGAAATGTAAATAATTTCAAAGTCCCCCAGCACAGAACTGCGGCATTTCAGAGATCTTTCAGCTTTGTAGCGATTCAATTGTGGCATCAGATTCCTAAATGCGTTCAAGAGCTTTCATATGAAAAATTTGTAAATAGTGTCAAGTCTATATATTTAGAACAACAAAAACAAAACCGTTAGAAATTTAAACGAGTGACTAACCTGCCTGCCTGCTTTCGTCGCCTTTTAGTTTTTAATTTTAATAATAACCTGATGATTTCAACTTAATTTAACTTTTCCCTGGTGCCCTAGCCTTCCTCCTGGTCATTCCCGTTGATTGCATTCTCTTTTTTTGTATTTGAGTATATTTTATGTATTTTATTTTGAATTCTTTGTATTAATCTTTGTATCATTTATGCATGTATATTTGTTTTAAATATTTACAGGGCTGTGCGACACAAAAACATTTACTGTTTTTGTTTTTGTGTATCGGTTTTTTTTATAATCGCGACACAGTCCCATTTACTTAATTTTTTCTCTTTGTTTATTGTGTATATTAATGTTTAAAAAAAAGTAAATAAACTATTTTGATTTGATTTGATTTGATTTGATTTAAAAGTGTCTAAAATGCTAACCAATCTATAATAAATCTAATAATATTTTTACAAAATCACAGTTAATTATAAAAATATAAAAACCACAGCTTAACACCCTCCACAAAGAAAAGCTAACCAAAGCAACCCAAATGCTAAATGCTAACCAATCTAATATTTTTGCAAAATCACAGTTAATTATTAAAATATAAAAGAAAACTGCATGATTCAATGATTTTTTGTTTTGAATCAGCCCTATTTACGTAAAGCTTTAATAAAAAACAAGAATAAGTGCAACATTCCGAGGTACTTATAGTTTACAAGAACCTATATTATCTATTCTACAAGAATTGTTATTCCTCCAAAAGATGTTTTACCCCACCCAGCACCCCTATTCGCTCCCGGGTCCCGTACGGTTCTAAACTGAAGAATGTATGAAAAACAATGTGCACAAAATGACATTGACACATTTCCGCAAGAATTTTTTTGTATTTCTTTGCTCGTAAAGGCTCGTATAAAACAAATATAAGTTCATTTTTCATGTAAATGATTTCAGCTATTCTAAAGTCAAAGCATTTTTTTATGTAAAATAAAAATAAAAAATTTCCGCAGACACTTTTTTGTGTTTTCATGTTTAGAAAAATGTCTAAAACACACCCCGAAGACTAGTTTTGATGTAACAGATTTCGGCTATACTAAAGTCCGAAAAATGAAAATGACGCATTTCCGCAGGAAAATTTTTGTATATTTGTACCCCTAACGCCTTCTAGAACGCATATATAAAGTCATTTTTTATATAACAGATTTCAGCTAAACGAAAGTTGAGCCATTAACTGACCTAGGATAAATCTGTGTGAAGCATCATTAGTTTCACAAAAAAACTCTACTTATAAACTAGAAAAATGGGGCACCCTGTATATTTAAATTTTTTATATTAAAACAGAGAAAATTAGTGGTTTCTGTCTTACCATTAAATTATTATAAAACATAGGTGCTATTTCTGAAGAACAATCATCTTCACTGCAACAAAAGAATAATTTTTAAAATGTAAAAAAAAATTATTACAACATATTTTACCTGTCTGAATCTTCAAAGTCGTTCATTGTAATTTTTATACTTGGTTCGGGACTGGGACATGATTCTCTTACTTTAATCGGTTCTTTAAATGTCATTGATACATCCGCTAAAGTTTTATTATTGTCACTGAAATTACTAGGAAATTTGTTTTCATCACCAAAATCTTTATCACTGTTTGTTGTCTCAATTTCTGTAATTTCTTGTATTTTTGGAGGTTCCAGAACTTGTCTTCCTACTTTATTTTTCCCATTCTGAAACAAATTATTGATTTCATTTACAAAAAAATGATTTTTTTAAAGTTATATACCCTATTTTGTGGATTGTTAATTGAAACTTCAAAGCTGGTCATAACTCCAATAGAAAAATTAGAAACCTTGTTCTTTTTTGGAGTCATATCTCTCTGTGGTTCCCTGAATTCTTCATGTTGGGTGCTGGTTATATATTTTTCATCTTTATTTCTTTCATTACCAAATTCTCGTTCCCTTATACCTTCATCAATGCAATATCTCGGTTTACTAAACTCGATACTTTTAGTTTTCTGTACATTCCCTTCATTATCGCGAGAAATCAATGTTGAAATTTGCTTTTGAAGTAATATTAATTGTTCATTTTGTTGAGTGATTTGTTGACTCTGTTGTGATATTATTTTCAGGAGGTCTTTTACAGAAACTTCATCGTCAGACTCAGTTTTTACAGGTAAATTTTCTGTATTTGCCGTTCCCCCACAACAACAATTAGATTTTTGAGGCAAACTTGGTGGATCTAAGTTTCTAAGTGGATTATTATAAGGTAATCTGGGATCAGTTTTATAAAATTCTTGCATATTAGAGGTATGGGTTTGTCTGTGTAAATTTGGCTCATGAATTACAGAAATATGTTGAACTGGTCTTGAGTAATTTGAATTTGGTTCATATATTGCAGGATTATCTTGAACTGATCTTGAATAATAATTGATTTCGGGCACTATATTTTTATGTAGCTGTATATTTTCAAAATTACTATGTATATAAGGAGGATTTTGTAACTTTTCAACTGGAATATTATTGCTACTGTCAAATCTTTCTGTTTTATTTGGATGAATTAAGACATCTTTAGACTGTATATCAGTATTTTTCTGAATTTTATCATTATACATTTTAAACTGATGATTGGTCTCTAATTTTGGACTTGCACATTTAACATTACCTCTTTTATAATTAAAAATATCTGTTACTGAATCATTTAATATAATTTTAGGCTCGACTCTCTGTGCTAAAAATTCCTTATAAGAATTTGGTCTTATATCTTCTTTTATTTCAGCTTTATTGTCAGACTCTCTTGAATTTAATTCAGCGTCATTTTGTTCCACAACCACAGGTGCCTTTTTAGGTGAATCAATAATACTAAGATCTAATTTGCGATTGGGTATGTTAGCCATATAGATTTGCTCAAAATTAGGCATTGGTTTTTCACTTTCTGTTTGTTGATTAGTTAAAAACACGCCCTGTTTCACAGTATTATAATCATTTCTAATTCTACCATCGTTAGCAGGCATGGAATAAAGCTTAGGACTTTCAAATCTAACTTGCTTCTTTAAAATTGATCCATTTGATGAATTTCCACTGAAATTCTCTTTATTTGCTCCTACCATATGATGCTGAGTGGAGTTTTGTTGCATTTTCCATTGATTGTATGGAGTAAAGGCATTTCTGGGTATGTTTGATGAACCCAATACTGATATTTCTGGGACCAAGGGAGTGGCCGTAAGCTAAAATGCGTTTGAATTTTTATAAAATAATATTAATAGGTTATTATCTTTACCGTTTCTCGAACGAAAGGTTGCGGAGGGCGACGTGGGGCATCATAAAATGAATCCATGAAAATGTAAACAATTTAACAGTTAAAATTTTATTTCGAGGTTAGGTAAAAATTCAAAACTCTGTCAAATTCTTCTTTTTAATTTTGTTGTCTTCGTCTAATAATTAACCATAGATTAGAATTTGGACCCTTTCCTTTTGATTATCTTTTTCTAACCTCTGGCCGAATGACCTATATAAGTTCCAGCCACTTAAAGTGGAAAGAAGAAAAAAATATATATATGTAATCTGTGGTTGCGGGTATTTTAAATCATAAATATAAAAAAGAAGAAAAACATTACTGTTATTCTGTGGCTATAGTTCTTTTAAGACCTGAAATACAAAAAAGAAGAAGGACGCAGGTGGCGCCATTGTGAAAAAGTGAGAAAATTTTGAACTAAATTGTGTCCATGGTTGCCAAGATATTAGCGAAATCCTGGAACTAATCAAAATTAGTCTTTTTGTATGTCTAAAATGAATTGAACCATTGCAAAATCATGATAAATCTAATAAACATATAAAACAAACTCTTTTTCAGTAAAATAAATATTATATTTTTATACATAGCTTTATTTATGCAGCAAAAAGTTACCATTTTATTTTACGTGTTTAATCTGACAACGTTGACAGTGCGACATTTTCCGTTGTTAACACCTTGGTTAACAGCATTTTTTTTAACGTTGTGCCGCTCATACAATTTTTCTGCTTTTTTGTAATATAATTATATATATTGGTAATAAAACTCAAATTTCATGTTCATAATAAATGTTTATTTACTAACAAGGTGACTAGAAACATTAATACATCCAAAAAGAGAAAACAAAAATACTTTATGGCAGTCAATTTGAATTAAACAAAATAGTAATTAATAAACAGCAAATATAAACATAAATGAAAATAGTAATTAGAAATCTACAAATCTAGAAAGCAACGAATATAATAATATGTTAATCGCGAGATAACTACTACATGGAAATATAATAATTAATTAATATGAGGAATGTTTTAAAAATAGTACTTTTTAATATAAAAGTTATGTTTAATAATGTAGCATTGTCTGCTTATTATAAGCATGTATATTGCAAGTTACATTTTTCTCTAATCTAAAGAACAACTCCGTTACCGCATTTTTAGATCACAGGTGCAAAAACTTATTTGTTTAACGCTAAGAACGAAAATAAGTTTCGGAATTTTCACAATTCCGGTCGTGATAAAAATAAATTTTTATTTCTTTACGTACATATAAAGCCATGGTATATGATGTGTAGTAAAAACGTTATATTATTTGTATAGTTCTACGTTAAGCTAAAAAGATTCGACATTTATACGAGACATTCACGGTGTTGGACGGGCATCACATATACAAAAATTCTTTTCTTTACAATATTTTCGACAATTTTCCTGGTTTAGTTACTTGTGTCCATTTCAGGGTCGCTTTCGACATCAGAACTGGAACTTACAGCCAAGTCTCCGGCCATAGCTACTCGGGCATATTCGTCTTTGTCGATGGATTTGCAGAAATGAATGGCGTATTTTAGTTTCTGTTGCAGGACGTGCTAGAAAAAGTTAAAGAATGAATCATAGATATGTATACACAAGGGCTTTTAGAACGTCCGAGTTCTAAGAAATTTTATCAAATAAATAAAATATAAATAGAATACAGGGTGTCCCAGGCTGAGCGTGTATTAGAAGTTCCTAGAGAACCACAATATCTAGATCGGAGATTTTTTGCACATCGTTGTTTTACAACGAGATCTATCGATTTAAAATATTTTCAATATGGCGGCACTTCCGGAACTACCGGAAGTTGACAGCAACTTTCTTATTTTAAATGGGTGCCATTTTTTTATTACATACTTAAATTATCTGTAAAATTATATGAATATTGATGTTAAACACTCTATATCTAACATTGACCGTTTTTTAAGAAAAAAAAAATATTTAAAATTTTTAGACAAACAAAATTACCTGTTAAAAAAAATTGTATAGCCTAAAAGTCAAATTTGGTGATTACCACAGCCACTGTAACATAAAGAAAAGAAATGTGGCTATCTATTTCAAAAATTAAATTGTTCAAATGTCATATAATAAGGAGGGTAGCTGTCATGGAATTGAGCGATTAAAAAATTATCATAAATCATTTTTTTCAAATGGAAACCCACTTTTTTATTTCAGTAGTGAAAAGGTTTTTCAATTCGTTACTTTTTAACATGTTCCTATACCTAAAATAAACCGTTTTTAAGTTATTTAAGATTTAGTTTAAAAACATATATTTTTTTGATTTTATCTAGCTTCCTTTCGATCCATTTCATCGATGTTGTTCATTTCCACGCCAACCGAGCGCCGTTTTTTTTCGATCGCACTGTAGTAAACACGTAGCGTTGTTTAGCATTTCAGAAAATAAATTTGCATTTTTTTAAATATCACAGATATACATTTTATCTACATATTTATTTCCCCGGGACTATCAGATATTTATAATAACCTAGGATTATATAAAGTGATCAGGGAAAAGAACGCTAAATTCCAATAATATACAAGGTGTTTCGTTTAAAATCACTCCCGCCCAATCACTCTTTTGAGACAGCCTGTACATATATTTTAAGATACGTCCTAGTATGCAGTTTAGGTTTATACTTCATAAATCCGTAAGTAGGTACTTTATTATAAAACCTATATAGTTTGTCCAACAGTAGAAATCCTGACACTGACAGCTGTGCTTGTCATTTTATTTGCTGTCAATTTTTAGACGTCGTCTGTCGAAATAATCCCTTATTCGTTGGACAGACTATAGATTACTACTACTAGGCGATTTCTCTTAACTGAAAAACGTTATTTTTATTGCTTAAAGTCTGTACAACAAGAGGATAATATCTGACAAAGACAGTTGTTGCCTGTCATTTTAATTCACAGGTAAATTTACTTTTCGGCCATTTTTTTAAGTCATCTGTCCAAATCTTCCTTGACTCGTTTGAAAGACATTTTTGAAACCCATTTTTTACAAAAACGAATAATAAATACCAAACATTCACATGAATTAATTGAACTGAGAAGTTTAGATCTTTTATTCTAATATAACTTACCTTGCATGAGTATTTTGGCATCTTGAGTAAGAAAAAGCAGGTGTAGCTTTCGGGCAAGAAATGATCGGGAGGTGAGTATTTATCTATGATCTGAATAACGAAATCTCTGCCTCTGAAATCGGCTATAGTTCGGGGTAGACGGGTCCTACCCCAAACAAATCTCAAAAATAGGGATCGCTCCTGATTGGTGAATTCCTCCATCACTTCCCAGAACCACTGGATTAATGGAGCAGTACTGTCAATTCCTGAATTAAGAGAAATTTTGATTAGGTATAATACCACAGCTTATTCTAGTAAGTGAACTGTACAACCTAACATAACCTAACCTAACTGAACTGTACACATATGATGAAGGTTTTACATGTTACATCTAAAAATAAAACGCCCATATTAAAACCCCTTCAAGGTCTCGTTTATTTCGTTGATATACACCTTTATTAGACTTTTTATTCAATGGACGAGCCACTGAAAGTTTTCTCTCTGTAGATTTTCAAGTTTCAAGCCAGTGGAACTCTTATTACATAACGATATTTATTACATTTAATATTTGTTTTGGGGTATTATTCTTATAAGGTTACAGGATAATATATGTTAAGCAAGTTTAAACCAAAATGCTTACCTTTATATGTGGCTACAGACTTCAATAAAGACAGGGGTATATCAGGGGAACCGCATACCATAGTCTCTAACTCATAACCGCTAAACAAACTCAACAAAGGTACGGGGACCACCTTTGACATTCCATCTCTGACAGCTTTGACTTGCTCATCAAATTCATGTAATCTACATATAACCAATATTTATGAAGTATTTTATACATACCAATTGATACATGATTAATATGATTAAAAATCATATATAGTTGATTCCTTTACCTGAAATTTAAGGCTAATCTCACGTATTCCAGACGATTTTCGTAAGTTATTCTTTTGTATTTCGTACTGAGCGAAACGTCAATGCTGCAAGATGAAGGCGTGCTGAATGGCATCTCCAAATTTTGGAAAAGAGGTTCTTCTGGGCCAGCTTCTCTGATGCAAAGTAAACCAGGTACATAGTCCCTAGAATATACATTAAAAATGAGTTATTTATTATCACAAAAAATGACCTGCAATATAAAGCAAGTCTTAGAAAAGAACACCACCATAACAGACGTTTAAGAGTCCATTTTACTAGTCCAAAAAAGTAGAAAAATAAGCGATCGGCATTTAACTTTTGATGTAAAAGTGGCTGGAGGTATTTTTACACAAATAAAGAAGGAAATTAAAGATAAAGGATTATACTATATCCGTATTGTAGCACATTTTTAGACAACTTCTTAATTTTTAAGATTTTGATGGTCAAACATTAACAAAATATTCCTTATGTTTGGACTAAATTTCCTCGAAAATATAGACACAATTTAAAATTCCGTTACAATACGGAAATAGAAGTTTTGTGATTACAGTGATATATAATTTATATGGTTTTCTAACAAATTGCTAGCTATTTTATGGCAAATTCTGAAGCTCTGCAAACCTTAATCAAGCCTTAAACAAAGCACGTATGTTTGAAATTTTGGATGTGGCAGGATCGGGCTAAGCCTTAGGCAGATTTGTGAAATATAATATACATTTCCTGCGGCCACACACCCGCTTTACCCGACCCCTGAGAGCGATCCGAACAATACAGAGTAATCGACTCTTAAGGGAAACATTGCAGATTTTCTTTCAAAATTGATAAAGTTCGACCAGTGATGGCTATGAAATGAAGATCGCTGTCATTTTATGAATGTCATCGATCGTCATTTCCAAGCCATCTGGACGCCGTTTTTTTCGATCACACGGTAGAATAGGGTGAATCAACGATAATGTTCATTATTTCATTTGTTTTGTGAAATTTGAAGAAATGTTAAATAGAAAACTTTTGGGAATTGTTAAGATACACAATTTAAAATTAGTTTTGAGTATACAGGACATTTCAAAGAAGTGTGGCGGATATAACCTGTTTTTTTAATTTTTTACCTATTTCTTATTTTATTTTTAGATTCTACCTAAATTCTATAGCTATTTTATATCATCATAATCATCCTATTACGGTGTAGCCTTCCTAATATATCTAAAACTAGTAGTTTTTGTAATTTTTCAATCTACTTTAAAAAATGTTAGATTTCAATATAGTAAAAAATTGTCAGTGGTGTATGGTGCTACTGTTTCTGAAGGTGGAGTACTCAAATTTGGGAGGAGAATTCGAATAGAGATGAAGTAAAAGATATATGTAAAGATATTTGGTGCTGCAGGGCGTTCAAAATAAATTTATGTATTTCACATTCACACTATTTAAAATTAAAAAATCATCATTTTATACTTTACCTATCAATTTCAGTGAGATCTGCAGGAGTGAGGTCCATTCCTGCTAATTGCTTCCACACCGGCTCAGCTAAGTTCAAACTCAAAGGTGATCCAGTTCTTATAGCTATGCCCATCAGTACACCCAAATATCTAATCAAAAAATATAATTACACTGGTGTTTACAGTAATTACTGTTTTTAAGCTGTTACCTGAACATATTCAAATGTAAACAGGTTTTGGCTGTCGGATTCAAAATAAAACAGTCTCTGTTAGCTCCCGCTTCGTCTCTGCCGTTAGGGGTGGGTATTAGTAGGGGTAGTGATCCGTTTTGTAGTTCGTCACACATTTCTGCTATTGACTCGCTATAACCACCACCGCAGTCATCTACACTCTCTCCTGCAGAAAGACAACAAATTATAAATATACTTATAAATATGTTTCATAAAATAATAATAAGAGTTTTACAATTTTTAGTGTTTCTTAATACAGTTGGGGGTGCAATACACAACCTTTGGTGTTAACAACAGCAAATTAAGTCCTTCTAGTACTTGCTACAATTAAAAAGACGTCGGCGTGTATACTTTTTCGGAAAAAAGTTTTTCTGTAACTACGAGAGTGAAACGCGCCTTTAGTGTTAAAAAGTGGAGTTTTTCAATCCTCATTTTCTTTAAATTGGATTTAATCAGATGTCATACATACCTACAAATTCTACTTTCCAAACCCTATGAGGTAATGCTAATGCTTCTGATGTTAACAACGGTAATTTTGTTACCATCTGTCCAAATACGGACTTCATACCGTCCACACCAGCCAGGCCACCTCTTGATCTAGATTTCTTTACTTGTAATCTGTAAAATTAATTAATAGCTGAATATAGTACCAATATTAAATATCAATCTATTATCTATCAACAGTCAATTTTTTTAATATTATCAATATTAATTAATTATTATAAATTTTTTATTTTTATTTTATAATTCTGTCTTCAACTGTAGTCGTAAATTTCTCACAATATAACTCAAGTTCATAATGATATGAATACGCTTTGAATATAAAGATTAAGGAAGGAGCATATCAACAAACATCTACAAAACATGACTGACCTAAATTTCGGTTCATCAGTGCCATTCTAATTTTATTTACAACATGTAAAATTATAATGTAAAGGAGATTCAATAATTTGTTAGTTTTGTTTTACGTTGTCAATAAATGTTATTAGTTATTAAAATTATTAAAAAAATAGATAAGTTATAATATTTATTTAATATCAAAAATACCAGCGAAATCAAATTGACGTATCCAATTATTTTTGACAAGTAGTAATTAACAGCGAAAATTCAAGAAAAAATATATAATTAGTTAATTCTAAGTGATTTTTTCATAATGGACTGGTTTAGTACACGTAACGTATATTATACAATTACCAGTGAAAATGATTCACTTATTAATTTCGATTTTTGATCCGATATCTACTGCACAATTACAGTCTTTCTGGAATTTGCAATAATTCCGTTGTTAGTTACCTTTCTAACACAATACCCTTTTAGATTTACTACCTCAGAACAAAACCACTTGTAGATATTATAAATAATAAATAACATAAAATTAGTTAGAGTTTTCTATACGAAAGTTACTACTATCATGGATGCAGTAATACCACTTTATGATAAACAGAACACTTCCAGGACTTATCCAGCATGGTTCACAAGGGATATAATCAACAACTTAAAAGAAAAATACAGACAGTTCAGAATTTACAAGTGCACCAACTCCGTTATTGCATTAGAATCCTTCAAGCGTCTTCGCGCACTCACTAAGAGACAAATCAAAGAGGCCTACTCAACATATGAACAGACGATCCAAAACAATCTGCAAACCCAACCTCAAGATTTATGGAAATTTGTGAACCAGAAGCGTAAACATTCCCGCATACCAGGCATTATGGAATATGAAAACACTCAGCTTTCCGACACATCTCAAGTACTGGATGCTTTTGGATCATTTTTCCGAAGTGTATACGAACAGAAGCAGGACAATTGTCCTGTACAGCTACCACTAAATTGTGTTTCCCTGATTGGACTTGATGAATCTGATGTTCTCAACGCGCTGCGAAAACTGAAAGCTAAAGTCACTGCAGGACCTGATAGTGTTCCCTCTTCCATTGTTAGAGACTGTGCAGCGGTCTTCTAAACCGCTTACTAAGATTTTTAACTTGGCTCTACGTACTAATACTTTCCCCGATGCGTGGAAGAATGTGAAGATTTGTCCAGTATTCAAGTCCGGTAATGTCAACGTCATTGGTAATTACAGACCGATTGCCATTTTATCAAACTTTGCCAAGGCTTTTGAAATGTGCATATTTACGAAATTATTTCCCCAAATCCAAAACGAACTTTCCCCCAATCAGCATGGTTTCTTCCCAAAAAGATATACTGTAACAAATCTTACTACATTTATGGAATATACATATAAAGCTATTGAAGAACACCAGCAGGTAGATGCAATTTTTATGGACTTCTCGAAAGCATTCGACAAGTTGAGTCACTCGCGACTTCTTCATAAATTGGAAAATTTTGGTTTTATAGAAGAACTCGTAGCATTCTTTTCGTCATATCTTTCTTGCCGATTGCAATACGTTGAATATAATGGCCACCGTTCTTTCAGATTTACACCAACAAGTGGCGCTCCTCAGGGTAGTAACCTCGCACCTCTATTATTCTCCATTTACATCAATGATATATTCAACGTAATTGACTGTCCATCCTTATTATTCGCCGACGATCTAAAATTGTTCTCTGTTGTGACCGACTCAGAAGATTGTATACGAGTTCAGAATTCATTAAACTCCATCTTTGCCTGGACTGTTCGCAACCATCTACCACTCAACATACAGAAATGTCAGAAAATGTCCATAACACTAAAGCACGGAGAAATCATATACGACTACAAAATAGACAGCATTACAATGGGAAACTGCGATATGGTAAAAGACCTTGGCGTCTATATCGACAAGCGTCTCAGTGCACGACAAGCGTCTCAAGGCACTGGGTTTTATATCACGCACAACTAAGAACTTCCACAATATTCCGTGTCTTATTGCTCTCTACAACGCATTTGTGAGGTCAAGGCTGGATTATGCTGCATTGGTGTGGTCTCCATTTTATAGTAGCCACGAGCAACGTCTGGAAAATGTCCAACGTCGTTTTTTAAAATTATTGTTTTTTAAAGAGGATGGAATATATCCTCCTCAAGTTATGATCACGGCCGATTGTTGAAGAGATGGAATTTCCTTTCGTTAAAGGATAATAGACTTCGTTCGTCTATCATATTCCTATATAAGTTGTCTAATTGTCTATTGGATTCTCCTTCTCTTCTCGGTGAACTTTGCTGGAATGTACCGTCCGTAAATACTAGAATGAAAACGACGTTTTATACAAAAAAACCAAGTACCGTCCTTGCAAGCAGAGCTCCACTACATCGTGCCTGTTGCAGTTTCAACGACATCAGTAGACAGACAGATTTGGATCTCTTCCACAACTCCCTCCAAAGTTTTAAAGGGCATCTGGACACTCATTTCTTCAAACGTTAATTGTTATCTATTTTTTCATCTATCTTTTGTTTCACATATATACACTTTCTTTTTCTGTATTTTTTTTATATTTTATTAATTATTACTGTATTTCATATTAATATGTCTAAATTGTCTTTTGTATGGGTAAATACCTGTTAGGCAATAAAGTTATTATTATTATTATTATTATAAAATAAGCTCAGAAATGCCAAATAAATACGCAAAACAGAACTATCAAAAATGAGGGTTCATGATGTCGATTCCGTCTGTAATGTATTAATAGATGGATAGCTTTTTTCTCCTTCTTTAATCTTTTTATTCAAAGAAATTTTCTGACAAAAATTTAATTGTCAGTGTTTTCTTATACAGAGTAAGAATACAGAACAGTAACAGATGTTGTCGGTCATTTTAATCCAAAAAATAAATAAATAAATAAATAAATGCCTTTATTGTCGAAAATTTTTAAAAAATAAAGTGTTTTTCTCTCCCTGCACATAGTATACAGTATGCTCATGACATGAATTCAGCTTAAAACTAAACACTTACCTGTTCAGCTCAATAATAGGCCCGTGGTGTTTATCTCTGACCATGGTTGCCTGAACTACTTTCCTAAAAGTAGCTTCTTTTATGTAATAAATCAGGATATTTCTTAGTTCATGTAAAGAATCGTCACCCGTTATCGGGAACATTGCTATACAGGGACAGATCAGTTCAGTAAAATGATGCAAAAGAACCAATCTCCTGAAAAGCAAACAGTAGTAAAATTAACATTTTTAATGAGTTTAAAAAAAGTATATTGTTTTATTAGGAGTAAAAATGATACTTTTTGTGGCGATGTTGTACGTTTGACGTTACAGGCGAGGCACTAAAAGTTCTTGTTACTCCGAATAGAACATGCTATTTTTTTTTTCAAACGTTACAAATAATTTTTTTAAACAATTTCAAACGTTCCAAATAATATAAAAAGATTACAGTTGAGGGTTGGAACCTTTGGTGTTACACAGCAAAATAAAACGACAGCATAAAGAGCAGGTTTGAAGTGGAGGCTAAGAATCAGTTTGAGTATTTTCCAAGAGTATGGTTTAGGTAGATATTAGGTGATATTTTTGCTGTTTTTGACACACATTCAGACACCATAGATAATTTTATTTCTAAGTTAAATAATCGTTTTCCTTCCATTAAATTTACGCATGAAATTGAGAACAACGACAGATTACCATTTCTAGATGTATTAGTTGTTAGAAATACTAATAATTGCCTGGAATTTGATGTCTATAGGAAAAATACGACCACATGCAGATATATTCCTAATGAATCACATCATAGTGTTGAACATAAAATGGCAATTTAAATTTCTTAGTTCATAGATTACTTAGTTTACCACTTTCCAACGAAAGATATGAAATAGAAAGAGATTACATTAGGAATGTAGCTGAGTGTAATGGATATTCTCCTTCATTAGTTGATAAATTAATTAGAAAACGTAGGTATAGGTTAATGATTTCTGAAAATTCGACTTTTCAAGTAGAGAAAGATACGTCTAAATATTTTTCGATACCGTTTGATAGAGAGTTATCCCGTGGTCTAAAAGGAATTTTTAAGAATGTCAATTATAAACTTGTGTATAGTGCTAATAATAAATTACAACAATTATTAGGTAATCCAAAGGATAAAACACCTCCACTGGAAAGGTCGGGTATTTATAAAATTTCTCGTAAAGATTGTAATCAGAAATATGTTGGGCCAACTAGAAGATCAATATTGACTAGATTTAAAGAACATTTAGCTCAAGATATGGTAGACCGGATAAATCTTGCGTTGCCGAACATATTGTTGATAAAGAACATTGTATAGATCTTAATAATTTAAAATTAATTTAAACAAGTCTCAAATTACAGGCAATTAGATGCATATGAAAGCATCAGAATTAATAAATGTAAAGATAGTATGACAGAGACAACGGTCCAATTCCTTTAAGTTCTTTGTTCCTACTACTCTAGTGGCGGAAATCTAACTGTTACGCTCAGTGGGCTCTGACTCGGTTGGCTAGATTTTGCCACGCCCACTCGGTGCCCACTGAGAGAGTATATAAACGCTCAACTTGTAGATTGTCCTTTAGTTTATAATCATCTGCTGATGATGCTAACATGGTTAGCGAAACGCGCGTCCAGTGTAAAAGTAAAAGTGTTTTGGTGTATTGTGGTGATTTAGTGTTTTATTTTGCAATATAAAAAGATTTAAATGTAATACCTTGTAAGTTATTATATATCGAGAAATTAAGGTTACGTTCGTTGGATTCGACACTTTATGTCAGTTTAATAATATATTTTCGTACTTTTATGCTTAGGCGTAAAAGTAATTTACTTTTATGCCTAGGCGTTAAAATTGCTTTTTTATATTGTCAATCACGTCGCAAAAATTAATACTTTTGTGACGTTTGAAAAAAAATGTATAATAATATAAGGTGTCTCCAAAAAAATACTTTATGGGTATTTCGCCACTGCACTGCAAGAAAATCTACAAAATAAAATAGTTATTTTTTGTAAACACTTCTTCGTTAAACCTAAACGGACACTGCTTGTCAGAAGTTATGTTTACAGTTATACAAATTTGCACAGAAAAAAATGCTTAACGTTTCGGAAATTTTATCTCTTTCCGTCGTCGTTAAAATATTTAAATTCAACTATTCGAGAACGCTTTACTTTTTTAAAACAGATACGTCTACTGTTGACGTTCTGTTAAAATGACACTATATAAAGTTAAACTTCAAAATTAACAATTATAGTTTATTATAGTTTTTTTATTTAATTATAGTTTTTTTCTTTATTCTTCGTATTTTTTTTGTTTCCGACGACGGAAAGAGATAAACTTTCCGAAACGTTAAGCATTTTTTTCTTTGTTAGGCAAATTTGTGTAACTGTAAACATAACTTCTGACAAGCAGTCTCCGTTTAGGTTTAACGCAGAAGTGTTTACAAAAAATAACTATTTTATTTTGTAGATTTTCTTGCAGTGCAGTGGCGAAATACCCATAAAGGATTTTTTTTTGAACAGATGAATCCGCCACATAGGTATAGATATTTTTTTAATATAAGGTGTCTTCAGATTCGTATTTTAGAGATTCAGTATTAGTTCTTACTTCAAAAAAATAAAAATATTTAGACAATTTTGCTAAAACCAAGTCTACATGTCACAAAAATATTTTTTATACCTGTGAAGGACCCATGTTGGTATTTCCTGCAGTAAGTCATATTCTATGGGTGCTACGCTTGGCAGTCTCGCGCTTGCCGAACTATCAGTTGACCAAGCCAAAGTGTGAGCTGACCCGCAGGCTACATTTGTGATTTTCTTAACGTTGGCTTGTAGCGAGGTTATGAGGCGTGGCCTCTGAATACCGTTGGTAGTTCCGTCGCCTAGTTGACCTTCATCGTTGTCACCCCAAGTGAACACCTACTCAGGCAAATAATATAAATTACTTACTGTACGGTAAGGTTTGTTTTTATAAAAGTCCTAACATTAATGCCAATGAAATGCCAATTATCGAGAAAAGGATTTTACTGGGTTTTTGGTAAAATCAAACTGTAAATAAACAAACGGTTTGTTTACCTTTTACTTGTACGGAGCGATCAACAATATTTGAAATAGTTTGCAATACTGTGTTAGAGAATTTTACTATTAGTAATGGGTACTAAAAATTTTTACCTACATTACCTACAATTTTTACATGTCTATGGAACATCTAAATTTTATACAGGGTGGCCTATCGAAAACGTTCCGCAAGATATTTTTATTTCCTAAAAATCCAAAAACACGTCAATTTTGTTTGAGGGGGAAAACTTTTGCCCCAAAAATGATTGCAAAATCTTCAACCCTGTAAGCGGGGGTGTCATCCCCCAACTTTTTTCAAATGGGAAGGGGGGTCAAGTGGCGCAATGAAAAAGGCTTTATATATATGAAAATATAAAGGATTGAAATTTGAAAAGTTATTTTTTGAAAAAAAAAACGCCATAAATTGAATTAATTAAAAAAAACTTACCTTATTAATGAAGCAAATGCTGAAAATGTTGCCCGTCAACCTCCATACAGTGATACAAATTATTTTCAAACCGTTCTCGAACATTCTGAAGAACTTGCGAGGTCACTTCGCGACAAACATCTATAATTCGTCTTCGCCGGTCTTCTAATAAGGCGGGTGGAGTGTTATACACTTTACTTTTTATGTGACCCCATAGAAAAAAATCTAAAGGAGTCAAGTCGGGTGGTTATTGTTTAAAGACCGGGAAAGTTATTGTTTAAATAATTACGGACATTTTGAGAGTAATGTGGAGGTGCACCGCCTTGTTGAAATATTAGTTCCGCTTCAACGTAGCCAGGATTGTTCTCTATGATGTCAGTTAGGGCTGGGTCGATGGTATTTTCCAGTAAATCCAAGTACATATCACCTGTTAGATTTCCAGGAAGAAAAAAAGGACCCACAATAGAATTTCCAAAAATACCAGCCTACACGTTCAATTTCTGAGGGTTTTGTGTGTGCACCTCGTGAAAAACCCTGGGGTTGTCCTCAGCCCAGTACCGACAGTTGTGCCGATTAACTACACCGTTCAAAAAGAAAGTACACTCATCCGAATAACACACATTAAATAGGAAATTATTATAATTTGCCACTCGTTCACTCATAGTTTCACAAAATTGCAAGCGACGATCAAAATCGTCTTCGTTGAGTTCTTGTACCGACTGAACTTTTTACGGGTGGAACTTGTGTTTTTTTAATATCCTTTGGACACTTTTACGATTCACGCCGGTCTTAAGTTTAACGATATTGAAAAGAACTTCAACGCACAAGTCACAGAACAGCTATCTAGCAACTACCACACCTGATCGTTCAACCTTGTGGCAAGTGAAAAAAAATGCCTAAACATCTAGAAATAATAAGAAAAAAAAACAAAACAGGAAATTGGTCGAAGGAATTTATCCTTATCATTTACTCTGATAAATGTTTAAATAAACTTTTCAAATTTCAATCCTTCATATTTTCTCAATGACTCGACCGATTTTCAAAAACGAAGCGGGAACGTATAGAGAATAGAAAGCCCGTTTCATTGCGATACCACTTGACCCCCCTTCCCATTTGAAAAAAAAAATGGGGGATGACACCCCCGCTTAGAGGGTTGAAGATTTTGCAATCATTTTTGGGGCAAAAGTTGTCCCCCTCACAAACAAAACTGACGTGTTTTTGAATTTTCTGAAAAAAAATTACCCTGGCCATTATGCCTTGCGGAACGTTTTCGATGGGCCACCCTGTATAAATGATAGATACACACATACCTCTCCTTCGTCTGAACAGGCGACACAATGTAGTGATCCAGTGGCAATAGACACTATTTTCTTCCCTTGCAAGGCAGCCACTTTCTTTGGTCGTCTGATGTGATCGGCAGTACCATGGCCTAGTCTAAAAAAATATTAAAATTTTGTAAACATTAATTTAGATTTCAAAAACAGTTTTTCTAACCTGTGATAGTCTCCTTTACCCCAAGTGTAGACACTCCCAGACCGTGTCAAAGCTATTGAGAATTGAGACCCACATTCGACCTTTACCACTCCCAAACCTGCCAAGCTTTCAATTTTCATTGGAACCTAAAATTTATTACAATTTTAATAGTGTTCGTAGTGCACGTTACTATGGTAATGGCAAAACAATTTCCGATGCACGTGATCAACTTTGAGTGACAAGCGATGGCGACAGCGCTGCCAGATTGTGATGGATTTATGAGATGAATCTTAATTTAAAATTGACAAACAACATATTTATTATATCATTTTTAAAAGAGTTTTACGTTCTATTTTTAATTTAATAACTAATATTTTAGTAATTAATTGATTTATTTGTTTTATAGCTTATTTTACTTATTACATATTGGCAAAAACTAGTCCATTATGAAGATTATTATAAGCGTTATTATATGGGTTATTGATTTACTGATGTACCGGGTGTCCCACTAAGAATAGCTCTCGGCTGTATCCCGGAAAGTATTAGCCGTAGGGCTAACGGAAAAAAAATATTTATAACTAAAGGGGCTATGAGAAATTGCTGGAAATTATTTTGAAGTTTGTAAAACGGCCGCTAGGTGGCGCAACTGCAATGGAAAATAAGAAAATAGATGTTTTACAGAATTTTGCCTAGATAATGGGTACTATAAATAATAACTTCATAATCTTCAGTAAATTTTGGATTTTTTTTGTTAGAACCATTTTCCCATATCTGCTAAAATAAAGTGGTGGGGGAAGGTTAGATCTATCTTTATTTAAATGTTAATAACTCCGGACTGGATGATCAGAATCCAATAACTTCTTACTCTATATTATACCATAATAATAATCATAATAAGGTTTTGAACGTAGATGCTAGGGGGCGCTTTCTTACAATTTAACAAACATAGCGCGTTTTTTCAAAAAAATTAAATACGATAGTATGTGCTATTTTAGGTGGTAGTAAAAAGTAGTAAAAGCTTAAAAAGTCAGCGAAAACCGCATCATGATATCTTCTTTCTAACCGAAGATAATAGCAAAATTATAATAAATACCAAAAAATAAGCCCTTAATTACCTTATTTTTACAATACGGTATGAGTAGCCCTCTTGATTAGGCACATTCTAACAAAAAAATAAGATAGAAACAGTTAGTTTATTTTAAAGTCGACGAAATTCCAGAATACCATAATACCAGATGTATTAATATCTAATAATTAAGATATTAATAATAGTGAACAAGAAACGATGATTCAGTGAAGTCATGATAGGCTTTGAAAAAAAGTTGCTTTTCGCGTAATAGCATAAACGTCAAATTGTTATTAGATCAACATTTTTAAAGTCTTAGCAGCGTTTTTTATCATTTAAATGCTTTTTCAAAATGCCTTTATTATTTGAAGTAGTTGAAGTTGTTGGCATTTTGAAAAAGCAATCAAAAGATAAAAAACGCTGCTAAGACTATCAAAATGTTGATCTAATAACAATTTGACGTTTATACTATTACGTCAAAAGCAACTTTTTTCCAAAGCCTACCATGACTTCACTGAATCATCGTTTCTTGTTCACTATTATTAATATCTTAATTATTAGATATTAATACATCTGATATGATATTCTGGTATATCGTCGATTTTAAAATAAACTAACTGTTTCTATCTTATTTTTAGGTTAGAATGGGTAATCAAGAGGGCTACTGATACCGTGTTGTAAAAGTAAGGTAATTAATGGCTTATTTTTAGGTATTTATTATAATTTTGCTATTATCTTCGGTTTGAAAGAAGATATCAAGATGCGGTTTTCGCTGACTTTTTAAGCTTTTACTACTCTTTATTATCAGCTAAAATTATATATACTATTGCATTTAATTTTTTTGAAAAAAAAATTTGTAAGACAACGCCCCCTAGCGTCTACGTTCAAAAGCTTATTATTATTGTTTATATGGTACAATATAGAGTAAGAAACGCTCTTTTAAACGAGCCCTCGCTTGTTGGATTCGGACCATCCAGTCCAGAGATATTAATATTCTAATAAAAACAGATCTAACCTTCCCCCACCACTTTATTTTGGGAGATAGGGGAAAACGGCTCTAACAAAAAATATTCAAAATTTACTGGAGATTATGAAGCTGTTACTTATAGTACACCTTATCTAGCCAAAATTGTGTAAGAACTCCATTTTCTTATTTTTTGTTGCAGTTGCGCCCCCTAGCGGTCGTTCTACAAACTTGAAAATAATTTCCAGTAATTTCCCATAGCGTCTTTAGTTATAAATATATTCTTCCGCAGCCGCTACGGCTAATACTTTCCGAGATACCGCCGAGAGCTATTCTTAGTGGGACACTCTGTACATTTTACAACGCCATAAGTGGTAATAACAAGTAAAAGGGGGTGCTATTAATGCATAATCTAATAATCACAGAATTTAGTAAAAAGTAACTTTGAAAGTGGTATAATCTGCTTATCAATCAAACTTACTTTTCTGACTGCAGTCAAGGGTAATAAAGGACCTTTATTGTCACGTTCTCGTTCAAAATAGTTAAAGAAAAACAGGGAAGCTACAAGCTCTTTGCTTCGACTGTTTAAATGCTTCGGCAAATTTTCAACACACGGATTTCAAGAAATGTAATACAAAAACTCGAAAATTTAGTTCTTAAAAAAACTTTGTGCTTAAAATTGCAATTTTTAAAAAAGACTATGAAAATAGGCAAAAGAACGAGAATTACTCAGAAAGATTCAACAACATGATATTATACAAAATAATGACTGACACTAGGATAATTGTCAAATAATAAAGGACAACATTGCTGATCGCGGCGCAATGTGACTAACATAGCGATAATAAAATTCGGTTTAAACTAATTTTTGCAGCTTTAATCTAAATAAAATTTATGTTGCAATCATTTGCTCTATAAGGTAAAATGAAGAGCTGCTCGGTATCTTAAATTATGCAACAAATTTAAACATTTTGGCCAAAATTTAATTTAGTCAGGTTTATAGACTTTAGTGTCAATGTCGATATGATTGATGACCTGCATCGGAAAATGTTTTGCGATTACAATAGATACTCAATTCTTACTTTGCACCCATCTGAGCCTCCTCTACCTAATTTTCCATAATCTCCATCGCCCCAGGACCATACGTTGTCGTCATCTGTTACACAAAGAGTTTGGGCATCGCCTGACCCACATGCGACATCTACCACTTTATACCTTAAAATGATAATTAGATTTGTTTTGTTAAACTTGAACAAATTTTCCTGATTTCTTAATTATTAGGAAAATATTTACCCTACTAAGGTTTCAACTAGTTTAGGCCTTAATTGATCTTCGCTATCGCCATGGCCCAGCCTTCCGTAACGGCCTTTGCCCCATGTGTACAAATGTCCAGACGATGTAATAGCTGCAGAATGTGCCCCACCACACGCTATGTCTATTACTTCATACCCTACAGCGACAACAGTTAATAAATTTGAATTAGAAGTAGAGAATTACATTTACCTTGCAAAGCTTCCACTAATTTGGGTTTTTCACATGATAGTCTATTGCCGTGTCCTAATTTCCCATCTTCACCTTCACCCCAAGAATATACGTCGTTGTCAGATGATAGTGCCAAGCAGTGCTGCAATATTGATGAGTTTTGTTATAAAATATACTATTATTCTTATAAAATAAAACTATAGACTGTCCAACGAAAGGAATCGATAATAACAACAGACTATGAATGGAATTTTACCTTTCCTCCAGAATTGACAGCGATTTTCTTAACAAAAACGTGTTGGATCGACTCTAAAAGAGTTGGTACGGAAACACTATCACATCCGCCTATCCCTAGACGACCACCTGCCCCATATCCAGTGGCGTAGACTTTACCATCAGCTGTCACAGCAAAAAGCGTCTGTTCACCTGCATAGAAAAAAATATATAACTATTTTTAACTGATTTGACTTCCTCTAAGAGATGCGAGGCCTTGTCGTTGGTGGGGATGCTCCTAGTCAGGTGCTAGGGGGAATCCCCTCTAGCACTTTGGCTGGGTCTAAGAAGCATCTCATTATATTGTTTTAACAACTTAAAAATAAGTATATTTCTTTAAATCCGAAAGACTTAGTTTAAAACGCACTGTATACATAAATTATAATTATCGACTTTTTAAATTCTCGTATACCAACGAGAGAAGGGAAAATCTGACAAACGGATAGGATAATTGTTAGGTAATAGCCTTGTATATATATTTTTAAAGTAGATCAATCTAAGACGTTTATGGACTAAGACTACTAGATGGCAGGACCGTCTTCGCTGTATTTTTCTACAGAAAAATATTTTTTGTTACTCTGAATTTTGAAGCGACCAATAAAAACAGAGAAAATAAAAATCGATTATTTTCGGACTGTACCAATTGGATACTAATCGACTAGATACTTTTTGTCTATTAACTATTATAGTTTAAAAATGGCGCTTTTTATGATGTCATGACCAACTATGGTTTCCATTTAGAAAAATATATGTTTGTGTCATATGTCAAAAATGACAGGCTTTAGAAAAAAGGGGAGGACGCAATCTCATTAAGGATGTGATTATCTACAACTTTTATCTGAAAACTTTGTGTCTAAAATTGGACTATAATGGAATTAGGGACAATTTTTAAAATAGCCCAATTTTGTTTTTATCGAAATATCTAGTAAGCCATGAACTTTTTCAAAAATTTCGAAGGCGCATTGCAATTCTTTCCCCATTATCCGACTCTCTATTTCCAGTAGTTTCCGATATACCCATAGAGAACGTCGTGGAAAACACCCTGTGTATTGAAAATACTGAAGACCGTATGAAAAATAAATCTTGCCTTATCTAATTAAATTATTTTCCTGATACATTTTTAATGAAAATGAACTTGAATTATTTCAGTTAGACATGTATCCTGCCTTTAGAAAGTTTTATGGTTTAACGGACTTTGTGTGCGAGTTAAAATAATATGATATTTTCAGTTTCTATATAATTCTTCACACATACAAAGTTAACGCAAACTTGATTTTAAAACTCTGACCATATATTTTACATTAATAAAGATTTAATTGGTGTAATAAAGATTTAGATGGTGTATTAAGTATAATATATCAATTTTAATGTCAAATAATATTATTGAAGCAAGTTGCAATTTTTTGAACATTTAATCAAGAATGTAAAAAGTTTTGTTTTCAAAAAAATTATCGTAAAATTCGTAAAACACTCAATTTAGAATAAAATAATCTAAGAATGAAATGATTCTTTTATAAACCTGCATCAAATCAAATTAAAGTAGGTATGTAACTTTTTTTTTAATATTAATTAACAGTAATTAGCATTATCATAAAATATAAATAATGTACCAATATATCGAAATAATAATTTCTTTGTTACTAAGGTTTAGAATTCTTAAGATAACAGGGCAAAAATAATACATTTGAATATATTGCCGATTGAATAACTTGAAGAATATATAAACAAGGGTAACAGTCCTAGATATGCTAGAAAAGAAGCAAACACTCCATTAACTGGACCGGAACCGGGTTTTTCCCATCGCTAATAATAATATTGTCCTCCCCTGACTGGGCGAATATCTCAGTAAACAACTAAACAGTCTAAAGCAAATAATACTTGGTCACAGCATAAAATTAACTGCCTAAATATATATTTGTTAATTTATATATCCCATATAAACACTTAATTTTACCTCCTACTAATTGCACAGGCCTTAACTGCGTCAAAGCCTCGCAAGGCGTCGGTGACTTCACTTTAGCACCTTCCACGCCCCCTAGCTGTCCTCTGTGGTTATGGCCCCATCCGTAAATTGTACCCGAACCACCCCAACTTAGCGTCCAATCTTCGGGTCTCCTGTTCAACCAAACCAAAAGTTGTTCGTCGTGTTCCTTCTTGAATATCGTGTGGTTCTCGTGGTCCAAGTAACCTTCAGTTAAAACTGAATAAAAATATATTACATGATATTTAAAAATATATACCATATTGGTCACTTTACTTCCGTGCTCTGTATTTTAATGCATACGACAAAGATAAATATACAGGGTCGTCCGAACTGTATTCCGGAAATTTCGGCAGCATACTCTGCAGATAAGAATAAGTAAAAAAGTTCGTATAAATGTGTGTGCTAAAATGCTTAGTTTCGGAGATACAGGGTGTAGAAGTTTCATTTTTATTTTGATTTTTTCCAAATAATTTCTGCAGTAACTTCAATATTTGGATGAAAATTGGTGTCTGGGAGTTTTTTGACATGAGAAATTTGTTGTTGATGTCAATATGACTCCTACTAGTAGAGGGCTCCACCTACATATTTTTTAACTGGTTTGAAGAGTAATAACTTTTCGCCCGTACCTGTATAAAACTACTGAGTAAAAAAATATACATTACGACGTTTTTTACGTAAAAAATGTCTCTTGGTAAAAATCGCTAAAGTATTAGTTTTCGAGATAATATCTAGAATCGAAATTATCAATACCTGTCATCATTGACATAAATTATGCATGTTGACTAAATACTTATAAGACTGAAATCATAAATTTGAAAGTTTTTGTGGCAAAAGTTCAACAGAAACTGTTTTATCATCATTTTTTTGCAGGAAATTTTATGATTAATTTAAAAAAAATAAAAATTTCACAAATTTATTATTTCAGTGAACTAACTATCTACTCAACGTGTTTATTTTTCGTCAATAATGACATGTATTGACTATTTCCATTCTAAATATCTTGAGAACGGTTGCTCGTAGCGATTTTTACAAAGAGATATTTTTTACGTAAAAAGTCACAAAGATGTATATTTTTTCCTCGGTAGTTTTATACAGGTACGGACAAAAAGTTATTACGCTTCAAAACAGTTAAAACACATGTAGGTGGCGCCCTCTACCAGTAGGAGTCATATTGACATAAAAATCAAATTTCTCATGTCAAAAAAATCGAAATAAAAATGAAACTTCTAAACCCTGTATCTCTGAAACTAAGCCATTTTAGGACATATATTTATACGAACATTTTTACTTATTTTTATCTACAGAATATGCTGCCGAAGTTTCCGGAATACATTTCGGACCATCCTGTACATGACCAGTTAGACATAACCTAAACAAAATAAAAAGCGACATACAGTGTTGTAGGTTGGTATGTGAAATAACACAATAAATGAAGATACCATAACTAAGCTATTTAATAATGCTCAATTATTTCAGTCACTTTTTTAAAATGCCATTTATAATTGCAGTTTGTACTTTTGATGCAAAATCCGGCAATACCGCATAGAATTTTTAATACATTTGATTTTTCAGTAAGCTGGCTACATCGCTGTCTTACACGTTAAAATCCAAACCACGCTTCTACGGTGACCAAATCTGTATATTTTTTGTACCTTCAAGACCCTCGGATTGCGTATCGGTGAATTTCTTTCGAACTTCCATGCAGAAATTAATAGGTAGAGGCGTGCGACGTATCAAAGATTTGGCAACCCTTGCAGCATTGCAATATCTTCTGTACCAAACCCTGAAAACAGCAATAACACATGAATCACAATTACACATACTATTGTAACTAAAATTACCATTTGTGGTTGTCTACGACGTCTTTCATTTTGTCCAATTCGAGATCACAGGCTAGGGCTACCAAAACCTTAAAGAAATCGGAATGCATCAAGTGTAGACCTGCCCTGACTGAGCCGTCTTCATACTCGAACTGTCTCAAGAGAGCCTGAGGTAATTCTTCGAGAAGATTGCTCAACGAGCCATCTGGTGAGTTAAGTTGTTTTAGTTGATCTGCTGCTGTCTTGTTCTTTGTGTCTATCACTAAAAGTCTACAAAAAAAGATAGTCAACAAATGGGTCCAGTTGTATTATAGCAAAAGTCGATAGAATAAGTATAAACTTAAAAAATCTAGCATTGTAAAGGCGCACTCTCACGACTCGTCTACTTGGCAAGTACGCCAAACTAAACAACATTGGCAAGTGTGGCGCTCACACGACGTGTTCATTTCAACAAGTACGCTAGCACAAACATTGTTTAAATCCTTGGCAAGTAAACAGTATAGTCGCATCCATGGATACCGGTCGTTTTTTCTTTTTAAGTTCTTTTTCGGTACCCTGCAATACGATTTCTATATTCTTTATGTTTGGTCATCCATATGAAGGGTTCATTTTCGTATAAATCCATAAATTTTAAAACAGCATCATTTGAAGACTAGACGGGAAATACCAGCTTTGTCCATTTTAATTGGAGCCGAGAAAAATGCAATTAAGTGCTTTTAAAGAAATATGTTATTTTCGGTTGAATAGTTAGAAAAATATATATTACTAACTTTGAATTATAAGACTAAGGAAGGTGCATAATGCTATCCATGTATTCATGCATGGTGGGCGGAAAAAGCACTCTAGGGTGGGGATCCTTGACAGTTCTGTTTGACGATTCAATTGACACATTTAAATTTGATTTGAAATTTTGTGGATTTGTCAGTCTTTACGGAGCTTATTTTATGTTATTTATTATTTATTCTACTACTGATAGTTGTATAAAGGTAGTAAATCTAGATGGAAATTGTGGCAGAACTTAAATTAACAGTGACACTATCGCGATTTATCGAAAAAGACTCTAAAATAGTTGGTTGTGTAGCGTACGGTAGATCTCGGCAAAAATGTGTGAAATAATGGAACAACTTTTCGCTAGTAAGTGACTATATAATATACATACGTGTAGTAAACCGATCATTTATGAAATTCACTTATATTAACTAATTATATACTTTTTCTTGCATTTTTGCTTTTATTTACTACTTGTCAAAGATTAGATGTCAAAGAATTTAGATACGTCAATTTGACTTACCTGCTTCAGTAGCGTATCGGATGTTTATGGTTATAAATAATTATTATAACTTAACTATTTTTATTAGAATTTTATATTTTATAACAATTTTAATAACTACCAACATTTATTCACAACGTAAAATAAAAAAAAATATTGAGTCTACCCCACGTCTACCCTACATCATAGTTTTACATTTTTTAAATAAAATTAGAACGGCACTGATAAACCGGAATTTAAGTCGGGCATATTTGAGGCCCATCGCGGTGGACCTAAGATTTTTGATATGCTCCTTCCTTAGTACTCTTATTCAAAGATTACTACCAATTCTGAATTATTAATATTGTTAATTATCGCCATATTCTGAAATACCGAAATAAAAATGTCAAAATGCAAAACAAAAGTCCAGGGATGTCCAATTAATATAAAACCTAAATCTAAACTATTATTTTTTTGTTGTAGGAGGAAAATTAATATTTAAGTAGATTTTTATTACAATACATGGATTTACTACATGTAATCAAGATGCATGCTTGTGGTCCATGCGTAAAAACATCTCTAGTTTTTGCCATATTTACGCATGGACTACTCTGGTTTTTCCCTTGTACAGCAAAATAACAAAGATGTAATATCTGTTGTATTATTTCTTTCTTTTTTCTCGAATGACGTTAAGATTTGTCTATAAAGTTATATCTTAAAAAGTATCGTTATCTTAATTTTTATGAAAATGTGACATATGTATTTTTCCCGTGTAGTCTTCATGTGTTCACTCCATTTATTGCTGTGGGAACGATTTAGGTATGTCGCCAATTGAAGTTATTAATGTAAATTTGATATTATATAATCTATTATTATTTTAACGTTCTAAATTATCCGCAATTAACTCGAAAAACACTACGATCCGGAAATAAACCGGACATACGCTATAACAGTACAATTATTTGCGCAGTCGTTTTTTTGCGCTTCGGCAAGGCTGGTAGGTAGCCAAGGCTGGCCAAGTACACTTGGCAAGTGTACGATTAATTGTATGACTCGGGCTATGTTTACCGACAAAATATTGTCAAATAATTGCACAAGGAAACCGTTCTCACGACATGGCGAGTATATTCCAATAACAAATGTTTGTCAGGTACACGAGTCGTGAGAATCCGCCTTAATGTTACAAGTCAAGTTTTACATTTTCTTAATGAACAAATCATTCCCTACAAAAAAAAAAATTCTATACAATTTTTCGTATCTATTGAATGAAACGACTATATACCTGTGTAACTTTTGAAGTGACCACATTCTTTGGCTAGCAGAAAGGAAACTCAGTTGAGAACAAGCTGCTAAGGCTGCTGCTAATCTTGACATTAAGGTCGCATCTGCTCCGGAGTATAGCTTTGGATCTAACAGACAGGTGACCATGTCCATTGATGGTTGGCTCAATATGGCGCGATCAGATCCTATCTCCATAATCCTGTTTTGAGAGTAAAGAGATACAAAAGATACCTGCCTGGTTTGATTGGTTGCATTAATAGTTGATAAATTATCATTTATCAACAATTAATTAGATATTTTTCAAAAAATATTAATCATATAAAATATGTTTCTTGAAGCTTACCCATTGTTTGGGATAACCGGATACACTGTAAATCTCCAACCCCAGCCGTTGACTGAGCTGTCACTGCTGAACGTCCAATGCAATTCGTCTCCTGAGATCCGTAATTCTGATGACCAATCGGACCATTCTCTTCCGCTGCGCATTGCTACGACCCTTCCTGTTCCATCGGTGATAGTGAGAGGATCATGACGACGTTCAGTAGAACACCTGGTATTAAAAAATACAGTTATTTTTTTATTTTTAAAAATATTTTTTCAGCCTTTCTATACTCTGTTTTTTTTACTCAGGTAAGATTTCGACAGACGATGACAGAAAAAAAGCAGATGACGTCCATACCAATCTATTTAGGTTTATATATAAATCCGTCATGCGTCATCTCTTGTTGTTTTTAACCAGATTTATTGGTTTATTTCAAAAATAACAGATCATATTCCAATATTATTGGTTTAACGGAACGATGAACGATGAACGACAAACGGACGCCGATGCGTGTAAACTCGACTTAAAATTTTTGAACTATGTCAAATAGAAATGATAAATATTTTGCATTTTGGATTTTGGACTGTATTTCTAGAGAGAAACAAGCCCTATAACATAGGATACAACATTTTAATGAACAGCGCTTTCCATAAAATCAATAAAATGAAAAATATACGAAATAATATACATGTACTGTATTCTTTCGAAAATCGACAACTATGAAACTATGAACCCTTCCCTGACACAAACAGTACATTGTGGACAGGAAATTGTAGAGAGTAACAAGCCCTATAACATAGGATACAAGATTTAAATGAATGGTGCTTTCCATAAAATCAATAAAATGAAAAATATACGAATTAAAATAAATGTACTGATTTCTTTCGAAAATGGACAACTATGAAAATATGAACCCTGCCTGGACACAAACGGTACATTGTGAGACAGGAAATTGTAGAGAGAAACAAGCCCTGTAACATAGGATACAACATTTTAATGAACAGTGCTTTCCATAAAGTCAATAAAATGAAAAATATACGAAATAAAATAAATGTAGCGATTTCTTTCGAAAATCGACACCTATGAAAATATCAGCCCTTCCTGGACACAAACGGTACATTGTGAGACAGGAAATTGTAGAGAGAAACAATTCCTATAACATAGGATACGACATTTTAATGAACAGTGCTTTCCATAAAATGAATAAAATGAAAAATATACGAAATAATATACATGTTCTGATTTCTTTCGAAAATCGACATCTATGAAACTATGAACCCTTCCTGGACACAAACGGTACATTGTGAGACAGGAAATTGTAGAGATAAATAAGCCCTATAACATAGGATACAACATTTTAATGAACAGTGCTTTCCATAAAATCAATAAAATGAAAAATATACGAAATAAAATAAATGTACTGATTTCTTTCGAAAATCGACATCTATGAAAATATGAACCCTTCCTGGACACAAACGGTATATTGTGAGACAGAAAATTGTAGAGAGAAACAAGCCCTATAACATAGGATACAACATTTTAATGAACAGTGCTTTCCATAAAATCAATAAAATGAAAAATATACGAAATAAAATAAATGTACTGATTTCTTTCGAAAATCGACATCTATGAAAATATGAACCCTTCCTGGACACAAACGGTATATTGTGAGACAGAAAATTGTAGAGAGAAACAAGCCCTATAACATAGGATACAACATTTTAATGAACAGTGCTTTCCATAAAATCAATAAAATGAAAAATATACGAAATAAAATAAATGTACTGATTTCTTTCGAAAATCGACATCTATGAAAATATGAACCCTTCCTGGACACAAACGGTATATTGTGAGACAGAAAATTGTAGAGAGAAACAAGCCCTATAACATAGGATACAACATTTTAATGAACAGTGCTTTCCATAAAATCAATAAAATGAAAAATATACGAACTAAAATAAATGTACTGATTTCTTTCGAAAATCGACATCTATGAAAATATGAACCCTTCCTGGACACAAACGGTATATTGTGAGACAGAAAATTGTAGAGAGAAACAAGCCCTATAACATAGGATACAACATTTTAATGAACAGTGCTTTCCATAAAATCAATAAAATGAAAAATATACGAAATAAAATAAATGTACTGATTTCTTTCGAAAATCGACATCTATGAAAATATGAACCCTTCCTGGACACAAACGGTATATTGTGAGACAGAAAATTGTAGAGAGAAACAAGCCCTATAACATAGGATACAACATTTTAATGAACAGTGCTTTCCATAAAATCAATAAAATGAAAAATATACGAAATAAAATAAATGTACTGATTTCTTTCGAAAATCGACATCTATGAAAATATGAACCCTTCCTGGACACAAACGGTATATTGTGAGACAGAAAATTGTAGAGAGAAACAAGCCCTATAACATAGGATACAACATTTTAATGAACAGTGCTTTCCATAAAATCAATAAAATGAAAAAATATACAAATAATATACATGTTCTGATTTCTTTCGAAAATCGACATCTATGAAAATATGAACCCTTCCTGGACACAAACGGTACATTGTGAGACAGAAAATTGTAGAGAGAAACAAGCCCTATAACATAGGATACAACATTTTAATGAACAGTGCTTTCAATAAAATCAATAAAATGAAAAATAAACGAAATAATATACATGTACTGATTTCTTTCGAAAATCGACAACTATGAAACTATGAACCCTTCCCGGACACAAACGGTACATTGTGAGACAGGAAATTGTAGAGAGAAACAAGCCCTATAACATAGGACACAGCATTTTAATAAACAGTGCATTCCATAAAATCAATAAAATGAAAAATATACGAAATAATATACACATATCCAAAAAAATCCTTATGGGTTTTTCGCCACTGCACTGCAAGAAATATCTACAAAATAAAATAGTTATTTTTTGTAAACACTTCTGGCGTTAAACCTAAACGGACGCTGCTTGTCAGAAGTTGTGTTTACAGTAATAAAAATTTGCCTAACAAAGAAAAAAATGCTTAACGTTTCGGAAAGTTTTCTCTTTCCGTCTTCGGAAGCAAAAAATATAAAGAATCAAGAAAAAACTATTTAAAATATTTAAATTGAACTATTCGAGAACACTTTACTTTTTAACACAGATACGTCTACAAGAAAACGTTGACGTTCTGTTAAAATGACATTATATTAAGTTAAACTTCAAAATTAACAATTACTACCTGATAATTACTTAATAAGGTAAAACCAAAAAGCCCAAACTTTCTGTATGATTATTTTTAAATTTCACGTATGTTATGTTTATTTATGTAATGTTCTTTAAAATCAAAGAAGCGATTGCCATACATTACTAACATCTACAGATGCATGAGTAATACATTTATTTTTATTAGATTGAATTAAAAAAGCCTCTTTTATTTTTCTTTTAGAGGCTATCGCTTCTTTCATTATAATTTTGGTGTTATTAAAATTTATTCTGTGCCCTGTGTCCCATGAATGCTGACAAATCTTAGATTTGTGAAAATCTCCCTTTCTTAAAAATAATCTTTATGTTCTTTAATTCTAACATTTAAGGGTCTAGATGTTTCACCAATGTAAAATTTATCGCATTCACAAGGTATTTGGTATATTACATTTTTTGTTTGTTGTTTTGTATTCATTGGTTTCGTATGTGATAAAATTGATCTAAGTGTATTTTGTGTTTTGAAAGATGTTTGTATGTTATATTGTTTTCCTATCCTTCTTATTTTTTCCGAAACGCCTCGTATGTATAGAATTGTAAGTTGTATATATTGTGTATTGTTATCTTTGTGTCTATGATTTGGGGTTTGTATTTCGTTTAATGTTTTGTCAATAAAATATGGTGGATAGTCGTTTTTTATTAATGTATTTTTTATGTGGTTTATATCTTTGTTTAGTGAAATGTCGTCTGTACATATTATTTTTGCCCTATCATATAAACTTTTTATTTAAAAAAAAATTATTACTGTAAACACAACTTCTGACAAGCAGCGTCCGTTTAGGTTTAACGCAGAAGTGTTTACAAAAAATAACTATTTTATTTTGTAGATTTTTCTTGCAGTGCAGTGGCGAAAAACCCATAAGGATTTTTTTTGGATAGATGAATCCGCCACATAGGTATAGACATTTTTTAATATACACATAATAATGCAGGAAGTTTCTTGAAGCATGAAAGTAAGAAATAGTTCTTTTTCATAAATCTAAGAGTCTCTTTTTAAGATTCTATACGTAAGTATAAAGTGCCTACCGTCTGTCAAACTCCACTCTAAGTGCCTCGGCTCCAGGCAGTCTAACATGACCACTTAATTTGATGTCATCAAAATAGGGATGATTCGACTCTTGAACTACTGGATGAGGAGTTGAAGAATATGGCTGTGTACTGTTGGTCGTATCTTCTAGTTCCGTAACGCACAATTCTAATAGCATGGCTCCAATGGAGGCATTAGCTGCTCCCATAGTTATTAAGGTGGTTGATAGAATCTAGAAATATATAAAAAATAGAGAATTATAATAAAGCTTTTTTGCTTCTTTATTATTATAAGATATTAAAATAACAAAAACATGTTTTCGTTTTTTTTGGTTATATTGAGTTTATAATAAAATTCCTGACATTTTCAATTGATTTTATTTTTTACGAATATATTAACATTTTTTCTCTTTTCACATTAATCTATAAATATTTTTGATAACTGTGTACGAAAGTAAGTGAAATAACGAGTCACTATGTTTCCTAACCTCGTTTCTAAGTGCGTTCCGAAATTAAGAACTGAGCGCGTTCCAATTTTGCTAATTTCAAGAATGCAAAAATTTAATAAAAGAATGTTTGAAATTCACAATGATATGAACTTTGTTTTATTTACCTCTTTGGCTTGGTCATCCTCTATTCTGCCTGCTACAGCTAATTTGAGAAGATCCACAAGCAATCGGGCGTCGTTCTCGGTCAACAACGAGGTAAAATCATCCAAACCAGTGTAACCGCCATCGCCAACAACCTAATAAAATAACACTTACACATATTAAAAAAAATATTGGATGAATAATAATAACAGAGATCTTTAAATTCGTTCTCTACTTCAGACAAGTATTTTTAGAATCGTTTAAGGCTGGTTTACATTTGTCATTTTTGAATGATTACACTGGATGATTTCATCATCATCATCATCATGTAGCCATCGTTGTCCACTGCTGAACGTAGGCCTCCTCCATATTTCTCCATGTCTCTCGATTTTGGGCCGTCATCATCCAATTTCCAGCAATCCTCTTTGCATCATCGGTCCAGCGTGTCGGTGGTCTGTCTCTGCTACGTTTATCTGCTCGAGGTCGCCATTCTAACAATCTTCTAGTCCACCTGTCTTTAGATGTTCTCGCCACATGACCTGCCTATCTCCATTTCATTCGAGTTACGTGTTCCATTATGTCTTTAATTTTGGTTTTTGGTCTGATAGTGTTATTAGGAATTTTGTCTCTTTTAGTTATTCCAAGCATGGCTCTCTCCATGGTTCTCTGGGCTACTCTTAAATTTTCTGCTGACTTTCGTTAATGTTAGAGTTTCCGCTCCATATGTAATTACCGGCAAGACGCATTGTTCATAAACTTTCCTCTTCAAGCATATGGGTATATCACTTTTAAAGGTCTCCCGCAGTTTGCCAAAAGCAGCCCAACCCAAACCTATTCTGCGCTGTATCTCGTGTGTTTGGTTGTTTTTTCCGATTTGTATTTCGTGCCCGAGATATTTGTATATATGTGTTTCTTTTATGTCTGCGTCACCTATTCTGATGTTCTGTGTGAGCACTAAGTTTGTCATTATTTGCGTTTTACTCGTATTTATCCGGAGACCGACTTTTAATAAGGCCTGCACTAATTCTTCGAGCATCTGCTTTGAATCTCCGATGTTATGTGAGACAAGGACGATGTTATCTGCGAATAGATGTGTCAACCTTTCACCATCGATATTTATGCCCCTATTCTCCCAAGAGAGTGATTTCATTGCGTATTCAAGGACAGCTGTAAAAACTTTAGGCGAAATAGTATCCCCTTGTCGAACTCCTCTGCCTACCTCAATTTTATCTGTTGTTTCGTGAAGTTTTACAGTTGTGGTGGCATTACTATATATGTATTCTATAAGCCTTGTATACCTATAATCTACTCTTCCCTGCTCCAATGCTGCTATTATTGATGTTAATTCTACTGTGTCAAATGCTTTCTGGAAATCAACGAACACCAATGCTAGGGGCCTGTTGTATTCTACAGATTTTTCTGTCAGGACTTTAATGACTTGAAGATGATCGTTTGTTCCATAACCTTTCCTAAAGCCTGCCTGTTCTCTTGGTTGATAGAAATCTAATTTACGTTCGAGACGTTTGGCAATGATTTTGGTAAACAGCTCAAAAAACAAACAAGTGACAAAGAAGGCTTATCGGTCTATAATTTTCAAGCTCGGTGATATCGCCCTTTTTATGGAGAAGTATCGTTATGGCGTTGTTCCATTGAGACGGGATTATTCCTTTTTCAAGGCATAGATTAAATAAGTCTTTAATCCATTTAAATAGTGTTCCTCCTCCGAGTTTTACAGCCTCAATCACTATGCCGTCCTCGCCCGGGGCTTTATTATTTTTCATTTCTTTTAAGGAGTTTCTGATTTCTTCTGTAGTTATTTCCGGTATATCCTCTGATCCCTGGTTAACTATCTTTTTGCACAGACGTTGTTGACTGTTGTATGTTTGTTTGGAACAATACATACTGGATGATTTAACTCTGAGTAATTCAGTTTGGATGTACAAGATGGGCTAAATTGGTCACTTTTAAAAGGAAACACCCTTTTTATAGGAGATATCGGTGTCTGGAGCTCAATTTTTATCAAAAACATGATGGTAAAAGCCACACATAGATATCTGTTACCGTTTCGGAGTTACGGGGTATTTTTCAAAAATGTACATTTTTAACAAATCATTGCAACTTTTTTGCTATGAAAATTTTTGTGTTTTTATAAAAACAAAGTGTCCAAGTTGGCCTACCCTGTACATTAAAACTGAGACAGTGTAAATTCCGCTTTATTCAAAAATACAGATAAGAAAAAAATATTTGACTTGCTCTCTTGTCAATGTTAGAAATTTGTACCAAAGGAAGATCAATAAAAATATATTATTAGTATTATTATTATTACTACATAGCATACCTCAGCATGACTGGTTAAAGTGGCAGCTATGACGCTCATAGCGCTCGTCGACATTTTGCTGTGCTTGGACGAAATACTAGCAGAGCAACTGCTAGCTGTCATCGACTGTAGCAGAACCAAAGGATTCTCTTCTTGATCGGGACTCGTTTGCGACGCTGCCATATCGGCAATTTCGGAAAGTGAAACGGGGCTTCCCCTGCGCCCATCACTGTAGCAGTGTCTAGTGTGGCTTGAGGTGTAGCTCGTGTAATAGTCCTGAAAATAATTCTTTATAGACTAAGGCTATATTCCGTTGCAAAAACCAGGCGAACCAGACCGGTAAACTGTAAACTACGGTAAAGAGCGGTTCCTGAAAACATCGGTTTGATACGGAACGGTTTGGTAAAATACTGGAAACGTCAAATGTTGACGTTTTCTAAATTTCAATACCTCTATTATAAAATTTATCTTTTATGCATTTTTAATGTACCTATTCTCTGCTTTTACGTTTGCTTCTTCTTTTCAATGGAGTTTAATATTGAATAGTACTTTATTAATAAACTGTTAAACTCGTTAAACAGTTCTTCAAGTGAAGATTTGCAGGTCCAATATTAAAACAGATCAATAATAAATAAACAAATCTAATCAATATTTACATTTTTATAGCTTACAAAACATTCGCGATTACTGGTTGTCTTGTTTTTCATGTTTTCTTTAAATGTTCCTGGCTTTAAGAAACAATGGCTGCATGATAAGTTTAAATGGTCCTAAAAAGTCATTCTATTTAGTTAATGAAATTTATTTACCTTTACTGCCTACCTCCATTGTTTCTGGATGTAAATACAAAATATTATTACAAATTTTAGAAATTAAATGAGAATTTCACTCAAACTTCCAATATTTGCTTGATTTCTGTCACATAAATGATATTGATTGACAAACAAAACCAGAAAAACCAGCCTTCTCGCGCTGGTTAGTTTGGTGACAGTTGTGACCGAATTTTTCAGGAACCGTGTTCCGTAATAAGAAAACTTTCAGGAAACCAATAGAAACGGAACATAAAACCATAACCAAGGTAAGCAACGGAATACACCCTAAGATATCTTATATAGCAACAGTCAAAAAGTTCACAACAAACGAAACATGACATAACATGTCAAAATTATTATTTATATTGGCCCATGCTAAAATATGTGTCACATTTTTCAAGAAATGGTAAATATCTACTTACTTTTCTTTTTCCATTGTACCGTTATGTGTGGAATTTTGGTTTTTAACGTTGGTATGACTGCACAGAGCTCTTACAATTGCCTGTCGCAATTGCTGTATATGCATGGCATTCAAAATATGTTGCAAAGCTTGTTGCTTCGCTGTATTGCTTTCTAGTGACATTACTATGCTACTTAAGGTGGGAGCCTTCTTATTAAATGACTTAGTTTGATTCTGGAATGGAACAATTAAAAAATATTTCAGTATCTGATTTTAAATGTCACATAAACTTACTTTTTCCCCGTCGTACAAGCCTAAAATTGACGAACCAAGGGGATCTTTGGGTACAGAAAATATCACTGGTTCCACCTAGATAAAATAATATCTAATAAGTAAACTTTTCAAATCAATTATCCTATATTACTACAGTCAATATACAATCTATTCTATATTTATTAATAATACACTCCATAGACAAGTATAAATGATACTATACCATATACATTGATTTTACATCTGGTTTGTATAATAAGATTTGTGTCATTACATATGTCTAAGAATTTCTAAAGTCATTAAGAAGCATTAGAATCCTAGATCATATATACTTACGTGGATAAATCAACGCCATAAGTTTAGCATTAAAAAATATGTCCGCAACATCACGATATGCCATTTTCAAACCTTCTTTATTGCACTTATGAAACGTTCAATAGGTTTGTCTTTTCCGAGGACCTTACTTTGCGCATGCGCATTAAAAGTTGCACGTATTTCCAAAATAATCACAATTTTATACGGTTTAGAACTAGTACAAATTATACATTGTTATGGAAACCAACTTTTCATTGTCATCATATTGTCATAATCATGTTATCTTATTTCCATTGTGTAACGATGCTTGTTTTTTTGCGTTTTTTATTTTAAAAATTGAATTAATTACTCTTTTATCGACTGCTTTTATATAGCCAAGGATGCAAGTGTGTTCAGTGGGGAGTTAATTTCAAGTTTGTGCAATTATATTCCTATTTTTTTTTCGTTGGACTTTCTAAATACTCGTAAAAATGACTAGAAAGTGTTTGGTGTGTGGAAGTTATAATATAAAGGTCCCAGAATTATCTTTTCATAGGCAAGTAAAGTATTCAGTTGTTCTTTTATTTATATTAAACCACATGCATACTTTCTGGTTAGATTTCCTAAGAATATTGATATTCGTACGGAGTGGCTAAATGTATTTTTTATAATAATTTAATTTTTGTTACAGTAACCATTCAATTTATTGTTCAAATATATGCATTTTACAAATTAAATTTTTAAAATTAATGTTCAAATTTGGCGCGTGGACGATAGGTGCTCGACAAGGATATATAGAGTAGAAGCACCGCGTGTGCAACAAAAAAAGAAGAGAAATGAAAGTCGTTGATATGTTTGCGATATTTTCCATAGTGATTTACTTATCCACGTAAGTATATTTGAACTAAGATTAGAATAGTATTCTAAAATATACCCTAAACTGATATATTAACTTACTTTAGTAACTGTCTGTATGTCTTGCAAAGTCCAAGCTACAGAGTGCGAGCTACCGCACGCAACCCTGTTGATATGTACATCTTCTATGCCGTGAACTAACGCGGGCTTCCTGTTCACAATTGTAGTACCGTTACCTTGTTGACCGTGATCGTTATCACCCCAAGCATAAACCTAGGAAAAAAATATTTTTAGATCAAAAAGTAAAATAATCTAAAATATATTATACTTGTCCTGTATCTGTTACAGCTAAGCAATGAAGAGCACCTACTGCTACGTGTATTATTTTTCTGTCCCTTAGACATTCTATCAAGGTAGGTTTTCTGACATGTTGATCTGTACCGTGTCCTAGTCTGAAGTAATCGCCTTTACCCCAAGTCCAGATGTTTCCAGATTTGGTAAGGGCTAGAGAAAATTGAGCACCGCATTCTGAAATTGGTTATTAGGTTTATATATAATGTTTTTTTTACAATGTTTTTTATATAATGGATTAATTATAGAAAGAAAAATAATACCTATCTGTACAACTCCCAGATGATTTAATCTTTCTATGTTGTGTGGAATGTTACATCCTTCTGATCCGCCTCGGCCTAAAGGAGACAAAGTTAAAGAAATTAATAATAGTTATTTTTTATACAAGACGATAAAATGGTATTTTATCGTAGACCGAAAAGATTTCGGGAGACGATAATGCAATTTCATCGTCGTGTATAAAACAATATATTTTTCCATAGCGAGTTACGTTTTAAAAAATATTCAGAAATTATTATTTCAAGGAATTTATTACGAGTAGAAAAATTTTTGTGCTGGGCTGGCGTTGGTTTCTATGTAATTTGACAAATAAATAAAGCTGTCTCTTTACCTGTCAGTTTTGAGTCAATATTTTTTAATTCTCTTTAGTGTCGATTGCTGATTGAATTGGTGCCAGAAATGGCTCAAAATAAAATAAGTAAATTACCAACAGATATTCAGGCTGAGGCGACAAACGCCATATCCAAACTACTTCCATTTAAATCCCGAATAACTTATGAAAAAGAATACAAAAATGGAAGCAATTAAAAAAACGTGAAAGAAGAAATAAAGTTTTTAACCTATCCTCGCTGTTAAAGTATCATTTAATCTACCCTTGCGGTTAAAGTACTATTTTATCTACTATTTTTGATAGATATAAGGCAATTTTAACAGTTGCTATGAAAGAAAATATTTTTTTGTATAAAGCTTGATTTTCATGCATCCGTTGTCCGACGATACGTTGATACGATATTAATTTTATTGGTAGAATTTAAAGACTTTGATCGGTTAGAAAATAACGCAGTTATTAAATTTTTTGCATTTTCATGCCTCCGTTTATCGGATATACGTTGGTGTTATTTTCGTTTCCATAACGATTTTGTTATTTTACTTATATTTTTATTAAGGTTAGATTAAATTTGTCAAAAAGTGTCATAACGTCCGTTATTGTATGAACGGATCCGTTGGCGGTCTGAAGTAAAATATTTACGGATGAAAAGTGGCGCGAAAACGCTATGACCACCGTCGGACCATCGTATCAACGTATAACGGATGCATGAAAATCAAGCTTTAAATTCATAATACATTTTAATAAACGACAAAAAATCTTATAGACCTTTCAAACACATTTGGTTTGGTTTGCGTCAGATGTAATTGCTATTAAGTAATTCATGATTGCTTGCATTCGCGATATATTGCAGTAAATAATAAATCCAGTATTGTTTTATAATATAATAGTAGCTCCCGTATATAGCGTTTAACGCCTTGGGAGTAGCAAGGTACAGGTTGCCATACCAGAGCCATTCGGTATACAAGGTATACGCAATACATATCATTTTTTTATAAGGGATGTGACGGGATAGATAAAGGAATGATTGATTTAATACTTCCTCATTTATTGCGTCACATCACTTTCATTATTAATACTTGTATTAAAAATAATCATTTTCCAGCTGCCTGGAAAATTGCTAATATTATTCCCACAGCAAAGAACTCTAATCCTGCCAGATTATCTGATTATCGCCCAATAAGCATATTACCTTTCCTCTCTAAAGTATTAGAAAAAATTATGCATAAACAACTAACGGATTTTGTAAATGTCTCTAAGATTCTTCCTTTCACTCAGTCCGGCTTTAGGTCTCGCCATAGTACGGCAACTGCTTTACTGAAAGTCAGTGATGATCTTTTCAGAATATGTGACAAAGGCGATACTGGTTGCCTACTTCTCCTGGACTACTCAAAGGCCTTTGATACGTTAAACCATAGGATACTTTTGGAGAAATTGCAATATTTTGGTTTCAGTGACTGTTCACTGAAACTCATGGCGTGTTACTTGGCTGGTCGACAACAGAGAGTTTTTATCAGAGAATCTCCTTCGACTTTTTGCCTGTAGATCGTGGTGTTCCTCAGGGCAGTATTCTTGGTCCACTTCTGTTCTCTATTTATACGGCAGATTTTAAAACGTATTTAAAAAATTTATCTTCACATCAGTATGCTGATGATTTTCAAGTCTACTGTTCCTTGAGTAAAGATTTCAAAGCCTCCGAAAGCAAAATAAATGAAGATCTGAGAATAATTTATGACATTTCACACCATCATGGTCTTTTCTTAAACCCTAATAAGACTCAACTAATTTTTGTGGGTAAGAACTCGCCAGATGTTTCTCAAAAATTAAATATCGTACTTGACAATATCATCATTACACCTGCTAAAAACTGCAAAAATCTTGGGGTTTATTTTGATTCTAAACTGAGATTTGAAAAGCATGTATCATATATTTTGCAGAAATCGTATTGTAAGTTAAAGACACTATATTTATATAAAGATTTTCTTAACAGAGATGTTAAATTGACCTTGTGTAAAAGCCTAATTCTTCCATTGGTCTTCTACTGCGACACTGTCTACGGCCAGCTCTACTTAACAAGGACAAACAAAGCTTAACAAAACTTGTCAACTCTTGCTTAAGGTATTCATTCAGTACTCCTAAATTTGATCATGTTTCCCCTCTTTATAAACAATCGGGCTGGTTAGGACTTGAACAGTATGCTTTTATACATACGTGTATACTAGGTTATAAAATAGAAAAATTTCAAGAACCTCATTATTTGTTCGACATACTTGTCAAGGCAGCTGACCTCCACGACCTTAATACTAGAAAACACAGCAGTTATGTTGTGCCTAAACACCGGACAGCCTTGTTTGAAAAATCGTTTTCGTATTATGTTTCGAAATGCTACAATTCACTTCCTCCGTACATTAAAAGCTGTCCGTCCATTGCAGGTTTCAGGAAATCTCTTGTTGATTTCAATTTAACTTTATAAAAGTATTATTGAATTGTACCTTAAGCTCATGTATGGGTGTTTTATATGTCTTTTTTTGTTCGTTTATATAATTTAGATTTATTTATATTAAAATTGTTATATTGTTGTATTAGTATTGTATGTGTATTTTGTATTTTTTTAAGGTGGTTAGATTGAGTAGCGTATGCTAGACCTCGCCACCTACATAAATAAAGTCAAATTATTATTATTATTATTATTATTATTATTATATAAAACAGATAAAGTGTGTTCAACGAGTCAGAGAAGATTTTTGACAGACCATATCCAAAAAATGACTATATTAAAAATACGGAGCTATTATGCAATACGAAATGTAAATTAAAATCACAAGAAACTGTCACTGTCAATTATCTTCTTTTTAGACAGTCGTTAGACAGTCTCGCTTCATAAGTAGCTGTTTCCTTTCAAAAAGGAATAGACATTACTAATACTCAATTTTTTACCTAATTTTCCAAAATCTCCATCTCCCCAACTAAAAACCAAACCTTGATCTGACAGAGCCAGAGTCTGAGCATCCCTACTGCCGCAAGCAACTTGAACGATCCTGTGACCTACTAACCCCTTTATCTAGAATAAAACAATTGTTAACTATACCCTAAAATATATATTTTGTTTCCTAAATCATACTAGTTTTGGTTTGAGCTGAGTGACGTTATCACCGTGGCCCAGTCTGCCGTATTCTCCTAGTCCCCAAGTGTATAGCTCGCCGCTGCTAGTGATCGCTGCAGAATGTGAACTACCACACGCTATGTCTCTTATTTTCTTGCTTTTCAGAGCTTCAATTAGTTTTGGTTTATCTAAATTCAGTCTATTTCCGTGTCCTAAAATATCGAATTGTGTTCTTTATGCTTAATTATTTATTTTTAATTTCACAAAGGCAAATCAACATACATATACATATTTCATATCAATTAAACTTTTAGTTACGTAATCGAAAGTGTGATTGCAGAATATTTTATGCAAAAAAAAATAATCCTGTATCTTTTACGGTTTCCGAAATCCCAATGATGAGCGTCGAATTCGAGCCACCCTGTACATACATAATACATATATTCACTACACACATACATAACACATTATTAATATAGGCAAGCATATATACTGGGTATTGAAATTTCTGTCACACACTATATTTTATAATATATAAAATTATTATGACCCTCTTATTTAAAATAATTACTTACCCAACTTCCCATCTTCTCCTTCACCCCAAGAGAACACCTTCCCATCAAGAGTAAGTGCCATGGCATGTTTGCCACCCGAATGGACTGCCACTTTTTTAACGACATACTGACTCAAAAAGGGTATAGGTCGTGGGTGCGGTACGTTCATACTATGTCCCAAACCTAAACGACCATTGGTACCTTCCCCACACGCATATAACTAAAAAAATCATGTTAAATTTGTAGTACAGTTAGAAATATTCGTTACAAGCTACAATCTACCAAAGCGACAGAATACATATATGAATTAGGGAGAGCTGTCAACTATGTTAGTTTTCGTTGTAGGCTGTCAAAATCATATACTCACTCACTGGAAATACTATAGTTATTTAGTTTATACCTTTCCTTCTTGAGAAACGACGAATAATGATTTTGAACCTCCGGCTATGTGTATGGGTCTTAATTGGCTTAAAAATTCTGACTGAATGGGCAACTTAACTTTAGATCCTTTCATACCACCTAGATACAATAAAAAAATGTGTAATTTAATATATTATAGCTATTTTTATATAGATTACTAAGGTTTAACTGTTATAATAATAGACATATCAAGGAGTAGTTCAAATGTACCAATTTTTATTTTGATGGATTTGATTTTAATTTGAATATCATACCAATAAATGATCAACTAAAATCAATTTTTGTGGCAATTTTGATGACTAGAGCATTTAAACTTCATGCAAAACCTCAAAATTAGTGGAACAAATTAGTGGTTTCAATTAGCGTAGAAGCTTGTTCCTCTAATATCAGTGTAAGTGTTCAGAATGTCAAAATTAGTAGTAGTAATTTTCAATTAGTAGAAAAAGTTAACAAACTTTTAAGCTTCATTCAGAACCTTGCATTTTAAACTTTTTAGTTTACGATCATTCACAATGTTTAAGAAACACAATTAAAATTAATAGAATATCCTAGCAACAGCTTGCGTTAGTCCTTTGAATAAGAAGACTAAGGAAGGAGCATATCAAAAATCTTAGGTACACCGCGATGGGCCTCAAATATGGCCGACTTAAATTCCGGTTTATCAGTGTCGTTCTAATTTTATTTAAAAAATGTAAAACTATGATGTAGGGTAGACGTGGGGTAGACTCAATAATTTGTTGTTTTATTTTACGTTGTGAATAAATGTTGGTAGTTATTAAAACTGTTATAAAAATATATAATTCTAATAAAAATAGATAAGTTATAATAAGTATTTATTAACACAAACATCCGATACGCTACTGAAGCAGGTAAGTCAAATTAACGTATCTAAATTCTTTGACATCTAATCTTTGACAAGTAATAAATAAAAGCTAAAATGCAAGAAAAATATATAATTTAGTTAATTTAAGTGAATTTCATAAATGATCGGTTTACTACACGTATGTATATTATATAGTCACTTACTAGCGAAAAGTTGTTCCATTATTTCACTCAATTTTTGCCGAGATCTACCGCACGCTACACAACCAACTATTTTAGAGTCTTTTCGATAAATCGCGATAGTGTCACTGTTAATTTAAGTTCTGCCACAATTTCCATCTAGATTTACTACCTTTATACAACTATCAGTAGTAGAATAAATAATAAATAACATAAAATAAGCTCCGTAAAGACTGACAAATCCACAAAATTTCAAATCAAATTCAAATGTGTCAAATGAATCGTCAAACAGAACTGTCAAGGATCCCCACCCTAGAGAGCTTTTATGGTGGCTTTTCCGCCCATAAATACATGGATAGCATTATGCTCCTTCCTTAGTCTTCTTATTCAAAGCGTTAGTCAGTTGTATCCATAGAGAAAGTCTAATAGTTAGCTTATAAAACAATCAACTTTTGATTTCTAACCACAATTTCTGCTGACGGAAGATAATCAAAGGCCAAAATGACGTTTCTCGCAAATTTTGAAGTATAATTAGTGAAAAAGTTAAAAGTTTAATAACTTTTTCTACTAATTGAAAATGCCAACCACTAATTTTGACGTTCTGAATGCTGACATTGAAATTAAAGGAACAAACTTCTACGCTAATTGAAACCACTAATTTATTCCACTAATTGCGAGGTTCTGAATGAAGCTTTAACTTTTTCCACTAATCATACTTCAAAATTTGCGAGTACTGTCATTTTGGCCGTTGATTATCATCCGTCAAGAGAAATTGTGATTGGAAATAAAAAGTTTATTGATTTATAGGCTAATTATTAAGATTTCTCTATGGATACAACTGACTACCGCAAGCTGTAGCTAGGGTATTCTATTAATTTTAATTGTGTTTCTTAAACATTGTGAATGATAATAAATGTTTGAATATAAAGTTTAAATATATTTAATTAATATAATAATTATTTGAGCATACTTATTTAAACAAGCCGCTATAAAGAATCTAAATATAAAATTAGAAAAAATCGTTTTAACATAATCGCGTTTATTTTAATTCTTGAATTGATTAGTTTATTAGTTAGGACAACTTCTAAATTACTATAAAAAGTATATTAATAATTTTTATGCCATTGTGACAAGTTTATCACTGCAAAATCTGAATATATCATCACTTAAATCAAAAATCTTAAAAATCAAAAATAAAGTTTTACAAACAACGGAAATATTTTTAAAGTTTTGTATTTTAGAACCGATATAGCCAAATTTTACACTAATGTACCTATCAAAAAGCTATAGATATTCATTAATATACTCTGTAGAAATCTCCATTCTGAAATAAAAACTCTTTTATACGCCACTGATTAAGAATGATTGATTTGATTGCACTATACTGTATAAAACACTTACCTAATTGATCTTTATCATTAAGGCCCCAAACAAATACTCTACATCCGGTACTGTTTGTCGTTGAAGCATATTCGTCTTGAGATACCGTAACTACCTGCAAAAAAAAAACATTATTCCAAACCTTATTTTAACAAACTTTGTGCTGATTGTAAAACTTACTGATGGCCCAGGAACCGTATCCTGGTTCAAGTCCCAATCGTTGGCCAAAAATGACACGGAAGTTCTAAAATCGCCCGGTGAGTGACGCTTCACACCGACCACAAATATTCCGTGGATTTTACAATCGATTCCGTTGTTCCGGCATTTTGTGACGTTTATCTCGATTATGGGATAGTACTTGTCCATGTTTGAGAGGAGCAAAACCGATGTCTCGTGGCTTTTTACAGAGACGGAGTTTAGCTCAAACAGTGAGTTAGCAGTGGTGCCTCCTAAAAAATGAATAAATAAATAAATAACACAGCGACATACTGATGAATATTTTTTTTCTCGACCTTGTTCTCTTGCAGCCATGGTAATTACATATTCTATATGTAATGTATCTATAATTACATATATACAGAATTGAACGCTCTACAAAAAAGGTCTCTTACAATTTTTCGATAAACCTACTCCTTCAAAAGTTATTCACGGTTAAAGTTAACCACTCAGTGAATTCCTAAATTCTTCAACTTTTTTGACAAAATTATGATTATTTTCGAAAAATTTAATCTATTACTGTAAAAATATACAATTCTGATAGTGTTAAGGTTGGGAATTAAGAAATCTTCAAGTCGAATGAAGTTAAAACCATTTAAGCTGATTTAAGTATAGCTGATTTATTTTAATAAACATTGTTAATTAAAATAAATCAGCTATACTTAAATGGTAGTAACTTTTGAAGGAGTAGGTTTATTGAAAAATTGTAAGAGACCTTTTTTGTAGAGCGTTCAATTCTGCAAATATTTGCAAAAAGTCTCAAATTCCCATGTAATTTAAATGAGAAATAAATCGTCTTTGGGGTAAGGTTTATTGTAAATATTAAGCGTTTACAATGGTCTGTTATTTTTTTTAGACAATAAACTAAAAATTTATAGGGCGTCGTGAGAGAAATGATCAACTTGGATTTAATAAAAACGGAATTCACTGAATTAATAATTTCAGAACGTATTTAAAATTTTCTGAACCATATGAACTAATCTCAGACACACCTTAAAATGCATATTTAACAAATAATGATGACGTAACGTTGAACAATTAAAGTATAATAGTTCAAATATACCAAACACACTTACCATTCACTATAATAACTGAAGGCATGTAGCTATAATCGGCGGGATCGACTCCGACCTTGAGGCTTTTAATAATGACATTCGGTGATATTTCCAGCCTAATCCAGTGTTTTCCCTGCGATCCATTACTTTGCCATACAGAACCGGGCAAATCAAATCTCGCACCGTACATCGACGACACTGATACATTTTGAACTATTCTTTTCCATTCTGTGATCACTTCTCCTTCCATTTCAACAGTGTCCTGTCTATAGTATCTAAAACATATCAAAATTAATTAGTATTTATAAAGGATATAGAAAATAGTGTTCTAAACGTCAGTAAGTGATACCACAGAAAAAAAAATAACTCAAAATGTTTCCTGAGAAAAGTTACAGCCCTTGAAGGGGTAGATAAAAAGAATATAGTTTGTATATTTTTAAAAACATTGGTACACCCTTTCCATTGAAATTTGGTACACTTAAACATATTTTAATGTTTAACCGAATGGCGATAGTGTAAAAATTCGTATCAGTTATGAGAGAGTAGATTAGGGTAGAGGATAGTTTCTTTTAGATTTATAGATTTTAACTTAACGGATACAGATCTTAATATACAACTATAATTGTTTTCGAGATATTTGCGTTTAAAGGTAAGTCGATTTTAGTATTAGCGAAATTATAAGATATAGGAAAATATACTGTTTTTTTTCTCAGGTAAGATTTCGACAGACGACGACAGAAAAAAAGCAGATGATGTTCATACCAATCTATTTATTTCGCTAAAAAAATGTTTCTAATACTTTTTAAGTTAACTATGGATGAGTTTATTATATATCAATCCGTCGTGCGTCATCTCTTGCTGCTTTTAACCAGTTTTATTGGTTTATTTCAAAAATTACAGATCATATTTCAATATTATTGGAGTCACGCAACGATGAACGATGCATGGACGCTGACGCGTACGAACTCGACTTAAGATTTTTGAGGCTTTGAAATTATAGGTTATAAATTTGTATCAAATTATGTCAAGTAATCTGCCTTTTAGACGATTATAAACATTTGCGAATTGTTTTTGCATTTTGGTTCGTGTTATTACGTGCGTCTTTTGAAGTTAAATGGAAGAAAAATCGAGAAAAACTGAACTGTAGACCCAGAGCACAGTTTATAGTTAATATTCGGTGCACAGACAGGGAGTTTTTTATATCTCAATAAAGTTACCATCAATAAAGTTTTATACCATCTCGTATATGGTACTAAAAACAGGAGTAGCTGTAAAATAACATCACACGATAGGTAAATAATAGATATTAGTACTGCACAAAGATAATGCCAAAAGGTACTGGTTAAAAAAAATTAAAATTAAAGTTAGTTAATCAACTTTTAAGGTATGAAATTCAGAAGCTATTAATTTTATTTTATTTGTAGATAAGTTATATTGATAAATATAATAATAAATGCAGGAAGTTTCTTGAAGCTTGAAAGTAAGAAATGGTTCTTTTTTTATTTTTTGGTATGTGGTGTTCTGTTTAAAACACACCCTTGTTTGTTTTTTATTAACACATACCATTTTTTTTTTTGAAATAAAATAACTCAATTAGACTTTTTTTTTCAATTTTATACAGTTCTTTCTTCATAATATTTTGAAATAATCACTTGTCACTCAAACTTTAAATATATTAATTTCCTGCTATGAGTTCCATTTGTACCAACATATTTCTGTGTAGAATAAAATAAACTACTTTGAAATAAAAATGACAGATACATCTATCACTGTCAAGGATGTTCTCGTTGGACAGACTATATTTGATAGGTAACTAGTAGAAGTTTGAATAGAATGTATTAAAAGGATTTAAATACACTACAAGTATTCCTCAAGGAGCCTCTTAGGGCATATGTTCATAGGAACATTTTCATTCATCTTTATCTGTAATATCACTCATGGAAGTGTGGTACACTATTACTTTTACAGCCTGTATATAGACTCGTTTATATTTAACTTACCTTCCCGCCTTACCGGCGTGGATCTCAGTACTTCCCGGTTCCTGAATACGAACGAAACTGTGACGGTGGTTTTTCTTCGTATAAAAACAATTATCGCATAGGTCGTACCCTTCGCACACTTTACATTTAAATCGGGGGCCTAAAAAACGTCAAGTTGGTGTTAATATTTATACTATAGTTTTAGTAGTTCAAATGACCTCTGATAGGTTGGACGCAGCAACTGTTACAGGCAACACCCTCGTGACAGGAGGGTACTACTTCCATTTCGGAGAGAAGACCTGTCCAATTTTGTTGTTTGGGAAAATCCACAGTGACATCGTGACCATTAGGAGAAATAGCTGAAAAAATATTAACAATTTAGTTCTATAAAATCCTAAGGTGTTTATACTTTTTTTTTCTTAAAATTAAACTTAATAAAAATTGGTCAAGTGCGAGTTGGACTCGAGCACGAAGGGTTTCATACCATTCATTATCTATACAACATTAAACACTATATTATTATAAACTTTTTTCCGATTTAGCCGAAATTTTGAATGCGCGTATAAGTAATTTAAAAAAAATGAAGAAACACATTACTAAAAATTGTATTAATCAATAATAAATATGTAAAAAGTAAAAATAAATATGTAAAAATATGTAAAAATTAAAAAAAACGATTAAAAAAAGTCGCCTTGACTAGGATTCGAACCTGCCTTACTACGGCTCCAACGTTATAGTAGCGTAAAGTCCTAACGCCTTAACCACGCGGCCACCGAGGACTTGAAAGATTCTATGTAAAGTCTTACTTAAGATAATGATAATTATTAATTAATTAATAAATAAATTAAGATAATGTTTAGTGAAAGTACTTTTTTATTTATAAACATTTATTTAATTCTGTTTTTAGTATTTGTTCTTATAGCGGCAACATAGATACATTATCTGTAAAAATTTCATCTGTCTAGCTATAACGGTTCATAAGATAGACCTTTGTGACAGACGAACGGACGGACAGCGAAGTCTTAGTAATAGGGTTCCCGTTTTTACCTTTTGGGTACGGAACCCTAAAAAATACAAAAAAAACATCGCAAATTCATACTCACCAGTTACAATTCCGACGCTGTCATGAGTTACATAACCCCACTTATACCTTGGAGTGGTAACTGTAGATTTCACTCTGACTTTATCGCCTACCTTAATGGTAGTAGGAGTAGGCATAGAAGGAGGAAATCCTAATAATTCCACGTGAATGAATCTCACCCAGTAAGTGCTCACTTTGTGTTGCCAATTTACCTTAAAATTATTAGAATTATTTCAGATTATCCATCAGAAGTTTAAAAAAATACTTATATCTAAATTAAAGATTTTTAAATATTAAAAAAGTTGCATTATGAGATCACTCTTCAGAGTAAGAACCTTAATATCTAGAAATACTTGTACTAAGTTGTGTTGTTTAATAACTTATTACATAGCTTTATTCACTCACTTTATAGAATCTATAAAGTGAGTATATAAGTCCTATATTTAGACTATAAAACTTACCTGAAGATTTAAGTCATGTAAGCCTTCCCTGTCAATTTTAACAACTTTTCCTATATCGCCTAACTGTACCTCCTCATAATTTTTACAGCACCTCACTAACATACCAACTTCAACGTTATCCCTCACATACATAGCGTATTCATCATTTGACAGAAACTGGGATCTCCTGCAATATTGGGTATCCGATTCTTGGTTATCTTCGCCCTAAGATTTTATTGGTTTAAAAAAATCCAGATGGTGTTATTAGAAATATTACGTAAACTCCGAGTGACTGTCCTAAGGCGTTATCGTAAGAAATTGACTCTGTGTCGGACTCGTAAACGGAGCTCATGGATTCTGTATCTTCAGCAGCGACCTCTGGATGTTCCAGTAACCATCCAACTATCGATTCAGGACTCATAAGACTCTCCGGATTAATAGCTAGAAATAAACCAAATACATATATTTTCTAATGTTCTAGAAAAATCGTAAAACCATAGTTTTCCCCTTAAAGCTTGATTCTCATGCATCCGTTGTCCGACGATACAATATTAATTTTATTGGTTGAATTAAGACTTCGATTGGTTAGAAAATTACGCAGTTTTTAAATTTATTGCCTTTTCATGCCTCCGTTCATCGGATATTCGATTTGCTTGTGATTGGTGTCATTTTATATTTTCATTTCCATAACGATTTCGCTGTTTTACTTATATCTAAGAGCTAGCCACGTTTTCGAGAGAGAATTTTAAGAAAGCTGGTTCTGTAATATATCTTTTGTTATGCTCTCCTAAAAAGAGTGCCGACTGTCTGGCTGCCGGCAGACGTTGCGTTCACTACTGCGCATCATATCTGTATTCAACATTTGTTCACTACTGCGCATCACAAATTTGCCCTGTATTTCAAGAACTAAGGAGGCTAGGACAAACCTATGTGTAGCATATTTAGTTTCATAAAAAAGTAGCAAAGTAATGTGAAAATCTCATCATTGTCTCTCTACTCATAAACGAGAAATCCCATAAACCACACGAAAATGGGATACCCTGTACAGATGTGATGTGAAGTAATGAACCGCAGTAGTCTACCGGCAGCCAGACGGCCCGCACTTTGGTCAGGAGAGCACAGGAGAGCATAGCAAAAGAGCGAGCTTTCTTAAAATTCCCGTTTTCCCAAGGGTGCTAGCTCTTGTACTATTATATTTTTATTAAGGTTAGATTAAATTTGTCAAAAAGGTGTCAAAACGTCCGTTATTGTACGATCTTTCTCCGTTGACGGGCTGGAGTAAAAAATTTACAGATGAAAAGTGGCGAAAAAACGCTATGACCAATCAGAGCGCCATCGGACAATCGCAACGGACTCATGAAAATCAAGCTTAAACCGCAGTCCACACGCTACGTTTTACCAACCAAACCAAACCAAATCATACGATTAGACGTCGCGTCTGAACCGTGCTTAAGATCACGTGTGTACATTTTAGAAACCATAAAATAAGTACAAAAATAAACTATACCTAACGACTTAATGGCATATTCTACTGCTTTCTTTGTGAAACCCATTTCCACAATCTGATGCACCATTGGATGAACTGACACATCTTCCTCAAGTTCCATTCTCTTACTAGTTTTTTCGCTAACCACACTTTTTATCGAACACTCGCTATTGGGTGTAGCTAACTCACTTGTAGGTGCTTAAAAAAATAACGTTAAAATATCTCTACTAAAAATAAAAGCAGTATTTTTTACCAGTCTTGATATTAATGTTGCTACTGCTAGGTTTGTCGTTATTGATGCAACAAGGGACTTCAAAATTTCCTTCAGCTGCCAAATACTGGCTCAAATTTAAACCAGCCAATTGCATTTCTTGTAGGTTAAAGCCTGGTTTTAGAGGACTGGGTTGTGTGGCTTTCGCCAGAAGTTTCTGGATTAACAAAATGGGTTGTTGGTTTAGTTCTTCCTCTATGGATTGCTGTTCTTGGGATTGGTCCATACCGTTTACTGGGTACTTCAATACCTGCAGAGAGAAAATTATGGTATATATACCCTATGATATCATTAAATTAAAAAAAATAAAGTAATATACAACGAACAAAAAATACATTAATAACACAACACTAGAAACAGTAGAAGAATTAAGTATATTTAGGACTTTTAATACACCTCTCGGGATCTCTACTACCAGAAATCAATAGAAGAATCAAGTTAGCATAGAGTACTTATAAAAGAAACTCAATCATACTCAAATCTAGAATGCCACTTTACCTAAAGGAGAAAACATTCGACCAATGTGTGCTACCAGTCATGACCTGGACACTTAAAACGGACATTATAAGAAAACTGCAGGTCGTACAACGCTCACTGGAACGAAATATGCCGGGAATAACCAAGAATACGACAAAAGACCCAGGTAATAGATGTCATCCACAGAATCAAATCCCTCAAGTGGCAACGGACATGACACCTGGCAAGAAGGACGGACAATAGATGGACCACAAAAATTACAGCTTGGAAACCACGATAAAATATATCCTCCGTAAACATTCAAAATATACAAAACAAGTAATTTTTTAAAGAAAATTTCAAATATTACCTTTCTTAGCCTATGCTGATTGGTATGCAACACTCTCGTCGCGTTCAAGGCGCTCAAAATATTCTGCTGCGTTCTCAAATACGCCAAATTCACTTGCCCGTGGTAAAACTTCCTATCGTGAGAGTTTAAAGAACTGTGTCTAATTAGAAGTAAGTTTGCCCACATTTTTATTGAATTCTCGTTCATGGGCATTTTTTCAAAAGTAAATTCTGGCGATGGAAGAAGCTTTAAATTATTAATTGACACCTAAAAAATATTGTTCTAATTTTCCGTCGAAAAAACACCAAATAACTTACTTTTCGAACTTCGCCGTTATCGTGAAGTTGCATACATAACCTTCCTTTAGGAGTAACTCTGGTTACTGTACCTAGAGCGCCATCTACTTCCGCTAAAGCACCTACTCTGGGTCTGACGTCCCATGCTCCTATAACGTTCAAGCATGCTACTACCATAAAATGCTGTTGGTCGGAGTTCATAGCGTCGTTTTGTGTAGACAAATCGCTCAGAAAATACCTGTAAAAATTACAATAAATGATACCAACGTTAGTAATAGACATCGTATTATATGGAATTGTATTTTTACATACGCAAATCGCTTATTTTTATAGCGTTACTGTATTAGCTGTGCTACTTTTAGTTATTTTTGCCCATCTCTAACAAACTTACCCTGCCAAATTTAATTTTTGCGATAAGATCGCATTTAAAACTTGATTCCATCCCAGAACTCCATGCAAACTCCTCAAAAGATTGATAATTTCTTGAGCTAAGGTACTACTGTGACTCTGAGTAAGCAGTACCAATGATTTATTGCTTGATAACGGTTTATTTCCGGTATCGTACGAACAAGTAATGATAATATTTCCCAAAATATTTAGTAACTTTTCTAACACTTGAGATATTTCCGGATTGTCCATATCCCAAGAATGTAAAACGGTCTGTAGTAGTCTGATAGTAAGAATCTGTAAAATAGTAATTTGTCTAGCAAATGAAGGTCTTTAATTTTCACATGTCTACACCTTGTATGTATACAGGGTGTAAATAAACAACTGGGAAAAAATATAAAATGATTTTAAACAATTTTTTTGATTTGCCAATTCCCTACAAAGTTATTTCCTTATACCCTGTCGGCAACAGAGAGTCTATGGAGTGTAGAGATGAGGAGAAATATCTCTTATGGGACTTTATTTCACAAAAATGGGAAGAATAAATGTTCACCAAATGTCCACAGTGGCGCTAATGACCCATAAATCTAAAAAATAAAAAGTAGCCATAGATAAGAGAACAAAAGTAAAGTAACCAAACATTACCCCAAAAAAGCTTTGTTTTTATTTTTAGAATATAAAACAATTATTTTTATATATTAGAGGCCCAGTATATTGCTGCTGAATAAAAATTGATAATTTATTTCATGTGGCATGAAAATAAAATTTGTATTTTTTTGAAACCCGCGACTTCACGTCAAATATTTATCTCTTTTGAATCATTTCCTGTTCAAAAAACATTCTAAAACATATTTTAAATTTTAGACTTTTGCTACAGCAGCTCCATCTTAAGTCTTCCCTTTTTTATGACCATTTTTTAATGCACGAAGATATTTCTCCTTACCTCTAAACTCCATAAGTGAGTCTTGGGCTGTTATTTACCAGTGAACCAAAATCACAATGTACAGTGTTAACATTTTATTTTGTCCCACATGTAAAGTATGAGAAAAATTAAGTTAAAATTTATACATTACCTGTTTAGGTAGATTAAATTCGTTACCACCTACGCTACTAGGTGGCGTTAAGAACTCAAGCAGCATAGTCATCCAAGGTTTGGTACTGAAAGCTCTACATAGTTGCTGAGTTTGAGATATGGTTCTTACAAGGGTCAGGTTACACCATTCGAAATTGTTGGTGTTCAAAACAGAGCAAAACAAACTGCTCAATCCGTGTAAAGAAGTAGGATGTAAGTTATTATTTGACAGACCAGAACTTATGGTTAAGTTTCTGAGAAAATTAATGCTGGCATCACGAAGCAGCTTTATCAGTTGGTTATCTTTGACAATTTGAGAACCTGAAAGTAGATAGTAAATAATTTTTGCTGGTTATAATTATTTTATGTACATAATTTCACTAAAGAATAACACATATCTATGTCCACACTTACTTCTTTCATAAGATTCGTCGGTCTCACTCTCCGAAGTGACAGGTGAAGGTGGAGAGGCTAATGTCAAGTCGTATTTACCTTCGACGCCCATCCTGTAGCTATTAGTAGTTCCGTTGGCCCACTCCACTCGAATCCAACCGTCTTCGCCCAATTCTCCAATGATTCGACCTTCTCCTGGAGGATTACCATCCTAAATACAAATATGAGCTTGAAAAAGTCGGTGTAACATAAATAGTTAATAGAGAACAAATACAATGACTAAATGTTTTCATCAAAATAAACAAAAAAAATTATAAAATTAAGTTTTATTATTCCTTTTCATTAAAAATAGTAAAACACAAAATAATAAAATTAAATAGTTTCAAGCAGTTTGTCAAATGACCTAAGATATAAATACACTCATTAGTTCAAATGTCCCATAGTATTTTTATCATGTTCCTAACTTTTATTTATTAAAGATCTAGAATAAATATATAAACAAATAAAAATGTTGTAAAGCAAACTTATAGACTGATACAAACGTCTTTTGTATTCTTCTGAGCTGTTTTTAGTATTTTATATATAGTTATTATATGAAAAAAAAGTTGAAGATTTAGTAGGATTATAGTAGGATTTTTACTCTTATTTAGTAGGATTAATTTTTGACATCTAATAGACCTAAGCGCGAATATGTCAGCCATCACGATTAGAATATCTGCTCACTTTAATGCTAACTCTCCCTACCTCTACATCTCTGGGGTTTACCGAATAAAAACAGCTGGTAGTTCAAATGTACTGGACATATTTTTGCTATTTATTAACTTTTGATTAGCTAATTATAGTACTGATAAGTAACAGACTGAGGGTGTATTCCGTTGCTTACCTTGATTATGGTTTTATGTTCCGTTTTTATCGGTTTCCTGAAAGTTTTCTTATTACGCTTTGAATAAGAAGACTAAGGAAGGAGCATAATGCTATCCATGTATTCATGCATGGTGGGCGGAAAAAGCACCATAAAAGCACTCTAGGGTGGAGATCCTTGACAGTTCTGTTTGACGATTCATTTGACACATTTGAATTTGATTTGAAATTTTGTGGATTTGGCTGTCTTTACGGAGCTTATTTTATTATTTATTCTACTACTGATAGTTGTATAAAGGTAGTAAATCTAGATGGAAATTGTGGCAGCACTTAAATTAACAGTGACACTATCGCGATTTATCGAAAAAGACTCTAAAATAGTTGGTTGTGTAGCGTGCGGTAGATTTCGGCAAAAATTGAGTGAAATAATGGAACAACTTTTCGGTAGTAAGTGACTATATAATATACATACGTGTAGTAAACCGATCATTTATGAAATTCACTTAAATTAACTAAATTATATATTTTTCTTGCATTTTAGCTTTTATTTATTACTTGTCAAAGATTAGATGTCAAAGAATTTAGATACGTTAATTTGACTTACCTGCTTCAGTAGCGTATCGGATGTTTGTGGTAATAAATACTTTTTATAACTTATCTATTTTTATTAGAATTATATATTTTTATAACAATTTTAATAACTACCAACATTTATTCACAACGTAAAATAAAACAACAAATTATTGAGTCTACCCCACGTCTACCCTACATCATAGTTTTACATTTTTTAAATAAACTTAGAACGACACTGATAAACCGGAATTTAAGTCAGCCATATTTAAGGCCCATCGCGGTGTACCTAAGATTTCTGATATGCTCCTTCCTTAGTCTTCTTATTTAAAGTTATTACGGAACACGGTTCCTGAAAAATTCGGTTATAACTGTCACTAAACTAACCACCGCGGGAAGGCTGGTTTTTCTGGTTTTCTTTGTCAATCAATGTCATTTATGTGACAGAAATCAAGCAAATATTGGAAATTCGAGTGAAATTCTCATTTAATTTCTAAAATTTGTAATAATATTTTGTATTTACATCCAAAAGCAATGGAGGTAGGCAGTAAAGGTAAGCAAATTTCATTAACTAAATAGAATTACTTTTTAGGACCATTTAAACTTATCATGCAGCCATTGTTTCTTAAAGTTATAGATAAAGAAAACATGAACAACAAGACAACAAGTAATCGTAAATGTTTTGTAAGCTATAAAAATATAACTATTGATTAGATTTGTTTATTTATTATTGATCTATTTTAATATTGGACCTGCAAATCTTCACTTGGGCTGTCTAACGAACTTAACAGTTTATTAATAAAGTACTTTTCCATATTAAACTCCATTGAAAAGAAGCAGCAAACGTAAAAGCAGAGAACAGGTACATTAAAAATGCATAAAAGATAAATTTTATAATAGAGGTATTGAAATTTAGAAAACGTCAACATTTGACGTTTCCAGTATTTTACCAAAACGGTCCGTATCAAACCGATGTTTTTCAGGAACCGCCAACCGGTCGGTTTTGCAACGGAATACAGCCTGAAATAAACTCCATACTTTAACTAAATTTTCCATAGTTTTCATATAGTTTCATGTTTTAATCATTTACTCCATGTGTTCAACAAAAAGTTCGTAATAAAAACTAATATAATAAACACAAAAATGTTTTCAAGCAATATTTCACTTTTTCCATATAAAAATTGCCTAGTAGTTCAAATGTACCATACAATTTTTTATTCATTTATTAACTTTAAATAATTTAAATGATTATTTTAACAACGTTCATAAAATTATTCACCGTGAATAAAAGATAAAGATAAACAAAGAATAAACACAGTAACGAATATCAAAGAAATATTTAAAAATAACATTTCTCACCTGGTCACCCCATTTCCAATCAGTTCCCCTAACTACCTTAGTTCCGATTTTCATTAAACTCGCCAACTCTGCCCCTGTCAAAGACCTCAAACTCGGTTTATTTACATCCACCGCATCGGCGTAGAGAACGTAAAATTCTGAAACTTTCCTTACTATTGTCTGATCCGAACCTGACTGTTTTAATAACGCCAGAACCGATGATATTACTCCACTAAAAAAGTATATTAGATTAACATAGTTGTGTTTTAAATAAGTTGTAATAAATACCTATTTATCAGTGGATTTAATTCTAAAGCATTGTAATAGTTCGAAGCTAAAATTCCAAGTAACGCTAACAGCATTCGAGCTCTAGGCACATCTCTTAGTAAAGTATAGGTGCCCAAGTTCAAAGAAACCTTAGCGTTCCCTTTTAATTTCGAAGACTTCGATGGTACATCTCTAAGAATATAACTTCTCAGCGTTTGGATGCACCACTCGACAATGCTTAGTTGGGACAGAAGCATTTCGGTTTTGAGAAATGGGGTTACGAGTTGGATGTTTTCCAGACAATGCTGTATTCTGTCATGCTTTCTGTCTAAACCCAGGTAACCGTTTAAGATTGAGTATTTTACGGATGTGAGTAAATAGGATTCGTCTAAAAGTTGTTTTATCATGTTGAGCCCTTCTCTGCGCGTCTTGCATCGTTTAACCTAAAAAATAATGTATCAGTCTTGAGTTTTTCAAGTTTATTCAATTTGGCAACACCACAGTTTATTTACAAGATAATTCGTCGGAGTTTTTCCTTTGTTTACTTTTTCAAGTTTTATTTTACGAAATTTATTAAGCGTTTATATGAAAAAAAATCTGTAATAAGGCGTTTTATCGGAGTAAAACAAAAATTCTGTGAGATGGAACAGGTAAAGTGCATTTTTGAAACTTACAACTAATAAAAAATATATGAGCTAAAATTCAATTAATAGAGCTATTATTTACGGTTTTGTTTATTTGTTCTATACCGGGTGCGTCTCAAAAGTGGTTCACCCATATAACTTTTTTATTTTGTCAGTTAAAAAAACGAGATTTGGTATGTTAGTATATGACATAAATTAGGATTGATTGACGTATTCAATTGTTTTCGGTCGCTTCCCGTTTCACCGGAAATGACTACAACTTTTGATTTTTAAATGGCACCCTCGGAATTTTTTACTTTATTCGATAGAAAATGACACTCTGAATAGAATGACATGTCATATGTCAACTTTTGACATTCTCGCATATAGTTTATTTGAAATTATAACTTGCGGCTCGTAACGAAAATTTGGTTTGAAATACCAAGTGTGTGGTATCAAATTATTCGTAAAAAAATGATTTTTCCAAAAACGCTAATAAGCCAGCCTCGTTCCATTTGAAAAAGTTGGGATATCATTAAAAATACGATTTGGGAATTTTTTAAACGGCCAGGACAAGACATTAAATACATTAGATGATCAAATCTATTTTTCCAACGCTCCTTTATTAAGAATTAGTGTTTTTAACATAGCCGTGGCACTCTAGATTGAAATTTAAAATACAATTTTTTATTAAGCGAGAATGTCAATAGTTGACATATGATACGTCACTCTATTCAGAATATCATTTCCTATCGAATAAAGTACAAATATACCGGGGGTGCCATTTAAAAATCAAAAGTTGTAGTAATTTCCCGTGAAACGGGAAGTGACCAAAAGTAATTGAATGTGTCAATCAGTCCCAATTTATGTCATATACTAACATACCAAATCTCGTTCTTTTACCTGAAAAAATAAAAAAGTTATAGGGGTGAGCCACTTTTGAGACGCACCCAGTTTACAGGGTGGTCCGAACTGTATTCGGGAAACTTCGGCAGCATATCCTGCGAATAAAAATAAGTAAAAAAGTTCGTATAAATGTGTGCCCTAAAATGCTTAGTTTTGGAGATACAGGGTGTAGAAGTTTCATTTTTATTTCGGTTTTTTCCAAATAATGTCTGATGTAACGTCAATATTTGGATGAAAATTGGTGTCTAGGAGTGTTTTGACATGAGAAATTTGATTTTGATGTCAATATGACACCTACTTGTAGAGGGCGCCACTTACGTATTTTTTAACTGATTTGAAGAGCAATAACTTTTCGTGTGTACCTGTATAAAACTACTGGATAAAAAAATATATATTTACGACGTGTTTTCCGCAAAAAAGGTCTCTTGGTAAAAATTTCTACAAGTAATGGTTCTCGAGATATTTGGAATCTAAATTATCAATACCTGTCATCATTGACATAAATTATTAACATGTTGACTAAATAGTTATTAGACTGATATCATAAATTTGAAACGATTTTGTGCCAAAAGTTCAACAGAAACTGTTTCATCATCATTTTTTCATCAAGAAAAATTTATGATTAATTTAAAAAAAAAGTTCCCAGTTGGGTAAAGAAAACAATGTATACTGTAGAGTACCACATAGTGATAATAATAATAGTAATATGCTAAAACACCGGGTTCTGCACTATCCTGTATCAAAAAAAATACAGTGGTAAATAAATCCAAAACTTAAACTGCTATCAACTTACTTGCAAATACATAATCTTCCTTAAGACATCTATATCACAGCTTGATTGAGTTACAAATTCAATGATGGGCGTTACCAAGTCTAAATTTTCGTTAGAAACTTTACTCATTTGCTTCTCAGTTAGTTTAGAAACAATACCTACAAACAAAAATAAACTAGGAAAAATGTCATTATCGCCTGGACAGTGAAAATCAAAGCAGAATATGCAAAAATTGGCAAAATAATAAAAAAATTAAGATTATGTCTAGGATATGCAACGCCAACGCCTTTTTGCCTATAGTCTGTCCAACGAGAAGATCCTTGACAGTGATAGATGTGTTTGTCATTTTAATTTCAAAGTAGTTTATTTTATTTTACAAAGAAATAAGTTGGTACAACTAGAACGCATAGCAGGAAATTAATATATGTATTTAAAATTTGACTGACAAGTAACTTCAAAATATTGTGAGAAAAACTGTGTAAAACTGAAAAAATGTAATCGAGTTATTTTATTTAATAAAAAACGGTATGTGTTAATACAAAACAAACAAAAACAAGACACCACATACCAAAAAATATAGAAAAGAACTATTTCTTACTTTCAAGCTATATGAAACTTCCCGCATTTATGATTATATTTATCAATATAACTTATGTACAAATACAAATTTGTAATATTCCGCAGGAATAATAAAACAACATAAATAAAACAAACTATTTTATTAATAATAACACCAAATTTTATTCCTCACAGGTTGATTAATTAACTTTAATCTTAATTTTTTTAAACCAGTACCTTTTGACATTATTTTTCTGCAGTACTAGAATCCATTATTTACCTATCGTGTGATGTCGATATTTTACAGCTACTCCAATTTTTAGTATGGTTTGGTATGGTCCTTCTACCATATTCGAGATGCACTTATCTACGACGAGATGGTATACGAACTTTATTGATAGTAACTTTATTGGTGTATCTGTATAAGACTTTCTGCCTGGGCAGCGAGTATTAACCATAAACTGTGCTCTGGGTTCTACAGTTAATTTTCACTCGATTTTTCCTCCACTTGACTTCAAAAGACACAAAACACACGTAATAACACGAATCAAAATGCATCATCTTCCAAAACGCAGGGTATTTGACAAGAGTTGTCACAAAATTATAACCTATAATTTGGCAAGACTTTGACAAACGTCAAAAATCTAAAGGCGAGTTCATACGCATCGGCGTCCGTTTGTCGTTCATCGTTCCGTCAAACCAATAAAATTCAAATACAATCTGTCATTTTTGAAACAAACCAATAAAACTGGTTAAAAACAACAAGTGACGACGCATGACGAATTTATATTTAAACCCATCCATAGTTAACTTAAAAATTATTAGAAACTTTTTTTGGTAAAATAAATAGATTGGTATGGGACGTCATCTGCTTTTCTTCTGTCATCGTCTGTCGAAATCTTACCTGAGAAAAAAAACAGAGTATACATTATATGCATACCCCTAAGTCAACTGAAGGTGTATTTCTCATTCGAGCCATAGAGATAAAATGAATATCAAAATACACAATAAGATATGTATAATAAAAAATATACGTACGTAATATACACGCAATATACACGTATAAATGTGATATGTATAATAAAAAATATACATATTTCTTCAAATTAAAAGCATTTAATATACCTACCTGCTAAAGCTGCTTCATTTTCTATCTTTTTCTCTTTGTCTTCGTCGTTTATTTCTATTCTTAACACGTTGTCGTGAATGTCTACATTCCATTTTTCGTCTAAATCTGATTTTAAGTCTTCCACCACGTTTTTGGAAGAGTTTGATGTAAAGGACTCGGTTAGAACGTTTTTGGGTTCACCTATAAAACAATTTCGATGTAAAAAATATTCTATACTAAAAATTAGAAATTCAAAAAAAAACTCAGTTTACATGTTGGTCTTCAGCTTCATTCAGAACCTCGCTGTTCGTAAAGTTTGTTACTTTAATTTTAATGTAAGCATTGAGAACGTCAAATTTAGTGGTAGACATTTTCAATTAGTAGAAAAAGTTACCAAACTTTTAACATTTCCACTAATTATACTTTAGAATTTGCGAGAAATGTCATTTTGGCCTTTGATTATCTTCCGTCAAGAGAAATTGTGGTTAGAAATCAAAAGTTGACTGTTTTATAAGCTAAATATTAAGCTTTCCCTATGAATACAACTGACTAACGCAAGCTGTTGCAAACCACTAATTTATTCCACTAATTGCAAGGTTCTGAATAAAGCTTACATCTCTTAGAATATTCAGTATGACGTAAACGTTATCTTTCGCAAATCCGACTATATCTTACTTTTTTGGCCTGCGTTTTTAATCTCGTTATTCATATCGTCCGTTTCGCTTTTGCTCTCCGCTATCTTTCCATCGGATGGCACTTTTTTAATGGACTGTTTCACTAGATCGTCGTGAGATTTTCGCTCCACCGTCTGAGACTGGATCGTGGCATTAACTATATCTTCCGGTTTCTGAATGTCGGAAGTGTGACGGCCACATTTGAGATCTTTAATAACCTAAAAGAAAAATTTCAATAATCTGTTTTTAAAACTAAATTATCTATATACATATGTAAAAATATAATAATGTTTGTTAGGGTCACTAAAACTCAAGAACGGCTGGGCCGATTTTGCTAATTTTGGTTTTGAAATATTTATAGAAGTCCAAGGAAGATTTATAGGGTGAGAAAATATGAAGAAATTGCCAGAAAAATCGTAAATAATAATCGTAAAAACATAATTAAAAACTGGCGGTGGGCCTGTGGTCTAAGACGAGCGCTTCCAATGGAGAGATCTCTCCTCTGAGATCCCAGCCTTTCAATAAAAGGATTAAGGAAGGAGTATATCAAAAATCTTAGATCGACCGCGACGGGACTCTAAAATGGCCGACTTAAATTCCGGTTTATCAGTGCCGTTCTAATTTTATTAAAAACCTGTAAAAATACGATGTAGGATAGACGTGGGGTAGACTCAATAATTTGTTGTTTTATTTTACGTTGTGAATAAATGTTGGTGGTTATTAAAATTAACTTAACTTCTGCCACAATTTCCTTCTAGATTTACTATCTTTAAACAACTATCAGTAGCAGAATAAATAATAAATAACATAAAATAAGTTCAGTAAAGACTGACGTCGTGATACATAGATAGCATCATACTCCTTCCTTAATCTTTTTATTCAAAGATCCGAGCGCTTCCATTCGAGGTTAGAATCCTGCAAAATCTAAACCTTTTTTTTTAAATATACAAATAAGAGTATAACATATCTTCTTCAACATTATTTCTGTTATATTGTGTGCAAGAAGGGTGATTTACTGTTTTTTAGATATTACCAGGGAACTTATTTTTTAATGTTAATAATTTTGAGGTTAAAAATGAAGATTAAGATGTTATTTATTGTTAATGATTGATTATTAACTAAAGTTAATGAATAATAGCATAATTAATGGGGCAGCTAATTAACAAATAAAGATATAATAAACCTAAAAATAAAGATAAAGTCACCTAGTGATCACACATATTAACATGTTCACATCACATATATACATATACATATATATTCATATATCACACATATGAATGATACAACATTTTAATGAACAGTGCTTTCCATAAAATCAATAAAATGAAAAATATACCAAATAATATACCGATTTCTTTCGAAAATCGACAACTATGAAACTATGAACCCTTCCCGGACAAAAACGGTACATTGTGAGACAGAAAATTGTAGAGAGAAACAAGCCCTATAACAGAGGATACAACATTTTAATGAACAGTGCTTATATAAAATGAATAAAATGAAAAATATACGAAATAATATACATGTACTGATTTAAAGATTAATATTATTTATTGTTAATGATTGATTATTAACTAAAGTTAATGAATAATAGGATAATTAATGGGGCAACTAATTAACAAATAAAGATATAATAAACCTAAAAGTAAAGATAAAGTCAGCTAGTGATACACTAAAAAATTGCTGTGTCTTTTTTGAACTTATATCCATTAATTTTTCCCTAAAACTTACTGTATATGAATGGTAAGTGTACCTTTTTCACAAGCGTTCTAACTCGTGGTTCCTTGTACAAAACGTTGACTTTCTTGAAAGCCTCACTCTCCACGCTGATAGCTGGTTTGACTTCGTACAACAAAAAGCGGCACTTTTCCAGCAAAGGAATGCAAATTTCCTTGTAACTTTTGTTGGCCTCTTGCCTGGATTTGGTCAAGTTCCATTTCGTTTGGTGTACCAAACGTATTACTTCGGAGATAGATTTGGGAACTTTTAAGTTGACTGGCTGAGAAGAATCTAAAAGTAACCAATATTATAAGTCAAACCTTACAGATATAGACTTGATATGATCCTTGATTGATTACCAGAAACAGGCAATACACAAATGATTGTATTTAATGTACGGAGCAATAAACAATAATTGAAATAGTTGGCTATTCTGATTTTGCTCGTTTGGTTGGCAATAAATTTACGAAATACGAATATTTATCGGCTGATATCACTAGGTGGCCGGCCGTAGCTCCAGCGTTAGTGTATCGATCTGCGGAGCGGAAGGTACTGGCACAGATCATACAGCTTATAAACTTTGTTTTTTCTTTATAGTTTTTCGTGGTTCCAATTTTCGGAATCGGGCACTAGTTAGGTTACTAGTTTGCGCACATAGCACGCCCACTTATGGCCTCTAAAATTGTGCACAGCGCCTGACCGGCACAGTTATTAGAGAGATATCGGAAAACCGAATAGCGTCATGCAGTATTTACGCGTACCTTATCATGGTTACGATATGCGCGAGTCAATTTTTAACGCAACACCCACTAATAACGTTACCGCCTGACGTAATTTGCGGATCAATCACACCAAGCGCTATTTCTAAATAACGTTTAAAAATTGCTTAAATGGGTATGTGCGGGTATTTGACAACCGGGGCCGGCCGGCGAGATCTTTTATTTTAGGTTGTGTTTGAACTGTTTTGAATTATTACTTTAGTTTTATTAGGTAATTTGATATTTAAGTAGCTGGGATTAGTTTTAATTAAATAAATATGGCCCAAAATATGGATTCCACCTCTTCCAATATTAAAGAACCTATAAAGAGGCTTAGGTTTACAGCAGATGACGACTTAGCCCTTCTAAGAGAATTTGTTGCTTGTTGCCCTAAACCCACTAGCAGACGTTGAACAATGAAGCACTGGAAATAAGCACTTGAGCCCTTTAGTTTTAAAATACCTAGTAAACAAAACAAGTTTTCTAAGTTTTAAATTCAAAGTTAGGTTAAGTTTAAATAGCGGACGCGACGCGAACAGAATTCTTTCCGATCCGATAACTGTAAATGAAGAGAGTTAATACCACCTCACGTAAAGGAAATAACAGAAGTGTCTAGTCCTAGCCGTCAACTATTAAGCTTGACCAATCAGGTTGGTTAGCGTGGTTATTTGGAGTGTGTTAATTCATTTGTGTTTGTCAAAAACTCTAACGTGATTGGTCGGGCTTAACAGTTGCCTGCTAGGGCTAGACACAAGTGGAAATAACACCTGGCCTCTACATATCTTTATAAATGACATAATCCATCTTCCAAATTGCGATTCTATATTGACTAAAATCAATTTCGATTTTCTAACCTTTTTTCGAACACCAAGATAAAAATAAGCCGTGATTATGTAAGTATTTCTTTTCCATGTTAAACACTATTGTTGTATTGTAAAACAGTATTTTTTCCATTGTAAAATATGTCGATTTCAGAAATAACAAAGTAATTTTTTTTATACACTCACCGGCAAAAAAACCGGCCATAAAAAAACCGGCCATTAAAAACTAGTCCCAATTTCAAAGTTGGATTTCTCACGAACCACTTACTAGATTTTGATGATTTTTTTTTAAATTGTAAATTAATTCCTTCTTAACGGATGCTACGTCAGAAATTTCTTTTCCGAATTTATTTTGAGCATATACAGGGCACAACAATAAGACGAAGTTTTTTGCCCGAACTTTGTAATATCCTATAGGGTGCAGCAGCTGTAGTAGTTATTGCTAAATCAAATAACATTGTAGCCTCATCTTTTGCGAGCATTTTGTTTTTTTAATCACGACATTATCTCTGTTTGTATTGGAGATACGCTGATTTAAAACGAACGTCTCGGAAAAAGATTTAGTCCATAACTCAATATCCCAATTCAAATGTAAACCCGCAAACTGAAGACCTGCTCGACGATGTCTTCGAAGTAGTTGGGGTCCTGTGACAGGCCTCCTTGCAGACAAGCTGTTTTCTTTTAGTCTTCGTCGGAGTGTTCTCTCACTGACTTCAGTTCTACGCACGGCTTGTAGCAGATGTTGATTCTGAAACGCTGTAATTATACGATTTCGTAAAGTATTCAGGATTCAGTCAATTGCATTTGTCTTCCGTTTTCTTCCGGAACTCACTCGCCTGGTGAAATTTCCCGTTTCCATATACCGATTCCAGGCATCCTGGACTGTTGTTCGAGGTATACCCAGGGCACGGCATATAAATCACACGGCAGGCCAACTCGCTTTGGCGGGAACGCTACGCGCATACCCTTGCGCACGCCGCCATTATGGGTGCCAGCGACAGAAATTAACCAGTGTCGTAGTCAGTCGTAGTCTTTGTCATCGACAACGTACAGTTACGGCAGCTTTGACTCAGTAGCGTGCGGCTTAATTTATTTTATTCTTTTCTTGAGTGATATATTTTGTTTTTTTTTAGTTTTATTTTTTGTTTATTGTGTGATATATTTGGTTTTTGTAGTTTAGTAGTACAATGGAAGTCCGAAATTCTTTTTAGTTTTAATACTCAGTCATAGTCTACGGCATTCAAAGTAATTTTTATTATTAGGTATCCTGCAAAATGACAAACAAGATTAATTTCTAAATTACTGTTTTTCTGATTATCCGTATCTATTTTTAATTTTTATGGATAGCTCATGACAATTCAGAGAGAAAAGAAAAGAGGTCTCGTTTTTTTATAAGGTCTGCCGTTTTTAATAAGATGTTTGCCAGATCATTTTGGCAATTTTCAGTACCCGTATGTAATTTTCGGACACAAAGTTTTTAAATGTTCTTCTAAACTGGATGAATTTATCCTGGATGGGAATAATGACAGGTTTACAAGATATTGGAATTAGAAGAATTACAAGATAAAATTGTACCAGATTTTTATGAGTGCAACTGTACACTCAAATCGCTTGTCGCTAAGCTTTTATATAATATAAAATTGTGTAATGACATAATAAAAGTTTTAAAGAAAAAGCTTATTTTTCTTTTAATGTATTTAAATAAAAGCTTGTTTTTAAAAGTTTTTTTCTTAAATTTATTTTTTACTTTTTAAGTTATGCTGGTTTCGCAGTGCCATACACTTAAACTCAATTCTTTTTCTTAAATAACTACCTATGGGCATCCTAATAATATGTGTATCGATTTTCATAAAAAAGGAGAACTTAAAAAAACGACAGCTGTCAAAATTGACAGTTCAAATGTGAGACAAATAAAATGAAAACCGACTATGAGGTAGGGATCATCCAATATATCGATTTTTATCAAAATCGGACAACTTTGAGATTTTTTGACAGCTGTCAAATTTGACAGCTCAATTTTTTTCTTTCCTTTTAACCCATGGCCATCCTATATATAGATTTTTATCAAAATCGGACAACATTGAAATTTTTTTGACAGCTGTTAAATTTGACAGCTCAATTTTTTTTCTTTCATTTTAGCCCATGGCCATCCTATATATCGATTTTTATCAAAATCGGACATCTTTGAAATTTTTTTGACAGCTGTCAAATTTGACGGCTCAATTTTTTTTTGACGGCTTGACTTTTAAAAATATAGCCAAACATTTATATTTAAATTCATCAGTTACTTTTCTTCCTTTAGCTGATTTGTTAATTTGTGCAATTTGAATATTAACAAAATTTGCTATGTCCATTGATGGACATAATTTGTACGTAGCCTCTTTAGATTGTTCAATAGATAATTTATTGGGTATTTCTTTAATTCTTGTTTGTAACTCCTGACTCCTGGCATGTTTTTTAATTTTAATTGTCTATTCTCTAAAGTTAAATATTTAATTGATTTTTTCATACTTTTTGAGGAGTATGCGCGGTTAACGATTCATTTGTTTAGATAAAAGTATTGTGTAAATAAAATTCAGTTTCAGTCAATTACAGTATTTTTTTAATACGTCCCTGTCTAGCAATAGTTTATTTTCTGGGAAATTTTTTGATACGTTTTAATCCGGGCCTGACTCGGCACCCATAATCGTGTTTTCAAGGTCAAATTTTATAGAAATTTTAAACAATGGGATCTGGGCAGAGTTAGCCTGCCGTGTGATTTATATGCCGTGCCCAGGGTATCGGACACATGACGTTGACTTCGGCCATCCTCAATTAAAGCCACAATACTAGCAACATCCGTCACAGATAATGGCATTTTTTTAATTTGACAACGTTGTTGTCATATTGTAAATATTCATAAATCCCTTTTCGTCTATGTCGCATTGATTATTTATAGATAAAACTTTCTGCCTGCGAAGCATTTTTCCGAGACGTTCGTTTTAAAGCAGCGTATCTCCAATACAAACAGAGATAATGTCGTGATTAAAAAAACAAAATACTCACAAAAGATGAAGCTACAATGTGATTTGATTTAGCAATAGCTACTACAGCTGCTGCACCCTACAGGGTGTTACCAAGTTCGGGCAAAAAACTTCGTCTTATTGTTGTGCCCTGTATATGCTCAAAATAAATTCGGAATAGAAATTTCTGACGTAGCATCCGTTAAAAAGGAATTAATTTACAATTTAAAAAGAAAATCATCAAAATCTAATGAGTGGCTCTCGAGAAATCCAACTTTGAAATTGTGACTAGTTTTTAGGGTTTAAATTTCAAGAAGATAAAAATTTACGTCAATAAATTGACATAATTTGCTTAAAATTCTTCGATCGATAATTTGTTTTAGCATTAGTACCAATCACTAATCCTAAAATCTTCTAACACAATATTGCCAACTATTTCAATCATTGTTTTTGATGACTTCGTACTTACTACTCTAAACTAAACTGAACAATGATGAGAGAATGAGAACAACTTACATGCATCTAATATTGGCAAAAGAATGTATCCTAATCCTAAATGCTTTAGTAACACAGCGAACAGAACACGTCCTATCTCCTCTACTGGATGTTCAAACGAAAAATCTACCCTGGTTAAGTAGTTATTTGCTTTCGAATGCTGCTCTACCACCGCTAAGAAAGCTATTACGTATTGATCCTAAGAAACAAATAATAAAGAATAAACATAATGTAATGAATGTATTGAGTAATTAAAATAAATCATTAAAAAAAGTATATACCTTGATCTGCAAATTAATAACGTTTAAAATGATATAAAACTTTTAAAATATTCATACATATTTATATTACATATCAAATTTACTATAATTTAATTCTTTAGAAACTTGTACAACTTCCTAGTTGCTCAAAAAAGGTCTGCGTTGCGCATGTCTCTAGATTAAAATTGCCTATTCCACTGTAACCTTCACAGATTTATTGTGGTATTGTTATCTAGATTACTCTCCAGTCGTATCATTTTTGAAAAGTCTAATAACCTGGAGACCGAACCTTTCATATAGCTCTTTGTCAAACTATCTCAAAGACATAATGTTCTAGCGTTTCTTCTTCTGACTGACAGAATCTGCACATGACTTGGTTTGTTAATCAGCGTTGATTGAAAAAATTGGGAAGATACGCAACCTAATAGACGAATTCATGACAAGGCTGATTTGATTTCCACTTACGTCTCAAGTGCTGTATGGTGGATGGTGGAGTCCCTACTTGTTCTGCGGCCAAAGCATAAAACACTCATTTTCTTTAATTCTACTAACGAAGGCATATCGAAGATGGTGTTGAACTGAAAGCGACAGCGTTGCCTAAAATATGTAACATCTGCAATACGTTTGACGAAAATATCTTTGGATGAAAAATCCGCGTTTATGTATTGAAAATTTATTCGTGTTAAACATAAAATAAACAACAAAAATAACGATTCTTTTATAGGCACTGAATATTTCGTATGATCGAAAAAAGTCGTTTAGTTGGCTTGGAAATGATGGTTACTGACATTTACCATGATATTTTACATATGAAATAACAGAGATCTTCATTTCCAAGCCAATTCTTATGCCGTTCTTTGTTTAATCATATAATATTATATTAAATTGTTTTAATAATAGAAAATCCGTATTATTAACGTACTGTACCCAAAATCCGCTAATTTACGGATTAATCCGTAGTTCTGGCAACACTGTTTCCGGCAACCACCCACTCTGGCGACTGAAAGCAGAACTACGGTACAGTAGTCTTTATCCGGTACGCTGTAAACGACCATCAGCGCGCAGCGGCGCAGACCTAAACTAAATCTCGGATATCCTGACGGTCACAACTACATCTCGGACATATTTTATGCCACGAAATCGTCCATAAGGTTGCGCATCTTCTTATTTTTCAATCAACGGTAATAGTCTATCAACTATCTAGAAACCCGATTATTCCAAATAGGTTGTCTGAATTTTATCATATAAGATAATGCTGGAGATACACTAATTTTTAGGGAGATACACCTTGTTTACTAATTAAAATATGGCGCAAAAGCTTATTAAAGAAAAACTAAAATAAAGATACATTTTAATGACCTGTTTATCGAAAAAACATTTAGTTAAGCTAGATCGTCATAATATATTTTAGCTGCAGGAATATGCATATAATATATAATTTAGTACAGACCTCTACAGATTATACATGTTTTTTAGAGTCTATCACACTGTACTGTTCGGGTCTGGTTATTATATTTCAGAAATCTTAGCTTAGCCCGATCCTGTCGTGTTAAGCCACACTCAAAATTCCAAACACACGTGCTTTGATTAAGACTTGCAGAGCTTCAGCATTTGCCATAGAATAGCGAGCAATTTGTCACAAAACCATATAAATTATATATCACTGTAATCACAAAACTTCAATCTATTTCCGTATGGTAACGGAATTTTAAATTATGCCTTTATTTTCGAGAAAATTTAGTCCCAACATAAGGAATATTTTGTTGATGTTTGACCATCAAAATCTTAAAAATAAAGAAGTTGTCTTAAAAATGTGCTACTATACGGATATAGTGTAATCCTTTATCTCTAATTTCCTTCTTCATTTGTGTAAGAATACCTGGCCAGTTTTACATAAAACGTTAAATGCCGAACGCATATTTTGCTACTTTTTCGAAATAGTAACATGGAAAATTGCATATTTTTAAAATATGATAAACTTTATCCAAATTAAAATATTAGTTACTATAAACTTATTACAATATCTTACCGACAATCTGCTCTCCGCTAGAGCGTTAATGAAAGAATTAATCCTGTCTATCGGCAGCTGAAAACTCTTTAACCGTTTCTGAGCAAGGTTCGCTCTGTTAGGCTCAGTAGGGGTGTTATCGGCTGTCGAATTTGTACTTCTTGATTCCCCCTTTTCCTCCTCGTAGGGATTTGGAGGCTCGTCAGCTTGGAGACCTCCGCTCAGGAAGGGAGCGGAAATCCATTGTTTGTACTGTATTTCTTCGTCTTTCAGTGGTAAACTTTGACGGATATTAAACGAGTGAAGACCTGTGTTGATAAGAGAAAAAAAGAAGTTAAATCGGAATGAATGGCATGTTGTAATGATGGAGACGTCCTTTCTATGGAGTTGATATCCACGTAAGTACAGTAATCGCAAAACAATTTCCCTTGCACGTGATCAACCGCCAAATTGTGGTGGATTTATGGGATGAATCATAATGTAAAATTGGAAAAAACATATCATATTTATTATATCATTTAAAGATTTTTATGTTTTATTTTTAATAATTAATATTTTAGTAATTAATTTATTTATTTTATAGCTTATTTTACTTATTACATATTGGCAAAAACTAGTCCATTATGAAGATTATTCTAAGCGTTATTATGGGTTATTTATTTATTTGTTGATGTACATCTTCAACACCACAAGTGGTAATAACAAGTCAGAGGGTGCCATTAATGCACAAGCTTATAATCACAGAATTCACTAAAAACTAACGTATAAATAAATTTGAAAGTGGTATAATGTGCTTACTAATCAACTTACTTCTCCGACTGCAGTCAAGGATAATAAAGAACCTTTATTATCACGTTCTCGTTCAAAATAGTGTATCAGGGAAGCTAGAAGCTCTTTGCTTCGACTGCTTAAATACTTCGGCATATTTTCAACACACACTTTCAAGAAATGCAATACAAAAACTCGAAAATATAATTCTTAAAAGAACTGTTTGTGCTTAAAAGTGCATTTTAAAAAATAAAACTATGAAAATAGGCAAAAAACGAGAATTACTCACAAAGATTCAACAATAACACGATATTATACAAAATAATGACTGACATGATAATTGTCAAATAATAAACGACAATGTTGATAAACACGGCGCAATGTGACCAACATAGCGATAGTAAAATTTGGTTTAAACTAATTTTTGCAGCTTTAATAAAATATCTGTTACAATCATTTGCTCTATAAGGTAAAATGAAGAGCTGCTCGGTATCTTAAAACATACAACAAATTTCAACATTTTTGCCAAAATTTCATTTAGTCAGGTTTATAAGATTTAGTGTCAATTTTGGTATTATAAAAAGATTAACGTCATAATATTGATGACGTGCATCGGAAAATGTTTTGCGATTACCGTATATATGATAGAAAGTATGTTAAAAATGATAAACTGGGATTCAACAGGAATTAACATCGATGGCAAATTGATAAATCATCTCTGTTTTGCAGATGACATTATTTTAATAACAGACAACATACAGGAGGCACAGAATATGCTGGATATGCTGAATGATGCTTCGGAAAAAGTCGGTTTGAAAATTAACTTGTCAAAGACACAATACATGACAAACCTAGTACTAAGTGGAAATTTAAACATTAATAACATACCTTTGGAACAAGTGCATATATATAAATACTTAGGGCATGAGATCGGTATTAGAAGGGATAATCAGACCCACGAAATTCTACGAAGAATAGGTTTGTCGTGGGCGGCATTTAGCAAACTAAGGCATATACTGAGATCTGATATTCCCATATGTTTAAGAAGAAAGATCTTTAACCAGTGTGTCTTGCCTGTCCTCACGTATGCAGCTGAAACGCTTACTTTGACAAAAAAGATATATATATATATAAGACATAGAATACAGGTCATGCAACGGAAAATGGAAAGGTCTATGTTGGGAGTTACACTCAGAGATAAAATACTCAATCATACAATACGAAATCGAACAGGAGTAAGAGATGCGGTGATATCTGTCTTACATCTTAAATGGAATTGGGCAGGACATGTGGCTAGGATGACAGATGGACGGTGGACAAAGAGACTTGTGGAATGGAGACCGAGACACGAGGCCTATAGAAGCAGAGGACGACCTCCTAGTCGATGGACAGATGACATTAAGAGGGTGGCTGGAAACTGGATTCAAGTGGCACAAAATAGAAGGAAATGGCTAGAGTTAAGGGAGGCTTTTGTTCAGCAGTGGACGGTATAAGCTAAATGATGATGATGATGATGTATATATGATCTAGTATCTGGATCTATCTGGATAAACAGCTTAAGAGTCCCAAACTAGTTCAAGTAACTATAAAAACACTTTACCTGTAAGTGTAAATTCATGTTTTAGCACAACACTACCTATTAATACCTACCTAAAAGATAACCCAAGTTTCGTTCAACGTCCAGTAACATGGAACAGGTGTGCATATAATCGAAATTCCCAGTGGCGGGTGTTTCGGGTTCGGGAAGACAGTAGTTGCCCACTAGGTAGTGTTCGATGGATGGAAGCAAGTAGGGATACGAGGTATTGATGACGTGACTCACGTCTTTGCCGGTGTATTTCTGAAGGATGTCGGTGATGGCAGGATTGTCGTTACGGAAATCTTGGACGTCGTAGACCCGATTGTTTAGTACTAGCCACCTATCAAAAAAAAAGGAACAAATATACAAGGCGGTTCGAAGTGTATTCCGGGAACTTCAGCAGCATAGTCTGCAGATAAAAATGAGTATGTCCTAAACTGCTTAGTTTCGGAGATACAGGGTGTAGAAGTTTCATTTTTATTTGCATTTTTTCCAAATAATTTATGAAGTAACGTCAATATTTGGATGCAAATTGGTGTCTGGAGGTTTTTTGACATGAGACATTTGATTTTGATGTCAATATAACTCCTACTTGTAGAGGGCGCCACCTACATATGTTTTAACTGGTTTGAAGTGTAATAACTCCTCGTCCGTACCTGTATAAAACTAAAGAATAAAAAATATACGTTTACGACGTTTTCTACGTAGAAAAGGTCTCTTAGTAAAAATCGCTACGAGTAATGGTTCTCGAGTTATTTGGAATAGAAATTATCAATACCTATCATCATTGACATAAATTAAACATGTCGAAAATAGTTATCAAACTGAAATCTTAAATATGAAATGTTTTTGTGCCAAAAGTTCAACAGAAACTGTCTTATCATTATTTTCCGCAGAAAAATTTATGATTAATTTAAAAAAAAATTCACAAATTTATTATTTCAGTCAAATAACTATGTACTCAACGTGTTTTTTTTTCAATAATGACATGTATTAACTATTTCCATACTAAATATTTTGAGAACGGTTGCTCGTAGCGATTTTTACCAAGAGACATTTTTTATGTAAAAAGTCGCGGAAACGAATGTTTTTCACTCGGTATTTTTATATAGGTACGGACAAAATATTACTCTTCAAAACAATTAAAACACATGTAGGTGGCGCCACCAAGTAGGAGTCATATTAACATCAAAACCAAATTTCTCATGTCAAAAAACTTCCAGACACCAATTTTCATCCAAATATTGATGTTACTTCAGAAATTATTTGGAAAAAATCGAAATAAAAATTAAACTTTTACACCCTGTATCTCCGAAACTAAGCATTTTAGGATATACGTTTATACGAACTTTTTTACTTATTTTTATCTGCAGAATATGCTGCCAAAGTTTCAGCAATAGAGTTCGGACCACCCTGTATACAAGATCTGCGATTTTCTACATGTGCGTACTAGTCTAGAAACTTTACAGTATGTACAGTTAATAAGTAAGTTACAAAAATCCACTTACATGTGTGGCTAGACTTACTTGGATAACACAGTTAATAACCAAAACACACTTACCTTCCACCATCTAAATTATGGTTTTCCAAATCCGCTTTCCTAATAAGAGGTAGATCGTCGTGTAGTTTATGAGATATATTGATAGGTCTAGTCTGAAAAAAACATAATAAATTAATTTTCAATTTATTGATACACTTATCTTGAAATTTTACCTGTGAAACACCTGGCCAGGAAATATCATCTAAATCTATGTTCTCGATATCGGGCGAGACTCTACATAACTTATCTAAGCACCTTAACGGTTCCCTGAACACTTTCAGCCAATCCATGGACGAAAGAAACATTTCCAGTTCTTGTTCCAAAAGGATGAGACTTACCAGAAGTTCAGGTAACAAAATTCCTACAAAATTTCAACCATATTAAACACTGGATGAAATACAGTAATTAACAATTAAATACAGTAAGTTAATTTAATTAGTACAAATTTATAGTGATTTCTAATATACAGGGTGTCCCAGGCTGAGCGTGCATTAGAAGTTTCTAGAGAACCACAATATCTAGATCGGGGATTTTTATCATATCATTGTTTTACAACGAGATCTATCGACTAAAAATATTTTCAATATGGCGGCACTTCCGGAAATACCAGAAGTTGACAGCAACTTTCTTATTTTAAATGGGTGCCCCCATTTTTTATTATATACTTAAATTCTCTGTAAAATTCTATGAATATTAATGTTAAATACTCTATACCTAACATTAACCGTTTTTGAGAAAAACAAATAATTGGACCAAAAAAACTAACTGTCAAAAAAATTGTATAGCCTAAAAGTCAAATTTAGTAATTACCACAGCCACTGTGACATAAAGAGAAGACATATGGCTATCTATTTCAAAAATTAAATTGTTTAGATGTCATAAAATAATGGCGGTAGTTGTCATGGAATTGAGCGATTAAAAAATGATCATAAATATTTTTTTTCAAATAGAAACCCACTTTTTTTAGTTCACTAATGAAAATATTTTTCAATTCATTACTTTTTAACTATACATGTTCCTATACCTAAAATAAATCGTTATTAAGTTATTTAAAATTTAATTTGAAAACGTACATTTTTCTTGATTTTGTCTAGCTTCCTTTTACATTAAGTGTCAAACGATCAGACAATTTATTTCCATCTGTCTGAAAACGAATTATTTGAATTTCCTATATTATAAATACTGCCTTAAGAGTTTAAAAAGGGTATTTAAAAAAATATATCTTGTATTTTTGCTCTTTAGTTGAGTTGCTATTATTAATAATATTATTCCGGATGATCGGAAAAAAAAACACTTGACGTTTAAAGTCATAGGCTACTGGTTAAAATCAAGAAAAATATACGCTTTAAAACTAAATCTTAAATAACTTAAAAACGACTTATTTTAGGTATAAGAACATGTATAGTCAAAAAGTAACGAATTGGAAAGCCTTTTTACTAGTGAAATAAAAAAAGTGGGTTTCCAATTGAAAAAAATGATTTATGATAATTTTTTAATCGCTCAATTCTATGACAGGTGCGGCCATTATTATATGACGAATTTAATTTTTGAAATAGATAACCACATATTTTCTCTTTGTGGCACAGTGGCTGTGGTAATCACTCAATTTGACGTTTAGGGTATACACATATTTTTGACAGGCAGTTTTTTGTTCAAAAATTTTAAATATTTTTTTTTCTCAAAAACGGTCAATCTTTGATATAGAGTGTTTAAAATCAAAATTCATAAAATTTTACAGAGAATTTAAGTATGCAATAAAAAATTGGGCAACCCATTTAAAATAAGAAAGTTGTCAACTTCCGGTACCTCCGGAAGTGCCGCCATATTGCAAATATTTTTAACCGATAGATCTCGTTGTGAAACTATGATATGCAAAAAAACTCCGAGTTAGATGTTGTAGTTCTCTAGAAACTTCTAATGCACGCTCAGCCTGGGACACCCTGTATACCGTGTTTTTCAAAACTGGCTCACCCTATAACAAGTAAAATAAAGAGGGTACAGCAAACAAATAAAGAGAGTACCATTTAAAAATCAAAAGTTGTAGTCATTTCCGGTGAAACAGAAAGTGACATCAACTAATTGAAAATGTCAATCAATCCCGATTTATGTCACATACTAACATACCAAATCTCGTATTTTATCTAAAAATTAAAAAGTTATATGGGTGAAATTCTTTTGAAAAACACCCAGTATATCAAGAAGTGAACAGTTACCTATAATATCACATTTTAACACCTGCATAACATAAATAAAGTTCTTAGGATTGATCATACAAATATCGTAGGCGAGACTCAACGTCGCTGTCACATTACAACTAAAACATTCGATATATTTCGAGAGTAATGTTTCTGCCGATTCTCGACAGTCGAGATTTTGAAGAATTTTCCCTGAAAAGTAAAATAAAAGTGAAATTAATTCATAAAATATGAGTAACACTTGTTTAATATAAATGTTTACCTATTAATAATCTTTGAAACCTTTGAAGAAGTTTAAGGCTAGGAGATTCAAAAGATTTTTGTGAAGAATTCTTTCCACCTGCGCAGTAATCTTTCAGTGACGTTTGTGTTAAATTACTGCTATTTCTGTAAAATAATATAACAAATTTAATGATCATATTATAAAAAAGGACATATTTCAAAAACTACTCAGTATAGATTGACATTATAGTGTTATAGCAACGGTAAAAAATAGAGCTCTCTCAAAAATATTTATAAAATAAATATATACCATCGAACATAAAAATATCACCAAATACAGAACCTTTTCTGAACACTGCGTCACCTTGTACTTACCTTATTAACTGTCTAACTAAATACAGCAACGGAATGGTGATGGGAGACGAGCCCAGTTCATAATTATCATCCACAGTTGCCATTTCTGAAATATCCACATTCAAAGACTCGTTCAGCGCCATCTCCAGGCCACCGTCAGCCATTAAGGACCACACTAGCAAATCTGTCATAAACCTATGACCAGACTTACACATTTTAGAATCGGAATCTGTAGAAAAAATATATAAAATCAACCTGTATAACTTAATAAAGAAAACTTATACCAGAATTGCCTGAGTTTAGCAACAAAGCTGACAGTGTTCTCGCACGACCATTGGCAGTAGGCAGTAGTGCCGACCAACCGGCTTGAAGCACCGCTTGTGCGGCCGCCTGGACCGTAGGTAGAATATTCGAACTGCTGGCCAAATGAACTACTCTTGATTTTATCGACGCCAACAATTTGGAATTGGCTCCCAAACCTTTAAGAGTAATTTTTGTTATATCATAGTAAATCATAATTATTGAATCCTTAAAATAAACAATATAATATAGCAATCACTGTTACAATACGACATAAATATATAAGATGAATTATATTTATGATTAAAGATAAAACGTAAATGCTTAAAGTTACTATAAAAATTAGGATTTTTAAAAGTAGTTCAAATGTACCACCATACATTTTCATCTGTACAATATATAAAACGTCTAGGGTTTTCATTTCTCGTATTTAGAATCATAATAACCAAAGTGTAATTTAGACAATCTAGTGATATGCTGACTATGCTATTTTTTCACAAATACAATATTATAACTAATACATATTTACCAAAATTCTTGGGTTCTATATTATAAATTACATTTACGATTAAAGTTAAAATATGATAAAAGTTCCTGTAAAAAATAGAATTTTCTAAAAGTAGTTCAAATGTACCACCGTACATTTTCATCTGTTCAATATATAAAACGATTAGAGATTACATTTTCTCTTATTTAGAATCATAATAACCAAAGTGTAATTTAGAAAATTTAGCGATATGCTGACTACTATATTTTTTACAAATACAATATTATAACTAATATTTACAAAAATTCTTGGGTTCTATATTATAAATTACATTTACGATTAAAGTTAAAATATGATAAAAGTTACTATAAAAATAGAAATTTTTAAAAGTAGTTCAAATGTACCACATACATTTTCATCTGTTTTCAATATATAAAACGACTAAAGATTACATTTATTCTAGTAAAATACTGAATATACTAGTTTTTTTTCTCACAAATACAATATTATAACTAATATTTACCAAAAGTCTTGGGTTCTATATTATTATTTATCACGCTGTGCAATTGCAGCTGAAGCAAATTGAGTGTGGAAACGGCGATACATTCTTTGTCTTGAGTTGATGGAGGAGACTGGGTCACCACATCCAAAAGTTGATCTAAATATCTAAAAAACAGTAATTTTTAAGGCTTTTTGAAAATTATAGATAATAATTCAGCAGTAACACTAAAATAATTGCGTACTTTCATTGCTTTTATTTACTTAAAAACAACTTTTCAAATAGATCTCTGACGGTAAAGTTCAAAAAGAGTTTCATAACAAGAAAAAAATCCTAAATTATTGACCCAGTTGAATGTTTGACCAGATACCCTGTGAAAGTGATAAGCATAAATAATTAAAGACGTATAGATCTGAGACTGTATTTACAGCCAACATTTTGACTGCCAACATTTTGAATGCGCGTATATGAAATTTAAAAAAAAATGAAGAAACGCATTACTAAAAATTGTATTAATCAATAATAAATATGTAAAAAGTAAAAATAAATATGTAAAAATTAAAAAAACGATTAAAAAAAGTCGCCTTGACTAGGATTCGAATCTGCCTTACTACGGCTACGAGGACTTGAAAGATTCTATGTAAAATTCTTACTTAAAAGATAATGTTTAGTGAAAGTACTTTTTTATTTATAAACATTTATTTAATTCTGTTTTTAGTATTTGTTTTTATAGCGGCAATATAGATACACTATCTGTAAAAATTTCAACTGTCTAGCTATAACGGTTCATAAGATAGACCTTTGTGACAGACGGACGGACGAACGGACAGCGAAGTCTTAGTAATAGGGTTCCCGTTTTTACCCTTTGGGTACGGAACCGTAAAAACAGTAAAAACATTTTAGGGTGGTATAATTTTTGTGGCATCGAGATTTTGACTAGTCTCTACTCAATAACGACCAATAATAGATCTATCTGTAATATTGTGTAAGTAAAGAAAAATATAAAGCGGATAAAAATTCAATTTTGCCTCTAAAATCAAGCACAAAATAAATTTACTTACTTGAAACTGTGTTCTGATAGATCTATAACGAATGGTATGTTTGTGGGTGGAGTAAAACTGTTAAGATCAGTCCATGCAAAGCTTTGAATCGGACCACAACAGATGCCTACTATTCTATGGCCTTTTAGCGAGTCTAGGACTCTGGGTTGTTGCACAAACGTTTCGTTAGTATCGGCTAAAAAGTAGTTAGTTGTTATTCGTTGCAAAATGTACAGCGCGTGGATTTGTAAAAGTTACAAAACAATATTTTGAGAAATACTTTTATTTAATAATAATAATAGCTCCCGTATATAGCGTTTAACGCCTTGGGAGTAACAAGGTACAGCTTGCCATACTAGAGCCGTTCGGTATACAAGGAAGGTAATGTGGCTAGCACTACGCTTCAACCGCCTATTAATACCTGAGGATTGTGAATCCCAAGTACTCATTTAAGGCTGAGTCGACCTAGGTACCCAAACTATTTTTATTTTAATAAAAATTGTCGGCTGATGAAATGCCGGGTGTGGGATTCGAACCCACTACCTTGAGATTGGTAGACGAGAGCCTGTACCTCTACGACACCGGGCACCTATACTTTTATTTATATATTAAAATAATCTTATTATGAAATAGAAGTGGAAACCGATTCTGCTACACAAGGTACAAATTCATCTTAAATAAGTGCAATATATTCCGGGCTGGTAGAACTCGATAAAAGAAACATATTTTCTCTTTACCGTTTTTCAAATAAGTCAAAAATATATAGAGTTATTTTACTTTCAAAAGTTCCAAAAAAATATATTTTTGCTGAAATGTTGAGAACCCCTGGATCTTTTCTAGGTTGTCTTTTTGAAAATTTATCCGTTGCAAAACCAGGCGAACCAGACCGGTAAACTACGGTAAAGGGCGGTTCCTGAAAAACATCGGTTTGATACGGAACGCTTTGGTAAAATATTGGAAACGTCAAATGTTGACGTTTTCTAAATTTCAATACCTCTATTATAAAATTTATCTTTTATGCATTTTTAATGTGCTTATTCTCTGCTTTTACGTTTGCTTCTTCTTTTCAATTAAGTTTAATATTGAAAAGTACTTTATTAATAAACTGTTAAACTCGTTAGACAGCTCAAGTGAAGATTTGCAGGTCCAATATTAAAACAGATCAATAATAAATAAACAAATCTAATCAATATTTATATTTTTATAGCTTACAAAACATTCACGATTGCTTGTCTTGTTTTTCATGTTTTCTTTAAATGTTTCTGACTGTAAGAAACAATGGTTGCATGATAAGTTTAAATGGTCCTAAAAAGTCATTCTATTTAGTTAATGAAATTTATTTACCCTTACTGCCTACCTCCATTGCTTTTGGATGTAAATACAAAATATTATTACAAATTTTAGAAATTAAATGAGAATTTCACTCAAACTTCCAATATTTGCTTGATTTCTGTCACATAAATGACACTGATTGACAAACAAAACCAGCAAAAACAGCCTTCTCGCGCTGGTTAGTTTGGTGACAGTTATAACCGAATTTTTCAGGAACCGTGTTCCGTAATAAGAAAACTTTCAGGAAACCGATAGAAACGGAACATAAAACCATAACCAAGGTAAGCAACGGAATACACCTTTCTACTACCTATGTTGCCATATTATCAAGAAATTATGGTTTTTAACAGAAAAAAATTCCAAAAAAATTGATTTATTTTTTCGCGAGAAAACCCTCAGAATCGTGTTACGGGGGTCAAATATACTACCTCTAGAAATATTTGCACCTTTTTAAGACTCACCCTGTAAAATTTACCACCCACTTTTTGCTCTCAGTTATGGATGTAAACCTTAAAATTTTATCAGAAGGCGTAGGAGCTGGAATAGAAGGGTTGGAAAAAGGAATAGTAAATAATAGAGACCCTAATCTAGTTAGAGCCTATGGGAACAATCTAATTTAGTTAGGATCAACCAAAAAAGACACCAAAAATGGACGTTTTTCCTTATGGCGTGAATTTTCTTTACATACATTTCACTCAACGATAATACCATTGTATTTTACAATGAAAAATCGACTAATACAGTTAAATCTTAATACCTACCGAACTTTATAATTAACCATACCTATTTGCTTGTTTTCGTTTTTGCCCCAACCAAAAACTTCTCCATCTGAGCTTAAAGCCAAACAATGCGATACTCCCACTGAAACAGAAACTATTTTCTTGTCCTGTAGCACCTCTACTACCTCCGGAGTCCTCACGTGATCTTCATTGTGATGGCCTAACTTCCAACCTTCACCCTGTATAATCATGACAATAAAAGAGGCCATTGTACTAATTATAATTGCATAAAATAAGTACATAGTTAGAAAAAGTTTTTCATAATGAAACCCAAAGATTTGAAGACAGTCAAGTTTCTGTGTCACTTTAAAAACTAAAGTAATCGCAAAACAATTTCGGATGCACGTGATCAACTTTGGGTGACAAGCGATGGCGACAGCGCTGCCAGATTGTGATGGAATTATGAGATGAAATCTTAATTTAAAATTGACAAACAATATATTTATTATATCATGTTTTAAAGAGTTTTACGTTTTATTTTTAATTTAATAGCTAATATTTTATTAATTAATTTTTTTATTTGTTTTATAGCTTATTTTACTTATTACATATTGGCAAGAACTAGTCCATTATGAAGATTATTCTAAGCGTTATTATGGGTTATTCATTTATTTATTTGCTGATGTACATCTTACAACGCCATAAGTGGTAATGTATAAAATCAGTAATCAGTAAGAGGGTGCTATTAAGGCAGAAACTAATAATCACAGAATTTAATAAAAACTAACTTTGAAAGTGGTATAATGTGCTTATCAATCAAACTTACTTCTCTGACTGCAGTCAAGAGTAATAATGAACCTTTATTGTCACGTTCTCGTTCAAATTGTTTATCAGGGAAGCTACAAGCTCTTTGCTTCCACTGTTTAAATGCTTCGGCATATTTTCAATACACAATTTCAAGAAATGCAATACAAAAACTCGAAAATTTAGTTCTTAAAAGTGCAATTTAAAAAAAAAGACTACAAAAATAGGCAAAAAAACGAGAATTGTTCACAAAGATTCAACAACAACACGATATTATACAAAATAATGACTGACAATTGTCAGATAATAAAGGACAATATTGCTGAACACAGCGCAATGTGACCAACCTAGCAATAATAAAATTCGGTTTAAACTAATTTTTGCAGCTTTAATCTAAATAAAATATCTGTTACTATCATTTGCACTATAAAGTAAAATGAACAGCTGCTCGGTATCTTAAACTGTACAACAAATTTAAACATTTTGCCAAAATTTCATTTAGTAAGGTTTATAGACTTTTTTAAAGTTTTGTACATAATACGTCTAGTAATTTACAATTTAAAAAATGTCTACAAGTTCTTTAGAAAATTATATACCTTTCCCCAAGTGTACACTTTTCCCTCAGCTGAAAGAGCTACACTGAAATGAGCTCCACACCAAACATTTGTAATTTCAACCTAAAAAAAAACATAAAATAAAAAAAAAACTTTCAAAAATCATGGAAACAAATATTACATCTTCCAATTTCTCGATCATTCTCGGTATTTTACTACCCTCAGCTCCGCCCCTTCCTAGCTTGCCGTAATCTCCATCGCCCCAGCTGAATACTCGACCCGATGATGTAACGCATAGAGTGTGGGCGTCGCCAGATCCCAGAGCCACGCCCGTCACATGGTGGCCGACCAATGAGAGCACGAGAGTGGGCGTGAGGAGGTCGTCAAAGGAGCCGTGGCCTAGGCGGCCATAGTTGCCACGCCCCCAGGTGTACAGGGTGCCGGAGTTTGAAATTGCAGCACTGCAAAATTTTTAATTTTAATTAACTTATTATAGGTTATGAATAAATAACTGTAAAAATGCAGTGTCTAATCGGCGGGAGGAAATCCAAATAATTACAGATAAGAAAAAATAATCTACTTTTGATTTAAAATAACAAACTTCAACTTTGTCATTGTCAGATTCTTACAATATTTTGATTTAGTCTAAAACTTGATTTTCATGCGTCTGTTATCCGTTGATACATAACCAATGAGATACAGGCCAGAGACATCGATCTGTGATGTCACCGCAATAGTCGGGCTTTTGAATTGTGCGATATGGTACTGCATATAGTTTCTGCATAAATAATCGTATTTATTGATAGTTTTGCCAGATATAAATATGAAAAATATTATACACAAAGGTATTAAAAAATAACATTAACTTTTTATCGCGTTAAAGTAATTGAATAGCATTAAAATTTAGATCTAAAACACGAATATTAATATGAAATAAACAACAGAATAAAATCCAGATAATAAAAAGCATGTCCTAAAATTGCGTTAGCGAGTATTTAACAGCTAGTAATAATATACCTTGTGATAAAGTTTCCAAATATTAAAAAATTTGAAAATTATACTTTATCGACAAGTTAAGAAAATGTATTGTATATGATAAGGGCAGAATACATTTTAAAGTTTAATTAAAAATAATTGTAAAAATTTGCCTAACATATTTAAAAAATGTGGATATCAGGTAGAATTAACTATTATCATTAAGTAATTTGTAGTTCGATGTTCAAGTAACCATTTCCATAAATCGTAAATAAAAAGATAAAGATATTTTTTTATATAAAATACTGAAATAAAGTACAATTCATTTAATTTCTTTAAAATATATTGCCATTTCATAATAATAATAATAATTTTCAATATTTATTTCATCCTGAATTTCCAAATCTTGTTTTCTTTCATCGGAATGTTTTCTCTTTATGGGAACATGCACAGTCATATAAGAGGGTTGATTTGGAAAAATTGTAGGCACATCATCTTCTGTAGGTTTTGGACGTGACTTAGTTACAGTTAATATTGTTGGAAAAGAGAATGTAGACAGATCCTGAGTACTTATTATAATTGCTGCTACAAGGCACAGGCACAAAACAATGTAGCGGCATTTTTTATTTCACAAAGTAAAAATAAAGAAACGACAACTGTTTTACCTAAAAATACACGTCACTTACGTTGGTTTAACACTATACACTAACACTAACGCTATTATGTTTTTATATAAATTCCCCAACTTTTTCCTAGCCCGGACACACAGCCGACATTGCCGGTGTTACTATAATTTTTACCGAAAGTACGGGTTTTTTTCGCGGGTACGATGTTATGAATCGGATCTAGATAGTTCACTATTAACTCAAAATTATTTAGTATAATTTGATTAGCATAGAAACACGTAAAAAACACAGATTTGTTGCGAAACTAATGAAAACAATTGGTTTGTTTACGATTACTAATTCTCGACCACTTCGGTAGAACTGTCAAAACAGTCAGGCCTTGAATATGACGTTAGCCACGGTTGATACGAATGGTCGTAGCGTTTTCGCGCCACTTTTCATACGTAAATTTTTACTCCAGCCCGTCAACAGAGAAAGATCGTACGATAACGGACGTTTTGACACTCTTTGACAAGATAATCTAACATTAATAAAAATATAATAGTACAAGAGCTAGCAACATCGAAAAAACGAGAATTTTAAGAAAGCTGGTTCTTTAATATATCTGTTGCAATGCTCTCCTGAACAAAGTGCGGGCCGTCTGGCTGCCGGTAGACTACTGCGGTTCACTACTGCGCATCACATATGTACAGGGTATCCCATTTTCGTGTGTTTGATGGGATTTCTCGTTTATAAGTAGAGATACAATGATGCGATTTTCACATTACTCTACTTTTTTATGAAACTAAATATGCTACACATAAGTTTCTAGACTCCTTGGTTCTTGAAATACAAGGCAAATTTGTGATGCGCAGTAGTGAACAGATTTTGAATACAGATATGATGTGCAGTAGTGAACGCAACGTCTACCGGCAGCCAAAGGGTCACCACTCTGTTCAGGAGAGCATGACAAAAGATATATTAAAGAACCACCTTTCTTAACCCTTAACTGGTCCGGCGTCGTCTGACAGACTACGCCAAATAATTAACTCAGTCTCATTAGTTACTAGGACCGCCCACACGATTGGCGTTCTAGCTAATCCTTCCCCTCTAGGTCATCAACTGATAGCCATATTTCTGCCCAAACTGGATTAGTTTTTTAGAAGTTCTGGAAGAAGTTACTGAAGCCGTAGTCTCGCAGACGACTCCGGACCGTTTGTGTAAAATTTTATGTGTGACAAATTTCTGTAAAATATAACCGGGTCTTCGAAAAAAGTGCGTTTGGGAGACTCTAGTTATGAGGAAACTATTAAAATGATATGATGAGGACTGTGACAGTGACAATATGACAATCTGCCAGACAAATGCATTTGACAATGTTAAATATTCCACGAGAAATACACTTTACAATTGGTAGAATAATTGCAATTCATGTACAACCAGAAGACGCATACGGAGATATTTTTATCCTAGAGTTCTTATCCTAGTCAAAGACAACGTTATGTCCTAGTTAATTATTTTTAATGCCTAGAATGTACGAATCCATTTTGTAAAACATGTCCAGAAAAACGATGAAATTTGTCTCATGCTGCAACTAAAAACTTTTTCTTTAACTCCAGTTTTATAAGTTATTTTTTTTACCATATAGTATTAAAAACTTATTTCTATATTGTAATGACTGTTAGTAATTTGGTTTTATTTTTAGAGCTTAGTATAAACCAATATTGTTTTTTTCCAAATTTATATGTATGTTGTTTTATTTTGTACTATATTTTCTGAAAATTTATATTAATTGATCCCATTTTTGTCTAGATTAGTTTAATAATATATAATATAATATGTAATGAAATAAAAATTTGTTATTTTTTAGTTTTTGTATGTTATTTGGATTTTTAGAAGGCGTAGTCCTACAGACTACGCCGGACTGTTTATGATACATATTTATTACCGGACCAGTTAAAGGTTAAAATTCTCTCTCGATAACGTTGCTAGCTCTTAGACTATAAGTAAAAGAGCGAAATCGTTATGGACGTGAAAATATAAAATGACAATCACGAGCAAATCGTATATCCGATGAACGGAGGCATGAAAATGCAATAAATTTAAAAACTGCGTAATTTTCTAACCTATCAAAGTCTTTAAATTCAACCAATAAGATTAATATCGTATCATCGTATCGTCGGATAACAGATGCATGAAAATCAAGCTTAAGACTTCTTGGATATTTTATTGGTACATCCCAGATGAATTAATTTTATAAGGATAAGAAAAACAAAACCGGTAAAAGTTTCAAATAATTTAAACAACACATATTATTACCTGTAAGTAGCTCCACATTCTATAAAAACGATATCTTTTCCATTCAATGCCTCTATTTGAGTTGGTTCATCTTTAGCCAGTGTATCTCCATGACCTAAGAGAAACATTTTATAATTTATTTAAAAAATTTATATAATTATATTTTTAAACCTAATCGACCAGCATCCCCATTGCCCCATGAATACACTGTCCCATCTTTCTCCAGAGCCATATAGTGTTTTCCTTCTACATGCGCTGATATCATGATGATCTCCTTGTTTTTCAGCGTCTCTATTTGTTGGGGACACTGTGTTTCTGACGTGTAATATACGAAATACACTGCACCAGTGCGAGTCAAAAGCAATAGGCCTGTTAAATTATATTATTAATATCAATTAAACACATGTAGTTATTTACTAATACCTCTTTCTGAGCATTTCAGTTGTTTAATGCTTAACTCCGCCAAGGATTCGCACGTCTGAGGACCGGAGTTCGAGATCCAACTTAGCCATCCCCAGCCCCATAGTTTTTGGCCATTTATTTGAGAAAGATTCTAAAAAAAATGTATAATGTAACCTTTGAATAAGAAGACTAAGGAAGGAGCATATCAAAAATCTTAGGTACACCGCGATGGGCCTCAAATATGGCCGACTTAAATTCCGGTTTATCAGTGTCGTTCTAATTTTATTTAAAAAATGTAAAACTATGATGTAGGGTAGACGTGGGGTAGACTCAATAATTTGTTGTTTTATTTTACAGTGTGAATATATGTTGGTAGTTATTAAAATTGTTATAAAAATATATAATTCTAATAAAAATAGACGTTATAATAAGTATTTATTAACACAAACATCCGATACGCTACTGAAGCAGGTAAGTCAAATTAACGTATCTAAATTCTTTGACATCTAATCTTTGACAAGTAATAAATAAAAGCTAAAATGCAAGAAAAATATATAATTTAGTTAATTTAAGTGAATTTCATAAATGATCGGTTTACTACACGTATGTATATTATATAGTCACTTACTAGCGAAAAGTTGTTCCATTATTTCACTCAATTTTTGCCGAGATCTACCGCACGCTACACAACCAACTATTTTAGAGTCTTTTTCGATAAATCGCGATAGTGTCACTGTTAATTTAAGTTCTGCCACAATTTCCATCGAGATTTACTACCTTTATACAACTATCAGTAGTAGAATAAATAATAAATAACATAAAATAAGCTCCGTAAAGACTGACAAATCCACAAAATTTCAAATCAAATTCAAATTCAAATGTGTCAAATGAATCGTCAAACAGAACTGTCAAGGATCCCCACCCTAGAGTGCTTTTATGGTGCCTTTTCCGCCCACCATGCATGAATACATGGATAGCATTATGCTCCTTCCTTAGTCTTCTTATTCAAAGAATGTAACACATAATAAAAAGTCTGTACTATCTGTGGTAGTATCCACAGATCTTATAAACTTCGTGGATAAAGCTATGCCATAAGTTTATTGCACACAACTTTGTTTATTGTTATTTTTTATATACCAACCTTGTTAAAAGACAAAGGGGGTATGTGTGGCTCAGCTAGCAGATCAAGTCTAGACATAACAAAAACGCAAGCTTGCTTCAAGTCGATTTCGTAGGATTCCTCGTCGGGCAACTCTAGAAAATCCAGAAAAAACTTCGTGCAGCTCGTATCACCGTCCTCAGATTTTTCTTTGAGTGAAAAGGTTGACTGTTGGGCGGGTATTTCCGAAAATCGGTAAAGGAATGGAAGAAGGGGTGCGCTGGCATTATCTACAGACGATCTGAAATAAAATTAAGACATTTTTATTGTAAAGTTATTATTGGACACAAACTCTTGCTACAATAAACTAATGCAATGAAACCAAAATAATACTGTACCGGTTGCGTCTGAAAAGTGGCTCACCACTATAATTTTTTTATTTTTTCATGTAAAAAAACGATATTTGGTCCGTTAGTATATGACATAAATTAGGATTGATTGACATATCAATTGTTTTTGGTTACTTCCTGTTTCACCGGAAATGACTACAACTTTTGATTTTTGAACGGCACCATCGGTATATTTTTACTTTATTCGATAGAAAATGACACTCTGAATAGAATTACATATGTATGTCAACTTTCGTTTTAAAAAATCGTATTTTAAATTTCAATCTAGAGTGCCATGGCTGTGTTAAAAACATTAAATTTTAATCAAGGAGCCTTGGAAAAATAGATTTGATCCTCTAATGTTTTCATGTTTTCTTCTGGGCCGGTTAAAAGATGCCCAAATCGTATTTTTAATCATATCTCAATTTTTGCAAACGGAACAAGGGTCGCCCATTAGCATATTTGGAAAAAGCATTTTTTACAAATAATTTGGTACCACACACTTGGTATTTCGAGACAAATTGTCGTTGTGAACCGCACGTTACAATTTAAAATATGGGAAAGTGTCACAAAAGTTGACATATGATATGTCATTCTATTCAGAGTGTCATTTTCTATCGAATAAAATAAAAAAATGCCGAGGGTGTCATTTAAAGATCAATAGTGGTAGTCATTTCCGGTGAAACAAGTGACCAAAAACAATTGAATATGTCAATAAATCCTTATTTATGCCATTACTAACATAACAAATCTCGTTATTTTATCTAAAAAAAAAATTTAAAATAGTCATAGGAGTGGCCTACTTTTGGGACGCACCCGGTATATTAAATTTACCCATATTACCAGCAAAAAATATAATTGTTAACAGAGCTGCAACAAGTCAGTTTCAAAAAGATTTAAATCTTATGTCTTAAGTCATTTCTAAAATCAAAATGATTTAAATCCATATTTAAATCTAAAGTCTTTGACTTAAATCATTTTCTTTCAAGTACCTATTTTTTAATGTTAATATAAATTTTCTTATAATACCGATTTTCTTATATGTATTACCTATATTAATTTTTGAAATGAAACTTCTTTACGCGCGATGGGAGTAAAGATTCAAGGACATGACACGACACGACGCACAGTGCTTCGTCCCACGGACAAAAATCGAAAAAAAAAAAGTTAAAATTTACTAATATCTGAATATGTAATTTTATACTTATAGCAATGTTCAACCATCCTGTATATTATTTTTCATAAACAGCGTTTTTTGTTAGCAAATATTTTCACTAAAAATAAATTTTGCGATCATTATCTTATCAGTGAAAAGAATAACATTCATAGTAGTTCTGTATATTATGGAGTTAAGCGGTACCTACTTACTAATTGAAAGCCACTATGGATATTGTTAAACACACACACACACAAGGTATGTACTTTAAATTTATTTCTAAACAAGTTCATGATTGTTTAGTTTTTATTTATTTTTTAAGATGATTCTTAAATGGGTATAAAAATTTTACGTTTTCAAACTTCAAAAAAACATATCAAAACATATCGTATTTATTGAATATTTTTGTTGTCATATTCATACACTTTTAATTTTTGTATAGTTCACCTGCGTCTGCTTGCGACGAACTTTATTTTATGATGATTATTTATTTTTGGCTTGATCATAAGGACAAGAATTCAAAATTATTTGTATTTCAAAAAATGTGTTCTTTATTAGATATCGATGAACCTTCCAGTCAAATGAGACACCACTTGTGCCTGTAAAAAGCCCACTATGTTGGAGCGAAACGTCGCATAAAAAAAGTTTCCATATTTCAATTTATTATAAAACCTCATACCCAAGAAAAAGAAAAAATAATATATGGATATGGTCTATTAAAGAGGTAACTATTAACATCCGAACCTCTCATACCAACAAAAAGAACAGTAACAACGCGAAAAAGTAACATAATAGAAAATGATGTACAGAAATATCTTACATGTGAGGATACTTCATCTACCTGTGATTTGGATACTATAAATTTGGAAAATTCTGTCAGCAGTGATTCTTCTGAATCAGAGTAGTTACGATCGCATTTTGTTGTCCTAAAGTAAATTTATAGTATCTTAAGTTTTTTTTTAATTAAATATAACATTAATGTTTCTTTTTCATTAAAATTTTTATCTTATATTAGGCTTATATTGTAGGAATCATGTTCTAATGTTTTGATAATATAAATTATTATTTCCTTAGATGGAACACAGCTCCAACATTTTTATAATTTATAAGATTTTTTTTTCATAAACGTGGGACTAAGAACATCATCATTTAGTACAATGAGAGTACTCATCATTTGTGTCAAATAAACCTAGTTTAAATAAATTGCCTACAATAAAGGAGAAGTTTTGCATTTTTGTCCTCTAGAGCTATATGTTCGAAGCACTGTGCGACGCCGGCCGGCCGACTTGACACATGAGCTAGCAAGGAAAAAGTGGTAAGTCAATTAGGAAGTTGAGATGGGTCTTTGGAGCGTCGAAACTCGGCCCCTATGTGAGCTAGAGGGCTGAAACTCGGAATGTAGATGGAGCTCAAAGAGTCCGTAGTAGAGCATCTTTTCATGATATTTTGACGACGTTTCGTGCACTACCAAACCCCATTATCAATGAATCAAATAAAAAAATCGTCCGATTTAAATGAAATTTGGTATGTCGATAGATTGGACCAAGACCAACTTGACCGTGTACGACACGTGTCACTATGACAGTTATTTTGACGTAATAAACGTCAAAAGTTGATGTATAACAAATTAATGAAGTAAACGTATTCAAATTAAAAAATATTTCTGATGGTTTTCTGTTTTTATAAAATTAAATAGTTTTACCTATTATCAGCTAAGTGGACTCTTTTATCCCACAAATTCAACATCAACAATACCATCTCTAATACACCACTCAAAGTGCCTTTTTGCAGTGCGAATTCTAATAATATGTTCAAAGAGGTGTGTCGATCTTCTATTGGCACTACACAATTCTGTCTACCACTTGATACCTCGCTAAAAGAAAAACAATGTTAGTTTAACTCTTGATTAAAAATATTTATGTTCAATAAGCTTACCCTTCAACAACTTCCCTCAAAAACTTCGAAGATCTTTCTACTACTTCAAGCCACACAGGTGATATGTCTTTTTGGTTATAGAGTGTACATACTGGTAAAACTTTTAAGGCTTCTAAGGACTCGTTTAGCAGTTCACTACATAAGTCAATATCTTCGCCTGAAAATAAATATTATTATAGGATGACTATATACAGGGTGGCCCATTAGTGTGAGAAAGTCCAGTATCGTTGTTGTTGACAAAGGCATGAAAAAAGTTGTATTTAAATATTGCATGGTTTATAATGGTGTATATCCTTAAAACAACTTGTTGTATACAGCCCCCCCATCAAATATAACCTTTTTCCAAGCAAAAATGTCAAAAGTGGACATATGATATGTCATTCTATTCAGAGTGTCATTTTCTATCAAACAAAGTAAAAAAATACAGTGGGTGCCCTTTAAAAATCAAAAGTTGTAGTGACTGAAAACAACTGAATACGTTAATCAATCCTAATTTGTGTCATATACTAACACACCAAATCTCGTTTTTTTATCTGAAAAAATAAAAAAGTTATAAGGGTGAGCCACTTATCAGAAACATCCAGTATACCAGAAAAGTTAATTTTTTATTATTTTTAAAATTTTCAGTAAATAAAGCATAGCATGGCAACACTGCATACCTATTCAAACAAAAATAGTGTGAATTTGATGCTGTGTGAAGAAAAATAGGGGTTACAATTGAAAAAAATACAACTTTATCATTACTTTTTTGGGACACCCTGTACAAAACATAATATTTTTCGGATAAGTTGCAGATTTTTACAAATCATGCAACTTTTATTTGCAATGCACAGCAATACATTTAAAAAGTACTACTTAGGACATTTGTATCATCCTGCACATCTATAAAAATAATTTTGAAATGTGCCCTACTATTGGCATTATATTTTACAAAAAAAATGGAGCAAAAATCTCCAACAGTGAATCTGATATGGGGCTTTTCCAGAACACTGTATCGCCCTGTATAATATAAGAATACTTGTAAAATTATATATCTTTAAGCCTTACCTAACCTCCAAGCTCTTCTTAAGAATGCAAATGAAAAATTCAAAGCTGCTCTTGAACCTACTCTTGCTAAACTTACAGCTGGATCAATATTTGGGATCTATATAAGAACATAGATACATATTTTAACATTTAATCAACGTATATCTTTATATTCCTTACCTTGCAATTCCTAGCAACTGTCTGCTGTATAGAAATACTACTACTTTTATTATCAGGAACATCATTTAAAATTTTCAAATTATGACTTGAAACTGCATGATCGAAATCAACAGAATGAGGTACACGGTTCAATGCAATGAAATATCTCTTCATAATTAATAGTCTATAGTATAATCTGTTAGAAGATAGAGTGGAATGAGCTGCTTCGGAACACAATTGAGATTGCTCATGGTTGAGACTTACGATACACTGTTTTAGTTGATCTATACCTAAAATTTACAATAAGATTAAAATAATACATATCTTTAGGTCAGTTATTTATTAATGTATGATATTATACATACTAGGTTGAGGTCCCCAAGCCCACTGATCTAAAAGTGTTTCAATCAAGGGTACAAACTCCTTTTTATTCAAATTTTGTATCGCTTTTTCCGCATCTAATTTCTGACATGGTGTACAATTACATCCTGATTGAGGACCACAAATTCCATCGCAGCATGTACAAGTCAAGACCTAAAAGGAAAAAAATATGTAATGCTATTCTAGAGCTAACAGAAGATGTTTTATCCATTTAAAAATACTTACTCTCTGACTACAATAATATTTGCCAAATTCCCCCTCCTTAGACATAACACCGGCACTATTCAGCAGCCCCGTCGAGAATCCCCCAGTAAGTTCTCCATCGGATATTAGTCCATTCCAAACATTTACCAAATTCTCGTAACCATAAAATAAGTTTTCTACATTCATTTTGAGCCATTTTAAGTCCAGGCGAGGCTGGGCTCTAAGTTGAGCCTCGCAGCGAGACATGGCTGGAATTTTTCACTCAAAAAACTGGTGTTGAATTCATTTTTTGGCAAGACAACTTTTATTTTAAATGATATCTGTGTATACGGTTCGATAAACTTGACAGAAATCATAAAACAAAATTAACAGATGATTTTGACATTTTATAATTGTATCGGCAACCAGACAAACTAATTAACTGCTACATTTTTTAAAGATATTTTAATAGAAAAATATACTTATACATTTTACAATACGATAATGCTATTATACTTAAAGAAACGATATGTTTATTTTTTACATTACACAGAAGATTATTTAAAAATTTAAAATTTAAGGGAAATTTAAAATACAATATGAAATTTTAGCATTACGGACCTGCAACTACGATAGTGATGGGACATCGAAGTTAAGTATCGATGTTGCGCATCAAAAACAAACATCGATCTCTTAAAAACATCGGTTTTGAAGGAAACATCGATGTTTGATAGGCTTTGATGTTTAATAAATTATAATTTAATAATAATAATATTTATTTTTAAGACAGCTATGTACCGAATTTAATATTTTAAATTCAGTACATTTTTTAAAAAAACTAGTACAATCTAAAAAACATTGCGGCAACACTGCGAGTATATTCCTGTCCGGTTGCACTTAGGAATGGGCGATTATTGGAAAATAACCGGTTTTTAGTTAACTGGATAATTTCACTAGCTTCTACGTCCAACTAGTCAACTCGCATACCCGAGACATGTTGCCGTTTGTTGTCCCTTAATTTCGCAGTTCTGCACTTGAGTTCTGCACGCGCATGTACGATAATCGGTCGGGCCGGTATTTCGCGTGCAATCTAAACAAAAAAAACTTACCCCAGAGACTAACTAACGCAACCAAAACACGCCTACGGCTATTAGCTATTACCGATAGCTGTAAATAAATTAAAAAAAATAAAACAGCTGTAAATAAATAAATAAAATTAAAAATAAATAGGTAAAAACAGTTGTAAAGTTCTATATTTGTGGTACACGAACTTCTTGCAAAATTGGCTATAGCTAGGCATTACTTTCCGCCGTTCTTAAATCTATAGTAATACTCAGGGTGTCCCAGAAATAAGTGCAAATATTTTAACTGGTAATAGAGTTCAACCCCAGAAACACACCTATGAGGGTTTTTTCGCGAAAAAAAAATTGAAAATGAAAAAATAATTTCTTTATAATATTTCCTATAATATAATTAAACTTATTTCTGGGACACCCTGTATAAAATCCTTAACTGACTGATTCACTGAGATTAATTACGATCCTGCTCAAACCACTCAACGTAAGAAGCTCAATTTTGGCAAACAGGTTGATTCTAGGGTGTAGAGGTTCGATAAGAAGGGATTTTTCGAAATTCCAGTTCCAAGGGGGTGAAACCTTCCATCAAATATTACAATATTTTTTAATTAAAAAACGGTCAAGTTTCCGAAAAAACACTTAAAGACGTATATTTTATTTTGTTTTTTTACATATTTTAAGATTTTTTAAAAATGTATACAGGGTGTTTCGAAAGATCTGGTCATTGATTAATCACGATCCTGCTTAAAGCGCTTGACGTAAAAAGCTGATTTTTGGAAAACAGATTAACTTTAGGGTATAGAGGTTCGATAAGAAGGGATTTTTCGAAACTCGAACTCTAAGGGGGTGAAACCACCCCTCAAACATTAGAATATTTTTTATTTAAAAACCGGTGAGTTTTTCGGAAAAACTCTTAAACACGTATATTTTATTTTGTTGGTTTACATATTTTAAGATTTTTTTAAAAATTTATATAGGATGTTTTATAAAATATGACCATTGAGTAATGACGATTCTGCATAAACTGCTTGACGTTTAAAGCTAATTTTCGGTAAACGGATTGAGTGTGGGGTGTAGAGGTTCGATAAGGAAGGGTTCCTCGAATCTCAAATTTCAAGAGGGTGAAAACGCCCCTGAAATATTATAATATTTGTTATTTAAAAAACGGTTAGTCTTTCGGGAAAACGCTTGGACACGCATAATTTATTTTTTTTCCATATTTTGAATTTTTTTAAAAAATCATACAGGGTGTTCCAAAAAGTGGGGTAATTGATTAACCACGATTCTGCTTAAACTGCTTGACGTAAAAAGCTTATTTTTGGCAAACGGATTTTTCAAAAGTCAAATTCCAACGAGATGAAACTACCTCTCAAATATTACCAAGTTATATAATAATATCGCCATATTGTTTTTTTCTCATGCTGACATAAATGTGAGAAAATGTTATCCAGTTTGTATGTTAATGGAAATTATTTTGCTTTGCTTTATCATCACCGTTACAAATGATTAATTCGACGCGAACGAAGTCGCGGGTACAAGCTAGTGCGTTCATAAAATGGCGACAGCAATACAACGGCAACATTGTTGGGTATGCAAGTTGACTAGTGGGACGTAGAAACTATTGATAATTTCTGTTGTAGATTTAACCATTTAACCAAAGGTTTAACCTGATACCTAATAGATTTAAATGGTTATTGTAATAACCGGTTAATAAAATATTTTCTGAAAAAAAATTAACACCTACTATAATTTTTTAAAAGGAAAAATATAAAAAGAAAACAAATACATTTTTAAATATTTCTTTTACGTGAATCAAAGTTTATCTTCTAATGTAAAGGACCTTAAAAATACAAGTTAATTTCAATAATGGAATGAAGAACTGTAAACTGGTAGGCTTCTATTACGTTAATTGCTAACTCATTTTTTTTAATTTTTCAAGTAACACCTGATTTTTTATATATGAAAACAGGGTGTATTAGGAATAAAATTACCGGTTATCCGAATAATCGGTTATTTTTGCACATCCCTAAAACAGGTGTCTTCCGGTCTTCCATCTTTCATCTTTTCTTTGTCTGTCTATTTATTTGCATTGCATTTGCCAGTCCGATAGAAAACTTACCAGTAGCATACCGTTGAAATTTGGTACCGGTGTTTTCAAGGTAGGTGCATGTTAATATATAAGATATAAACAAAATTGCTACTTATATTTAATAAACAATGACAAATTTTAAATAATTTTCGTACTACTCAATTTAAAATTTATCAAAATAACTACGATATTCTGTGAGAAAAACGTGAAATAATCCCTTGTCGGTATAACCCCTTGTCTATTGTCTCCATAAATTGAATTTAAGATATTTATTTAATTTTTTATGCGAATTGTTCAGTATTAGCATTGTTGAGAATACGTTATATTTTTTGCTGTTTACAAAATTATATATAGTTCTATTTTTAAGTTTGGAGTCTCTCAATAGAATCAAAATGGAGCAAATAAAATGGAGGAGAAGTTTAGATTATAATTCTAGATATCTAGAGACACGTGGAGAAAATAGAAGAGGCAACGAAAATTTCAAGCATTTTTTAACAAAAAATCTTACTCATATTTAGTGATTCTTTAAAATAAACGTGAAAAACAAAGACCTAACCACGTGTTGACGACCTAATGTAGTACAAGTTTCTATGGCTAACTATTGTTTTTAAATTCAAAATTTATTACCATCGCAACTATTCAAAACTGAAATAAACCGTTAAAACAGTCCGCATCGATATTAAAACAATGAACACCGCTGGCGATAAAAAACATCGATCGACATTGCCCAACACTAGACTCTGATTGACGTTTTGTTTTAGATTTTGTCAAAAGTCAAAATTTGGTTGGTAATTTTCTGAAAAAGAAAACAACAAAAACGAGAATATTTAAACAACCAACACCGATGTAAATAGACGAAGATGCTAGAGGAAAATAGATTTTTATATTTACACAAAATATAATAGTTTACAGTTTTGAGTAAGTGCTTGTTCGAATTAATCGAATTTTTGGTCTTGCTATGTTGATCACAATGTTGACAGTGTGTTAAATGTTAAAAGCTCCTTGTATTTATAGCATATTTTATGAGCTTTTTTATTGTATTTTATTTATATTATAAGGCGGCATTAAACCGATAAATGCAGAATTACATATTGTATGGATTATCCATTAGATATTGTGTAGATGTTTATAACATAAATATTATTTTTACAGATCGTTATGGAGGATACTTTGAGTGCAGAATCAATTGAATCATTGCCGACAAGTGAGGAGTTTGAATTTCTGTCCGATAAACCGGGAGCTAGCAAGACGCCAACATTATCTTTTGCCGGAGGCCTTAACGAATTAAGAGAAGCTTTAAGAGAGGTATAACATAAAGAGAATACAATAAAGTTGGCATGCACGTCATAGACTTTCGAAACTATTGCTAAATTAAATCTCGAATAAATAAAATTTTGTTTGAAACTTAAAAAACAGCACACTGTCCCATCAAGTAAACAAATTAGCTGATAAAAAAGGCTTTATGTTGGTAGTCATGGCAAATACCGTCTGTTGTCATAAGAATCTTCTTTGCAAATCTGATATTGGTCATTTTTATCCGATATTGATTTTGTTAATTTTTTCTAATCTGACTGTCAGTTTCAATTTTATTCTTTGACAAACTTGAAGTTAAATTTGCGTTTTATTTAGTTAAAACTTTGATCTTCGTTGCAATAAAACGCTGTAATTGCAATAAGTACTCTGAATCAGTAATTTGTCTCATCTCTACTCAATTATTTTGAACAAGAGAGAGTACACAGCAAGCCCTTTTTAGCTGTTAAACTGCATAGAAAGGTAAAAATGGATATTGTTACTTAAGTTTTGCAGCTTTTACTGAAAATACGTAGATCTTTCAGCATGTTTTAGCTGCTCTCCATATCAGTTTAAGACTAGTAGTAGAATCTCACAAAAAGAGCAGACTAATGTTAATCAAACATTTTTTGGCTTTCATTCAGGAAACTTGCTAATAACTTATTAATTAGAATTTTGTTTGTGTAATAACCATAGACAAAGTAATAATTTAGATATAAAAAAATTGTATATATTATATTGTGTCTAAAATTGATTTTAAATGTCTGAAATATTACGAATTTTATTTAACCCTTATCAAAAGTCGAAGTAAAAAAAGTAACTGTACAACATTAGGACGTGCATTCACATATTTTAATGATGTGCACGACAACTGTTAGTGATTTTCATATATATTTTTATTTGTATTGATAATCTATGAAATAATACAATAACCGACACAAAAAACGAACACCATAAAATTCTCCTGTATTTTAAAATTTAATATTTTTTCTTCTGGTGGGTCAGTTTTTATGATTTTTTAACCAATTTGTAGCTCAATTATTTGACTATTATACAAGGGAAAAAAATGTTTATATTTTAGCAAAAGATCAGAGATCAGAAACATCATGGGGAATTGTTTAACAGAATAAGGAATTTAAAAAAATTAAGGTGCATTTCCTCTTAATAGTTTGTTTTTTGGTTTATCTTGATAGCTTTATTTTTATTGAAGATACAACATTTTAGTATTAAAAGGATGCCTTTGCTTTTGGTCCTCATCAATATACCTAAAAAATAGTGTTTATCGTTTTTTTTTGTCACTGTTGTTAAGAAGTCATATTATTATTGCTTGTGTTAGCAGTTCCTCTAGCAAAGATGGTTTTAAGTTAAGAATTTTCTAGTTCAAAAAAGAAAAGGGAAATTTCAGTTAAAATTACGGCGTACAAAAGTTAAGTAATATACAGGGTGTAACATTTAAAAAAAAAACAAGAAAAAGTGCTTAATATTTTAACAATTTTGACATTATATTTTAAACACCATGTATAATTTACGAATAAGATATGTACCAATTGTAAAACAAAATTAGCAGACTTTTGATTGCGTGACATCTTTTATATTTTTAATATATTTTTAAATGTTGCAAAATATATTTTTATATTTATTAATTTCTCTGGAACTATTGAAATAAATTTAATAATAACTTAGGATTATGTAAAGTGATGAGGAAGGAAGTCAAAAAGCAAAAATATGCAGGGTGTTCTGTTAAAAAAATTACCCTCACCTACTGATACTTTTTTGAGACACCCTGTTTTTTTTCCTCAATATTAAGGGAGGAGACAGGGGGGACTTCAGGGTCTGAACTCCCCTCCCCTTCTTGAATTCAGTCAAGTAATACGAAATTATTAATTTGTTTTGTCACAAACGACTCTGGAATATGTACTTTGAGTAAAGTTTTGAGTCTAGCCCCCCTGCAACAGAACTTATGCATAACTATTGCATAAGGAAAATTAGATCAATATTGAGTTTTTGTAAAAAATTGGTTAAATTTTAAGGTCCTTCAAGAACCACTTACAATGGACGATGCCGTAGACGGTGCTCAGTTCGTCAAAAAAGTGGGTCAGTCTACTTTTTATAGCACCCCTATAACTTTAGGGCAAGACCCGCTGACTCAGGAGTTAAGTCCGACAGAAAAACAGGATTCAATGAAGACGGATAACAGCTCTGAGAATGAAGAGGAAGCTAACAGTAAGTAGAAAATTTTCATTTTTCATTGAAACCCTATATTTTTAATATTTGATAGTGATGGCAATTATTGTTAATCTTATTCTAATAATGCATCAACAAATTTGTTAAATTTTAGATACGGTGTTTAAAGATATTTTTTATCAGTATTTAATTCTTAAATAAATATTTCAGAGAGTACAGGGTGTCCCATTCTCGTGTGTTTTATATGGTTTTCACATTACTGTGCTACTTTCTTATAAAACTAAAGACGCTACACAGAAATTTGACATAGCCCTTCTAGTTGCTGAATATATACAGGATGTTCCATTTAAAAGAAATAAGTTTGAGTCATATTTCGAAAATGACTAGGAAAAAAATAGTTACGCCACTGAATACTACGTGAAAAACTCTATGGGTCTTATTTTTCACCTTTTTGATAAGTTTTAAGATAACGGAGATACAAGGGTAGTCGAAAAATGCAACTACTTCAAATTCGCCCTGTATTTCATGAACTAAGAGGGCTAGGAAAAATCTTGGTGTAGCATCTTTAGTTTCATAAAAAAAGCAACTAGAAATATAAAACTAAACTACTTCCTTACGCTACTTGATAATTATTTTTTAACATATTAAATACTTTTCAAATACTATAAAATTTTATAGTATTTGTTGAGTATTTATTATACATCAAAGAAAATGGAAGGTATCAGTATTTATCTGTAGTTTAATTACATAATCAATTATAAAATAATCTGAAGTACCTTACTGCTTAAAATAAATACATTTTTTCGTGTTATAGCAAAGTAAATCTTAAATTGAACAGAATAATACTTCTGAAAATTAGCTATTGTTTTATTCATTTATTTATCAATATTGAAAATTATTTCAAGCTCAAGGCTATGACTGAAATTTGAATATTTAAATATAACTCGCTAAATGCCATAAATTTGCATTGTTTTTTTGCAAATATTGTTTTTTTGTAACAAAAAGTACAATAGACAATTCCTAATAAAAAAATCCTTAAAAATTAATAAATACATTAATATTAGATAAGAAATGAAAACTAGTGCATAATATTTTTTCTCTTTTCATATTTATATTTTCAAAATTCCTTTAAAACACTTTTTGGCTGTGAATAATTACGATGTTTATTAAGTTAATAACGGTAAACTATCAAATATTAAAGGGCATAATCTGTTTTTTGCAGGTATATAAATTTTGCTTATAGCTTTATAAGGAATGGCTCATTTATTTTAATTATTTAGTTTAATTGAAATTCATTTTTGTTATATTTTTAGTAGGCGTGGCTCACTGAAAAGATTATTCAGCTAATCAAGTAACCTGAAAGTTACTGTTAAAGAAAAAAAAATAATTACATGGTGTAAAAAAATAGTGTAGTTAAAAAAATAGAAAATGTTTTAGTCCAAGAGTCAGATGCAAAAACATGCAAAAGTTTTCTGAAGGGTTATATTTTCAAAATCGACACAAAACAAAATATTTTAATTTTTTTGGATTTGTGATTATCGATTATTGATATTTAAACATAAATATTACAATAAAAATATATTTTAAAACATCTATACCAATATATAAAATTCTTATGCGATTGACTCACTCAGTAATCACGATCCTGCTCAAACCACTCAACGAAAGAAGCTCAATTTTGGCATACACGTTGATTCTAGGGTGTAGAGGTTCGATAAGAATGGATTTTTCGAAAATCCGGTTCCAAGGGGGTGAAACCACCCCTCAAATATTACAATATTTTTTATTTAAAAAACGGTCAAGTTTCCGAAAAAACGCTTAAACCCGTATATTTTTTTTATATTTTAAGATTTTTTAAAAATGTATACAGGGTGTTTCGAAAAATCTGGTCATTGATTAATCACGATCCTGCTTAAAGCGCTTAACGTAAAAAGCTGATTTTTGGAAAATGGATTGACTTTAGGGTGTAGAGGTTCGATAAGAAGGGATTTTTTGAAACTTGAATTCTAAGGGGGTGAAACCACCCCTCAAATATTAGAATATCTTTTATCTAAAAACCGGTGAGTTTTTCGGAAAAACTCTTCTTCTCCCAAACCAAACCAAAACACGGATATTTTATTTTGTTGTTTTACATAATTTAAGATTTTTTGAAAAATTATACAGGGTGTTTCGTAAAATATGATTGAGAAATCACGATTCTGCTTAAACTGTTGACGTTTAAAGCTGATTTTTGGCAAACGGATTGACTGTGGAATGTAGAGGTTCGATAAGGAGGGGTTTCTCGAATCTCAAATTCCAAGAGGGTGAAAACGCCCCTCAAATATTACAATATTTGTTAATTAAAAAACGGTTAGTCTTTCGGGGAAACGTTTGGACACGCATAAATTATTAGGTTTATAAATTTTAAAATTTTTTAAAAAATCATACAGGGTGTTCCAAAAAGTTGGGTAATTGATTAACCACGATTCTGCTTAAACTGCTTGACGTAAAAAGCTTATTTTTGGCAAACGGATTTTTCGAAAGTCAAATTCCAACGAGATGAAACTACCTCTCAAATATTACCAAGTTATATAATAATATCGCCATATTGTTTTTTCTCATGCTGATATAAATGTGAGAAAATTTTATCCAGTTTGTATGTTAATGGAAATTCTTGTTTTGCTGTATCATCACCATTACAAATGATTAATTCGACGCGAACGAAGTCGCGGGTACACGCTAGAATTCAAATATTTTTGTATAGTGTCATTAACTTAATTTAACTGTTTTAAACAACAAATATGAAGCCATTCTTTATCAATTTTTTTTCTTCGGTATAATCTTAGTAAATTTGATAATTTGTCAGAATTCTTGCCACACAATCTTCGAAAAATCTTCGAAGTGAGCCACGCCTAATGTTTAGGCCTAGTCCCGCTTGCCGCACGTATCTTATTCGGGAAATGTTTTCTACCAAAGTTTCAGATGTGGACCAGGACTGCACGATATTCGCCGGCGTGACCTATTTGGGTGCCGCCCAAATCAACGCGCCCAAATCCGAGGCGGAAATCCACCGCAACATGGCCATCCTCAACGAGCAGAGCGTCGACCAGGGCATAAAGGTGTCCGTGTCAGTGCCGTTGTCCAGTCAGGGGCTCGTGGTGTAAGTATAGTCTGTCCAACGACAAAATCAATATTTTAATTTCAAAGTAGTTTATTTAATTTTACAAAGAAATAAGTTGGTACAACTGGAACGCATAGCAGGGAATTAATATATTTAAAATTTTACTGTTAAGTGATTACTTCAAAAAAACTGTATAAAACTGAAAAAATGTAATCGAGTTATTTTATTTAAAAAAACGGTATGTGTTAATACAAAACAAACAATAACAAAACACCACATACCAAAAAAATATAAAAAAGAACTATTTCTTACTTTGAAGCTTCAAGCAACTTCCCGCATTTATTATTATATTTATCAATAACCTATGTACAAATACAAATTTGTAATATTCCACAGGAATTAATAAAACAAACTATTTATTAATAATAACACTTACTAAATTTTATACCTTAAAGGTTGATTAATATTAACTTTAATCTTAATTTTTTTAAACCAGTATCTTTTGACATTATTTTTCTGCAGTACTAATGACTAAAATCCATTATTTACCTATCGTGTGATGTGGATATTTTACAGCTACTCCAATAGTATATTGTTACGTTTTTCGTCGGTTCCGTGTGGATAGAAAGTCACAATTTATTTAAACACAATTTATTTAACACTAATTAACAAAAACAATAACAATTAAAAGACTTAAAGAACTGTTTATAACTTATTTACAATTTATCTAATTATTTATCTCACAGAAATTTATTTTGAATTAGCGCGGCGATTGTAACTGTACGCGTCGATCGGTTATTTATCTCTGTCTCCTTCAGGTTTCGGGCATCGGCTTATATATGAGAGAAACAGACAGTCCAGACATATCTCGAAAATTCTTAGCGGCGTTCTTCGAACGTCGGTGGGCGTATGAGTCATAGCCGAGTGGCCAAGCCTAAGGCCGAGTTCACACGGTACGGGTCCGCAACAATATGTTTAGTACGATCCTTGTAGCATATACGAGATGCACTTATCTACCACGAGATGGTATACAAACTTTATTGATGGTTGATGGTAACTCTATTGGTGTATAAGACTTTCTGCCTGGGCAGCGAATATTAACTATAACCTATGCTCTGGGTCTACAGTTAATTTTCCCTGGATTTTTCCTCCACTTGACTTCAAAAGACACAAAACACACGTAATAACACGAATCAAAATGCAACATCTTCCAAAACGCAGATATTTGACATAGGTTGACACAAAATTATAGCCTATAATTTGACAAGACTTTGACAAGCCTCAAAAATCTAAAGGCGAGTTCATAGTTCATACGCATCGGCGTCCGTTTGTCGTTCATCGTTCCGTCAAACCAATAAAATTGAAATATGATCTGTCATTTTTGAAATAAACCAATAAAACTGGTTAATTACAACAAGAGACGACGCATGACGGATTTATATTTAAACCCATCCATAGTTAACTTAAAAAATATTAGAAACTTTTTTTTGTAAAATAAATAGATTGGTATGAACGTCATCTGCTTTTCTTCTGTCGTCGTCTGTCGAAATCTTACCTGAGAAAAAAATAGAGTATACTGTGAATAGTTATTGATTGTATATGATACAGTTCTGTCCTCAGCATTTTGTGTCAGTCTTATTATGCATATGCTATGTCAGAATGCAGTGGCAGCAATTACAAATAATAAATTCGATTTTCAGCCTGTACGACGCCTTGACAAACTCCGTGATCTCACGCTACGAGATCCACCGAATCATGTTCTACGCTAGGGGCTCCGTCGATAGCAAGGAGGCTAGTTGTTTTGCATTTACCTGGTCCCATGGAGAAACGCAAGAATCGGCCATGTTCCAGTGCCATATCTTTCGGTGCGACATTGTAGAAGCAGTCTCAAGAGTGTCGGGTAAGGACCACTATTTATATATGCTCAATGTCATCCATTGAACAGCACTACACATATAGTGCTGTAGTATATCGTTATTAAATTAAATCAAATTACATTGTAAAGTTCTCTTGTCTATTATTCTGTAAAATGTTTAAACTTGTTACAGTATTCGCGTAGACGCTATGTCGACATTTACTTTGTCTAATTTAGAGTTATGGCTCACAAAATAGCGTTGATTGATTTTTGAAGTGTAACAATCTGTAACCTCGATTTTCCAATTATGGTGTAGCCTCCCTTACATACTCTCTTTGTAGTTGTGCCCATTGTTGTCTATTGTTCGCTATGCGGACCATCCAGTTGACTTCCGTCAACCTCCAGTTGGCGGAAGATTTCTTGTAATGTTGCTGTATTTAAATAAATACAGTATCTCAATGCAGTAACGTTATTAGTGCATAAACTATTATTATGACACTTTAACTGTCAAAGTTGTCAAATAACTCCTCCCTTAATATCGAATATTGTTGCCATATCTCTCGACTACCGACAAGTGCTTGCGTTACATAAGTGCTTTGCTGATAATTTACTAGTTAGTTTCTGTGTTGTTCTAGCCTGTTTTGCCAAAGCATTTCAAAGGGTACCAAGGTCCATGAGCAGCAGCGTTACCTCGGTAAACGGTGATATTATGTCTGGCTCTATAATCACTCTCCCAGAGGCGAGAACACTGATGCACGTATTCGAAGTTAATCTAGAAATAAAAGAAGAGGATGGAAAGGTAAACAATAATAATTTTTGATCCCGTTTTGACTTAATAAATTGCCATGATTTTATGTAATAGAGTAGATTCTCTTTTTTTTTCTAAGGTATTTAAGGCCTAAATCTACAGAATACTTACAATTATGACAATATGTCACTTAACATTTGAAGGATCCAGGGGAAAAACCTTTGAATAAAAATATTAAGGAAGGAGCATATCAAAAATCTTAGAACCATCGCGATGGGACTCAAATATGGCCGACTTAAATTTCGGTTTATCAGTGCCGTTCTAATTTTATTTAAAAAGTGTAAAACTATAATGTAGGGTAGACGTGGGGTAGACTCAATAATTTGTTGTTTTATTTTACGTTGTGAATAAATGTTGGTAGTTATTAAAATTGTTATAAAAATATATAATTCTAATAAAAATAGATAAGTTATAATAATTATTTATATCCATACGCTACTGAAGCAGGTAAGTCAAATTGACGTATCTAAATTCTTTGACATGTAGTAAATAAAAGCAAAAAATGTAAAAAAATATTTAATTTAGTTAATTTAAGTGAATTTCATAAATGATCGGTTTATTACACGAATGTATATTATATAGTCACTTACTAGCGAAAAGTTATTCCATTATATCACTCGATTCTTGACCGAGATCTACAATCGCAATAGTGTCACTGGTAATTTAAGTTCTGCCACAATTTCCATCTAGATTTATTACATTTATACAACTATCAGTAGTAGAATAAATAATAAATAACATAAAATAAGCTCAGTAAAGACTGACAAATTCACAAAATTTCAAATTATATTCAAATGTGTCAAATGGATCGTCAAACAGAACTGTCAAGGATCCCCATCCTAGAGTCCTTTTCCGCCCACCATGCATGAATACATGGATAGCATTCTATTCCTTCCTTAATCTCTTTATTCAAAGGGAAAACATAATAAGCGCGGTCCCTGCAAAAAACGGAGGCATGAGAATATAATAAATTTAAAACTACATTTCTAACCAAAGTCTTTAAAATCCGTCTTTATGCAAACTATTAGGGTGATGACAACAAGTGATGACAGTCTGTTCAAAGAGAGAATCCCTGATAGTGACATATGTTTGTGTTTTTTTTGGTTATCATAAATCTTCCTTGACTTGTTGGACAGATTTCATTAGGAATTCATTAAAAATATGTGTATGTTGAACAAATATTTTATTTCAGGGTTCGTATTCCACCGTCGGCAAGGATAAGAACGGTTTTCGATTGAAGACTAATTTAGAAAAAAGGCTGTTTATAGCTATAAAGCAAGTGTCAGACGTTGGCCCTCTGTTGGTCATCGAAAGATGCTTTGGAGTGCTCATAGCTGCTGGTCGGCATGTACGTCATTCAGACATGCAGCTTCTCGAAATGGTAAGTTAGATGTATAACAGGTGTAAGTTAGGGAATTATAACTTGACATCTTCCTTTAATTAAAATTACTTCATTAATTGACTCGTATTGGGGTTTAAAGCCTTCAGGGGTTTCAGAACCTCGCAAGTTTGTTCCTTTAATTTCAATGTAAGCATTCAGAACGTCAAAATTAGTGGTAGACATTTTCAATTAGTAGAAAAAGTTATCAAAGGTGCCCGGTGGCGTAGAGGTACAGGCTCTCGTCTACCAATCTCAAGGTAGTGGGTTCGATTCCCACACCCGGCATTGCATCAGCCGACTATTTTTATTAAAATAAAAATAGTTTGGGTACCTAGGTCGACTCAGCCTTAAGTGAGTACCGGGGATTCACAATCCTGAGGTAATAATAGGCGGTTGAAGCGTAGTGCTAGCCACATTACCTTCCTTGTATACCGAACGGCTCTAGTATGGCAAGCTGTACCTTGCTACTCCCAAGGCGTTGAACGCTATATACGGGAGCTATTATTATATTTAGAAAAAGTTATCAAACTTTTAAATTTTCCACTAATTATACTTCAAAATTTGCGAGAAATGTCATTTTGGCCTTTGATTATCTTCCGTCAAGAGAAATTAAGGTTAGAAATCAAATGTTGATTGTTTTATAAGCTAAATATTAGGCCTTCTCTATGGATACAACTCACACGCTGTTGTTAGGATATTTTATTAATTTTAATTGTGTTTTTTAAACATTGTGAATGATCGTAAACTAAAAAGTATAAAGTGTAATTGAAACCACTAATTGCGGGGTTCTGAATGAAGCTCTTCTCTCAGAGAAATTAGTAAACATGGAGTGACCCTAACATACAATATGACTCATTAGTCCGAGTAGTCTAATACCGTCTTTGTTGACCAAAATATGAAAAAATGGTTTATAAAGATGAATATCCTAAAAATAGTTTGTTTCATACAGGGTGTTCCAAAAAACATGCTGCATTCCAATTTTTCTGTATAGAATTAGATTTACCATAAAATTCTGCATATAGTATACATTATTTTTATTTGAAGTACTATGCGGTGTAGCCATGCTATTTCTTATTTACTGAAATTTGGTCAAAAAAAGTATATTCAAAAAGTGGTTATAATTTGGAGTGCATTTAACTTTATTAATACTTAGCTATATTTTCTTAAACACCATGGATAACGGAATAAATCCGTTAAAGAAAACTCACATTATCTTATACAGGGTATTTTTTATGGCATGACCAACATTGCAATATTTAAATTTCTGTGTCTGATTTTTTTTTTAATAGAACAATAGTATATATAATATAACAATAGTATATATAATAGTATAATAAATAATAGTATATTATTTTTCTATTAAAAACAATTTTAAATGCCGAAGAATACCTTTTTGTATTTAAAGTCTATTTTTTTATATCTTTGTCAGTAAGGACGATATTGGACTTCATCTATAAATAACATTGGTTTGTAGTCAATTCCATCATGAATGAAACAACAGACTAATTTATTAATTAGTTTATACATTACTAGCGTGTGCTCGCCACTTCGTTCGCGTCGAATTAATCATTTGTAATGGTGATGATAAAGCAAAGCAAGAATTTCCATTAACATACAAACTGGATAAAATTTTCTCACTTTATGTCAGCATGAGAAAAAACAATATGGCGATATTATTATATAACTTGGTAATATTTGAGGGGCGTTTTCACCCTCTTGGAATTTGAGATTCGAGAAACCTCTCCTTATCGAACCTCTACACCCCACAGTCAATCCGTTTTCCAAAAATCAGCTTTTTACGTCAAGCGCTTTAAGCCGGATCGTGATTAATCAATGACCAGATTTTTCGAAACACCCTGTATACGTTTTAAAAAAATCTTAAAATAGGTAAAAAACAAAATAAAATATATACGTCTTTAAGCGTTTTTTTCGGAAACTTGACAGTTTTTTTAAATAAAAAATATTGTAATAGTTGAGGGGTGGTTTCACCCCCTTGGAACTAGAATTTCGAAAAATCCCTTCTTATCGAACCTCTACACCCTAGAATCAACCTGTATGCCAAAATTGAGCTTCTTACGTTGAGTGGTTTGAGCAGGATCGTGATTAATCAGTGAGTCAGTCACTTAAGGATTTTATATACTAGTATAGATTTGTGTTCAAGCTATACTCCTGTGAAATGTGGCAACATTACAATATATTAACAAGAACTTATTTAATGTTACAACATTTTTTTCTCGAAATCTAGAAAGAACAAAAAGGTCACTCAAGTGACAATTGCACGACTATCGATGCCACATGGGACCCAACTGAAGAAAATTTTGAACAACTGAACGTCGAGACTCAGAAGGAAATCAAACAATACATGACAATTGCCATAGACCTTGTTATTAGAGGCATACAAGAACCAGTCAGGTACTTTAGTGTGGCAAACAAGAACGATAAGTAATTAATACAACTATTTTTTTAAATTATTTTTAGGTTCTTGATTGAAACACCTGTTAGAATCTTTGGACAGAACGAGAGGAATTTTTGGTACTTTCAAAAGAAATCTTTGGTGCAACAATTTTATCTTAATTTAAAGGAGGTAAGTGTGTTATGTGATTTATGGATAGACAGAAAATCACTGCCTGTGATAATTACATAGTGAAATAAAAGGTTTGTTCCAACATAGAACCGTTCTTGGTTCAGTTACGCTTATGCGCAGTAGAGAGAATGCGTTCCAACCGGTATTGTAATGGTTCGTGAACCGTATTTGGAACTGTGATTTTGATACCAGTCTAAAAGCAGGAATCAAAAGAACTAACCTGCGTATTAAGACTGTATGCCAGCTTATTATTCTTTTTCTTTTGTTTGGTTATTTTCTGTTTTAGGTTATATTTGGTATTTGTATATATATTTGGTTTTTATATCTATTTTAAATAAATATTTTTATATTGTACTAAATATGATGAGTGACGAAGTGGACAGTATATTGGGTATGTGGAAATCACTGAAGATGATTCGAACCTTTGTTAAATAAAGCTTGAATTTCATGCATCCGTTATCCGAACATACGATAATACGATATTAATTTTATTGGTTGAATTTAAAGACTTAAATTTATTGCATTTTCATACCTCCGTTCATCGGATATATGATTTCCTTGTGATTGGTGTCATTTTATATTCTAATTTCCATAACGATTTCTGCTGTTTTTCTTATAGTCTAAGAGCTGGCAACGTTTTCGAGAAAGAATTTAAGAAAGCTGGTTCTTTAATATCTTTTGTTATGCTCTGCTAAACAGAGTGCGGATCGTCTGGCTGCCGGTAGACGTTACGTTTCCTACTGCCTATTATCTGTATTCAATATCTGTTCTAACTAAGGAGGCTAGGACAAATATATGTGTAGCATATGTAGTTTCATAAAAAGTAGCAAAGTAATGTGAAAATCGCATTAATGTATCTCTACTCATAAACGAGAAATATGTACCCTGTACAGATGTGATGCGCAGTAGTGAACCGCAGTAGTCTACTGGCAGCCAGACTAGACGGCCCGCATTTTGGTCAGGAGAGAATAGCAAAAGATGTATTAAAGAACCGGCTAAACCAGTTTTCTTAAAAATCTCGTTTTCCCGACGCCGACGTTGCTAGCTCTTGTACTATTATATTTTTAAATTCAATAATCCAATAAAATAAAAAATTCGAAATTTATATGGAAAGTATATGAAACCTACATTAATACATAAAAATTACGTTTTGAATTTGATTCTTAAATCAGTTCAAAAACCGTCCCAACCAGCATTTAATTTTGGTATAGTAACTGAACTGTCCCAGTCGACACATGGGTACAAATCCGATGCCGGCGCCGCGGCCGGCAATCCCAATTACCGTTCTAGAACGCTACAAATTGCTGTGTTGGAACAAACCTATTCTTAGTAATTTACAGCTATTAAAAACATAAAAAATAAACTCTGATTGACTAAAACGTGAATCAGCAAATGGTCGCAACACTTCATTCTCTGCCGTTTTTTGAGTGCAACGCTTTAAGTCGAAAATCAACATAACATCATAAGATATTGGATTATTATATTGGCGGTATTGGATTACGCGCTCTATGCACAGAACATTCACAGCTAATAAAAAATCATGGCTACATGTGTACCTGTAAATGTGAATTCACGTTTTAGCCCATCTCATCTCTAATGTGATCCTTTAATGCCTGTTTGCATGGGTGAACCTTAAAAGTCAAACTTATCCGAGTTTAGTTCTAATTTAGGATGTATCTTAGTTTCAAATTAGTTTGCAGAGACATAATTAAGTATTACTAACATTTGGCAACAATTCAAAAGAGAATTTTGCAACTAGTCCCATAAATTATTAACAAATTAAGAAGGCCGCGGTTCGGATTCCGCGTTATTAAAGTAGGCCCCGTCAAGATTAGCCTTAGCAACAAAATGGAGACCTTAACTCAACTTTAAACTTTTTATTAATAAAAAGAGGAAATATTTCAGTGCCTTAAAGTGACAAGTTAACACTGTGTCGGAAAAATTCAAAAACTTTTCGTGAGAAACAGTCGGTATAGTGGAAAATAATTGCTACTATCGTCTGGTAAGTACTGTTTAATTCTGATTTTTGCTTTCTTTTTTCTTGCTTCTATTTTCCTTTTTTTCTTAACTGCCTAACCTAGTAAAAAATCTCTATACCTATGTGGCGGATTCATCTCTCCAAAAAATCCTATATGGGTGTTTTGCCACTGCAAGAAAATCTACAAAATAAAATAGTTGTTTTTTGTGAACACTGCTGCGTTAATCCAACGGAAACTACGTGTCAGCAGTTAGGTTTACAGTTAAACAAATTTGCTTAACAAACAAAAAAATGCTTAACTTTTCCAAACCTAACCTAACCTAACTAAACAAAAACCAGTTGACAGTTTGACGTCAACGGTTTTTGTAGACGTATCTGTTTAAAAAAAAAACCAGAGTGTTCTCGAATAGTTGAATCTAAATATTTTAAATAGTTTTTTTCTTTATTTTTTGAATTTTTTTGCTTCGACGTACGGAAAGAGATAAACTTTCCGAAACGTTATGCATTTTTTTGTTCGTTAGGCAAATTTGTTTATCTGTAAACCTAACAGCAGTGTTTACAAAAAATAACTATTTTATTTTGTAGATTTTCTTGCAGTGGCAAAATACCCATATAGGATTTTTTGGAGTGCCTAACCTAGCTTTTTGCATGGCTATTAGCATGGAGACTTTGTGTCCCCCGCAAAAAGGTACTAAATATTCACTCAAGGATTTGAGTCCTTTTCTGCTTATAGTAGACTCGAAATCTGGGGAAAATTTGAGGAATTTACTAGTGATGGGATAATTGTAACTAAAAAGGTGCAAATTTGCTCAAGTACTCGGTTGTTGAAATAGCCAATATCAGTCGACTATGAACTATATTTGATATCAATTAAACTTTTAGTTTACGTAATCGAGGGCGCGATTTTTAAATTCATTGTTGCCAACCATGGACATATTCGGTTCTGCTCTATAATTAACTGGAATTTAAATTTCGCGCTGGGGATTCAGGTGGTAACTCTGCTGTCAAAAATGTCAAGTTGCCGTATTTATTTATTTATATCCTGACATTGTCATTCGTTTTGACACTTTAGTTTTGTATTACGAGTTTTTGGTTTAAATAAATAGTGTTGATATTTTAAGCTTAAAAATGTCACTTTTGAGTTGGTGTTCGAAAGTGGTCGCGCGCTATAAGAACTTTGAATTCAAAAATCGGTATCACGAAATCCATTAGAAACAATTGATTGTAGTTTTTTTTTTTCAAAAACTTTCTTAATATTTCTGCTCAGACAGTATGTGCAAATCTTTATAAATAAAAAAGTTACATGATTGCTGAAAATTGCTATGCACTAAAAGTAAATGGATGTTTTTTTTTAATTTTTGAATGGAGAAAACATGCCTATCGAACTTCAAAATACAAAGAAAGTTTCAATATCTAATGTGGTTCTTGAGTTATAGTCTATAAAATGAATAACTTTGAATTTTGACCGTTATTTTTTACCAACATGGCAAATATAAAATCCCTGTGTCAAAAAAGTTACTGATATTCTTTAAATTGAGTGCCTGAACGAATCAGATAGGTAACTCTTTTTACTTTCGTGAAATGGAAAAGGAAAATAATAAAACAAGTGACAGTTCTTCGTCTTCTTGCAAAAATCAACACGAAATGCAATAATTGTCAAATGTAAAATGTCATCAGCTTTTGACATTTCTAAATATCAGACCAATTCCGTATCTAATAGAACAGCCTCGGAGCGAGATTTATGACGTCACGCTAGTTAGATACTACGGATTAATAAATATGTTGTAGAATACATGGAAAACATAATTATTCCTCATATTTTTGGTTTGTATTGTAAAAATGATATAGTTTACATTTATATATATATATATATATATATATATATATATATATATATATTTTTTTTTTTTTTTTTGTTTTCACTCTTGGCTTTAGGTCGTTGGGGTTGCAAAGATGTTTCTAGATTTTGTTCATTATTTTATATTTTGTGACGACGTTTCGACAGTATATGTCTTTTTCAAGCCTCTTTAAGCACATAAAAACAGTCAGTTAAAATCAATAAGATAAAATGTCAAACTAAAGGTCTTACCTTGAACGTAGATTCTTACAGAGTTAAAATTTGTTAAACTGGACAACACAATAACACATATTAACTATTGTTTTTAATTGTTTTTGGACATTACACTTTACTATAGAGCACGTACGTATTTATCGTTTCAATACCCGATGTCTACTGTTCTTAGTGCGTTAGAGGATCGACAGATATATTTTGCTTAGATTTTTTAGGTCTTTTTTATCATTTACCGCGTTTTTGTTTTTTTGTATCTCCACCATTTCATAAATTCTCTCTTTTTTTGGTGATTTTCTGTTTTTAAAATTTTAGTTTTATTAAAATCGAATGTATGATTTTCTGTTGACACATGATTTGTGAGGGCGGTTACATTTTTTTTATCATACTTGTGCCCTTTCAGTCTATTTTCTAACATGGTATACAAAGAAAACTTGGTCCTCAAGATATCTCAATTTTTTATCTAACCATCCAGCTAACCAAAAAAGATCGGTGATAATTGGCTTGGCGGACAGAGCAATTCGTCTATCCGACCCAGAATATAGAGATGCTGCAATAAAAAAAGCAAAAAATGCATTAAAAGAAAATGACCATCCACAAAAACTAATAAACAAAATATTCAAAGATAGACTCCAAAAATTCTTAAACACAAAAAACAATCAAAATCAAATAGAAAATAAAAAGATTAAAAAAGATATACGATATATTGCGCTCCCCTTCGTAAATGGGTTGTCTCAACAATTACAAGGGTTACATAAAAAGTATAATATAACGATTTGTTATAAAGCACATAACTTGTTAGCTAATAATTTCTCTAAACTAAAATCTGTAACACCGTTAAACAAACGAAGCAATGTTATATATGAAATTCCATGTTCGAACTGCGCCCAAGTTTACATAGGACAAACTTCTCAATGGTTAGAAAATAGACTGAAAGGGCACAAGTATTATAAA